TACGAACCATTTTCGACCGAGGATCATATCGTATCTTCCTAAGTCCGTAAGGAGCATAGGAACCTATCGTTATATTCGTCCGTCTATATAAATAGTGAGAAATGTGATATAGGTAATCGGTTCGCTAGGGGTTCCGTCGAAGCCCCGGACCGGACATTCTTAATCGAGTCGTTCTACTCGGATTCTAAATCGCTTTCTAAGTAGTAAAATCGTTGCTAAGTTTATAAAGATATAACCATTTGCTCCGGTGTCACTAAGTGCTAAAATAGAAAAAGAGCGTCCATTATGCATTAGTTGAGTGTTAAAAACTAAACTATCTCTAGGACCTCCGATTAACTTTTATAAATCTAGCGAGTAAAGTGAGACCTTACGACCACCTAGGTAGGAGACTTCGCCTAGGCACTAGCTTTTCCCTAGTCGTCTTCGAGTTCTTGAATTTCGACGACACGTGGAGTTGGAGTGATAGCCGCGACTAAGGTATTCGACTTCTTCTTTAGGCATTCACGAGTCATATGTCCTTGTTCTTTATAGTTAAAGTATCGACCTTCCTTTATAAGAGTCTCTCGTTCGGTAGCGGATAAACTAGTAGATATAGCGCTTCCTTCACGCTTCACACGGGGAGTGTATTGACTAGTGGCTGTTCCGGTTCCACTACCACTCCTAGTTGGAACGGTAGAACGAGAACGGGAGGTGTTCTTCGATTCTTACTATAGGTTGATTTCGTGAGATATGCTCTGATAATTCTAAGTGAAGGTTTTAAAGGGAACGGAGTCCTAGTTCACGGCCTATATCACTTGGCTTTGAAGTAGGTATAGAAGTTTTGAGTATAGGTCGCGCTTTCGGTTTTCTTCGACGATAACAGCCTCCTCGGCAAGCTATATGAATTTAGCGAGGAAATTAGTGAAGCTATCCTTCGGTTTTATCTTCAGTTTATGGTACGTAGTGTAGGCTTCGGCACGACGATTCGGGTTCGCGAAAACGGTTTTCAGATGAGCGATCATATCGTTAGCATTAGCGTATAGGGCACTCGACTTAGCACTTAGACGAGGTGCGATATATAACTGAGCTTTTCCTTCATAACGACTCTGCATATAGAGCTTGCGATAAACTGGCAATAGGTAATGATCTGCATTTGCCTCGAGCTTCTGTCGGACGACGGTTTCCTATGTTTCAAAACGAACTTCTTTACTATCGCTAAGCATTGGAGCGTTAGGTATCTTAGTGGATTTGCGGGTAGTAACGGCCTCTATAATCGGTGCGCCGGAGCTGGTCTGGTTCGAGTTCTGCTGTAGACTTAAGAGTTGAAATGTAAGACGATCCCTCTCACGAGCTGCATGATCACGATGAGCAACTACTTCCTCTCTCTCTTAAGTGAGCTAAGTGATTAGGATTTCGGTTTCAACTTTATCGGCTTAGAGGACAGTCACTTCGTCCTCGAGATCTCGGTTTCTCTCTTTCAGCTTAGTGTATTCACGAGCAAGTTCATAGAATCGCTCTTTGGTCGGAGTCTTGTGTAGTCGTTCGCGTATAGAAGAACCTTCTCCAGCATTGTCATCTTCATTAAGTTCACTAGTGTCAACTGGTCTCGGGGTTTCGGGATCTTGAGTAACTGCTTCCTGCTCAATACTGTCTTCTTTATCTGGCATAGCAACAACGGGTTGCTTACCACGGTTCGTGGGTGGGTTTCGTTTCGGTCCGACCATTTTGATTGGTGGATTTTAAGTTCGAGGTCGAGTCAAGTCTTGGCTGTACGATGCCAAGGAACGAAAGTGGAGATAAAGCGGGACCGAGACCAATCACAATGATGGTCCGTACGGTCGTGCTGCTTTGTTTGGAAATGGAAGTGGTACTTAGTATTATGTTACGAGCCAGTTCTTTGAACAGAAAGAGTGCATTCAACGAAAATACTAAGTACAGAGAGAGAGAAGAGAAAGAAAAAGGGGATTGGTTGGCCCAAGGCCTTTTGTGGGGCCTTGGTGCAAAACTTGCAAACACCATCCTCCAAGTGGCTCAACCTGGCAGGCGGTCAGCAACGGCAGAACTACAGTCGTCAACTCTAGATCGTGACAATTACTCGAGGATTTTAAAGATTCTTTTCCTATTCTATTACCCGAGTTATAAGGCGGAGAGGTGTTAGTTTAATAGTATTTATATAGTGAATCGCGGTAATATTAAAATTAGAAGGTACGACTTTAACTTAGATAACTCGTAGTTTCCTTATATTATAGTTCGTACTTTCCACTTTTATATGGTTACTAGTCATTCTTAGTCTCTACGCGGGTTTATTTACTTTTTAAATTACTCTTCTCCATTTTATTTTCTCTCCTATATAACTCCTTTTCCAATTTTATATAGTATGTATGTGGAGGTGTTTCATTTTCCAACCTTCAGTTCGATGGATATATTTATAACTCAGTTTACTGATTTTATCTGTCTAATAAGCTACCCAATAACGAGAGATTAAAGGACCTGATTGGATACTTCTGATTATAGTCTTTGATGACTGTAGTATGATGGAAAGAAAATAAAAAAATAGATTTCTTCACGATTGGATCCACCATCTTATGGTTCCAATGGATCATAAATTGTTTGTTCTTGAACTTTGTTATAGATGCGGCATTGAATCCCAAGTGGGGACGGATTTTTAGGATTAGATTGCCTCAATCCCTCCAGATTTTCCGGGCCATAATTCGCCACTGGTTATTCGGCCGTTTACGGATATTGCTTCCATTGTTGTAGGTACCATGGGTTGACCTACCAGAGACAATTAGAATTTGGTGCTCTTGGCTCGCTATGGATTCAGTTGCGGTAGGGAAATCTAAATACGAATTTATTGTACAAAAGTATAGAGTACTAAACCCTTTTTGCCCTTAAGTTAATTTATGATTTAGCGTCCGAAGTGGATCATAGCCGCCAATTTAGGGTACGCCACATGATGAATGTCGATCATCCGAGCCCGTAACCTTGTGCTAAATTCGACCATGATCCCAACCACTTTTAGTCTAGGAGCTGCAACTGACGCCACCCTACCATTCATTTTCCAGTGTCTAGTGTCGAATAAACTAGCCTATTTGTTCTTGTAGAGCAATTATCAAATAATATCAAACGCGAGAAATTTCTCTGCTGTTTTGCACGAACAGAGCATACACGGTCATCGAACCAGGCTATTTCCGCAATATTATTCTTTGGGTTTGCTTTCATTTGTCCAAAGAGGTCCCTAAGACTAAGCTGGATAATATGAACGATACGTAGAACTCAAATGGCTGTGGAATCATTCTTATTATCAGGTGACTAGGTAAAATCCTGGATGCTCAATGTCATGTGGTGTTATTCGATACATTATCTGATGTGATTGCTAGCACATGGTCTATTGTCTGAGGGTGCCAATTCAAATAAAATATGTTCAGAATTTACCCAAGCCATATCTTGCCTTAGAAGATCCCGTATTGAGCAGGAATAGTTTTCTGGGACCATTCGCCACTATGACACCCTTGTTTTGTCCAACATGTGGTCCGTTTGCTCTAGAACCATCCTCTCTCACTGCCTCTTTGGATCGCACCAGGGCTATGAGTTAGTCGAGTATATCATTTGTTCTGCAGAGATGGTGATCTTGTTGTTCAGATCAGTAGTTTAAGTGCTAGTTCGTAATATCATGGTCATGTTGGCGCGCATCGGATTGGTTGGAAAGGTGGCGTTGTGCTAAGAACACCGGTTACCACTGTGATTAGTGTCTTAGTCTCTATTGGAAGTCGGGCTTCATCACCCTCTTCCTACAAGATTGGGTTAGAATCCCACACTGGCACAAAACTTGCCACCGCACCGTCTCTATAGAGAGACAAAAACACGGGGTAATGGAGTCCCCCATTTATTTCATATGTTAAAATGGCAACGATAACAGGTGTATTAGGCAAGCCTCAAAGTTCGCCCACAGGAAGCATGAAACAATTATACTGATCACAAAAAGATTCATGTATTTACACAAGTGGTAGCTTTATAGTTTGAAGCCTAATCACAGTGGCAATCCAGAACTGACCAAAAAAGTATTGAAGAAAAACAGTATTGAAACGGAAGGGAATCCAATTTTGTCGTATGATAGATACGAAAAGTAGCATAATCCAAGTCATGCCGCCGACTTGTGCCCCGGCCTAGCTGCTTAAGTAGAAAAGGTGGATCCAGATGTAATAGATGGGAGGGTATAGGGGCCAGGCGATAGGTGGTGCAGCGGCTGCCTATGATGCGGCCTATCATTTTGACAAACGCAACATTTTGTCGGGATTTATGCGCATACCAACAACCCCTGGACTTCTAAAAGATTTAAGTTATTCATATTCCAGGGAACATGTCTAAGCATTTTAATCATAATAAAAAAGTTTAGTGAATGAATGACCGTGAGCACTCTATATATCAATTCCCTCCACTGAGAGAGTAGGAACAAATAGTGCAACGAGCAGCAGGATGGGTTCAAATTGACATTTTTTTCCTACCAAAGTTTTAATCGTTTTAAGCAAACGCCTTTGCAAAAACTTTATTAATTACCTCCGCATCCCTGGGATTCATATCGGTACACTTCCCCTCAATATTGACAATAACTCTGCCTCGAAGCCTACGAGAAATCCGGAGTTTCATAGCAGGTCCAAAAACCCTAAGAGCCTTCACCGTCAAGGCTCCTACCATCGTGGGATAGAGGAAAAGAATCAATAGCCACGGACTCAAGGTGGGATTATATTTTCATTTTCTCTGACTAATAGTCCGGTAATAAGTGAAACAATCTGGTGGACCAACAATCGAAACAATAACAACAAAACCTAAACGTAGTAAAATCAATGTCACTATGAAAGAATGTCAATAATTGAAACAAAAGGAAAATACAAAAGCGATAGCGAATATTAGCCCGGATTATTACTTGAGTATTGAATGTTTGTCATATTGCCGACTTAGGTCAATTCTTGTCAGCACCACACCACCCTAGCCTGAACAGCGGTGTTGTGGTATCACCTGGCCTAAATTGACGAGTTCACAGCAGCGAGATTGGGCGTTCCAAATTCGTGTCCAGGGAACACTTTACATCCTCCTTCTGCTCGTAGACGCAGTTCATATGCGAGCGATTTGAACGGGACGAATTCCGTCTTCTGGCGTAAGCAGCTAGCAAGGCCAGCTATGTGCGGCGATGCTATTATTTTTTAGACTGTAATGAGATCCCGCACGATACGAGAACTTACCCATAGAGGTTCCACTCATAGTCGCTTCAGCTGTGGCGCTTGCAATACCACAAGAGACGATATCAACACCCGGGGCGTTAAAGTCGAGGACTAAAAATATTAGAACCATAGATCATCTATTGTGAAGGGGGATCTTACATCTGCCCCAGTTTGACCAAGATGGCATTGCGTCGAGGCGATCTATGGCACCCACTGTAAGGGCATCAGGTGAGGAGGCGGGAGAAAATCCCTTTGCATTTTGCTGTATAGAGGTCAGTTACGTGCAAATATTCATTGTAGGGTGGCAAAAACTCGCGAAATAGACGTTGACTTACACCGCTATTAGCAGCTGCCACAACAACTACGATTCCATTTTGAACAGCCTTCTCTACAGCACTATTAAAGACTGCACTGTATGGTCCTCCAACACTCATGTTCACCACACAGCGCTCAGTATTATTCTTCGCCTGTGCATCATGTAGAGACCAATCTAGCCCTTTGATGATGTCGGAAGTAGACGTCATTCCGGAGCCGTCGGGGAATACTTTAACAGCAACTATGGAGGCATTTTTCGCAACTCCATGCTTCGTACCGGCAATAGTACCTGCCACATGAGTGCCGTGGCCATGGCTGTCGGTATCGTGAGCACCGTTAACAACCGTCTTACCCCACCTTGCACGTCCACCAAAATCCTAAATATCCGGTATTAGAAATGCTGGTTTGGTTCGAAGTGGCTTGCTTACTTGATGGCCAATTTTGACACCAGTGTCAATAACGTAACAGGTTACACCTTTGCCAGATTCATTTTGGTCGTAGACATATTCATTCCTTGAAGCATTAAATGGACCAAGATGAGATATGCGCGACAAACCCCATGAGGATGGGTTGGGTTGAATGTCTTGGACCTGATAATATTGATCGTTTTCGATGTAGTCAACCTGTTCCTCGTTAGTGTGGAAACTTATATAAGACTTGTGAATCAGATAAAGGCTAAGATTGCAATAATCCGCCAAAGCACAATATGGAAACGGGAGGAGAGAAAAAATATGCAGAAACCGATAGATTGGCAGAAGCGAGATTTCAATCTTACCAATGGTGATTCTTCAATTTCCTGAAGGATGTTGGGGGTGAAAGTTCCCATATATCCCCGAAAACCGACATCAGGCTCCCCTTCGTCGCTGACATCAACTCCGGGTGCAAATGAAAATTTGTCGAATTGAGTCTGAGATCCAGCAAGGCCGGAAATATCAGATTGCGCATTATCAACCAAGCTCTTGATTGTATTAATGTGCGATTCGACCTCCTGGTCAGTAAGTTCAGGTTTTAAGGCCACGACGTAACTGTTAGGCAGGGCGACACCACCCTGAGGAGTTTCACCTGTGAAGCCCATTATGATTTAGTAGTTAATAATCTTGTGGGCAATCCAGGTAATTGGTAGCAGTAGATCGTTTGATTGAATCTGGTAGGGAACTCTAGAGTAGACTTCAGGGGGGTTTATATATGCCGAAGTGGACGCAAAAATAAGTCTCACTTCAGGTGTGGCTCTATGTACCGTGGTTTCGGGGATTTAACTGAACATTCAACACTATGGTCATATCGTCATGCAATTCCTTCACATGACAAGTCCACTAGTTCCCAACCAACTTATATGATTTCAGCGTTACCCCAATGATCAAATGACCAAGAAAACCATGGAAAAGTCCAGAAGCAACGGTCAAAGAATCCATCAACAGGATAGTAAATGTAATCTAGCATCACTTCCATAAAGCCCAACGAAAGTACGTTACAGCAGCCAACGGAAATACGTGGTTCATATGGGAACGGGGAACCGTAGATCAGACACTTAAACTCATGGGGTAGATAAACCTTGATTAACGTCAATCTGTGACTTGTTGGTCAATAGTGAGCACAACAAAGTCTTTGTGGCTTTTTCTTAATCGGTACAATGTAACAACATCCCCGCTCTTCTGAACAGCAATGGATGCCGCTAGGCATGGTCTGGAGCAGTCTAGGCTTAAGTTTGTTAAAGGTAAGTTAATTCAAATTTAAAATTGGATTTGGTTTGTCAATATGCACTAGCATACTACAATAACCATTGTCCGTTAATAAATGTCGCTCTAGAATACTGTGGATCTTGAGTCCTACTTTCATCACACATCATCAAGTTTGGTTAGTCAGAGATCTACAGCCCTATTTGAAAGTTACCGTTAATCAGATTAATGTCAACCATGAATGTTTTCCGGATACCTAATTGGTGAGCCAAGAATAAGAACCTGGAACGGGAAAAGATCATTTCGTCCTGTTATACGAACGGGCTTTTGGTGGTAAGTCCCCCCACATATCTATAACTCCAGTGGGTTCTATTCCTTGAACATCGCAATAATACTGGCTTTTACCCCCAATATATCGGTTTTTGTCCATACATTGTCGTACTGCCAGATTTCTGTCAAATTGTATTGAAAGACATTATCACGTGACAGAAAATTGTATAAATTACTTGTAATACTCCTGTCAAGAATAAATTGCCCTATTGCGCTGCGCATACTTGTATTTATTTGGTTTCCTGTCCGCGGGCCTAAGAGCACCTGTTTCGTATGCTTCTCCCATCTAAGTGAACTCGCATCCGAGAGCCAGGTCAAGAATATTCTATCTGCAGACGTTTCGGGATTTTGGGCATATTTAAACCGACACCTAAGCCCCGACCAGCTACACAAGCCTACAGAAGGACCTAGCCGGGCACCGAACCTACTCACACAAGCAGTCAACCTTTGCAAATATCGCCGCCAAGCTAGCTACTGAACCCGATGGGCAGGAATGGAGAGAATTTTCCCAGAGGAGGAAAAAACGGCAGAGTTTCTTGGTTTATCAAGGCAGTGACTCTGTGTTCTGGCTCAAGGTTGCCGCAACCTTCACTTTCAAATATTTTGAGAAGTTTCTCAACATTGCGGTCATTTAACTGCCAGTCTCCAAGGACAGGATTTGTATCGCATTTTAAGTGCTGGAAGTGAATGATGACACATCCCTGGTAGCACTGAAACCTTTGAGCGGCAAGTTCATTTTTCCGGGGACCTTAATGATTCTCCAAAGCATCCATTTTGTTGATTTGGGGTCCAGCGGCAGAGGCGATATTTAGCTAATGCTGCTACACTGTTTCGGGTTCAGGCTAGCGGGCTCCACCATCCTGCTAGACCCTCCTGTTGATACAACACGCTCATTCATATTGTCTTATCACTGTCGAATTGCGCAAGAACCAGGACCATAACCCTGTCCAGCAGTCCGCCCACACCTCTGTAGTTAATAATCTCTGGATGCAAATGGTTAACCATATACTGTCTGCTGATCTTTGTTCTCCAGTCAGGGCCAAGAATTTCGTCCACAGAAGACAAAGCTAAGGTACGGAACTGGTCGAGACTTTGGAAAATACGTTGTTCCCAACGAAACGGTTATAATACATTCCATTTGCATGCAACCCAAAAAGGATTATGTCATATAAACGTCGCCTCTTTTCCTATATTGTAATGTCAATAATTTTCCAGAGGTATAGCTGTTAAGTCACAATGGCACCATGGCGTTCATATTATGCAAGCCTCAGCTTAGATCTTAGTACTAGAATCAAGTATTAGCTTTATGCTCTACCGTGGCCTAGGTCTGTTCTAGGCCTAACCTACACCTCTCCCTATGCGCAACCTTTGTGCGGAGGTGCTGGTCACCGCGTATAAATATAAGGAAAATCGCCAAGTTTGTGTGGTTTTCTTATTTTACTTCACCTACATGCAATTTATATCATTTTTGAGCTTCTTAGGTTAATATGGCTCCTTCTATATCTTCTACTTCGCAACCCTCTAAAGGGCCAAGTCGCGAAGAAGCAAAAAAACACCAAAAGATACTACAGGCGCTTGCCAGCGGTAATTTGACAATCGTGATCGGTGCGGGTGTAACCATGGGTGCTATTGAATGCAGTACTCTTGACTATACTGACAAAGAGAAGAAGGATAAGGCAGCAAATTTGCGATGGGGAGCGTTAATACTCGACGGTATTAAGTATCTTGAAAAAGAATGCGAGGCTCATTTTGAAGAGTCTGAGAGACAGGAACTTCGTTGCTATAAAGAAATTCTTGGGCACAAGAATGCAGAGGACACAGAAAACTCTGGAAAATCTGGGAAGGCCACCGCTCTTCCTTCATTATTGCGTGCAGCAGCCTTTCTGAGAACGAAGCTAGTCAATTGCCACCGACTCCCAGACTGGCTGGAACTGCAGTTCAGCGATCTCTATGATGAATATATTGGGCAGGACAAAGAAAATGGGCAGACCAAAGAAAATGCAGTTCTTGATAGTATCAGGGAGCTGTACAAAGCGGGTGCAAGGATCATAACAACAAACTATGACGACGTTTTAAGCCGCCACTGCAAGACTGGGACAATCATACTAAATGACGAGAATACCTTACGTCGATTTTTCGCCAAAACAGATCCGCTAAGAGGGATTCTGCATGTCCATGGACTGTGGAGTGATCCGGCGGTTACTGTCCTTGACCCCGGCGATTATAACAGGGTCGCATCACACTCGTTTCTGCAGCCGGCTCTTCGGTCTTGCTTTAATGGTCCCGAGGTGCTTCTATTTGTGGGAGCTGAAGGAGGGCTCAATGATCCAAATTTTGGCCATCTCCTAGACTGGGCTGATAAGGAGCTGGAAAATCTAACAAAACGACATTATATCTTTATGAGGAATGGTGAAAAGAACGTGAAGCTGTCCCTCAAGGAGGTGAGATATGGTAAAGACTATGATGACCTCCCCGCATTCCTTAAAAAGATTGTCATAGACAGCCGAGGCACAAATGTAAGTGAAACTTCAGATTGACATATTTAGTGCAGTTCCGCTAAATCGATGTTTAGGCTGTGATTAGTTCACCTGGCAGTCTTAGTGCTGAAAGTTGTATGCTCACCTCGGCTTTTAAGGGAGAAAACGAGGAAACACTTCGGTTGGTCAATAGTGGCGCGAACATGAATGCCAAAGATATGTATGGGTGCACAGCTCTGCACATGGCTGCTTATAGAGGGGATGAAACGCTTGCTCGACAGTTAATTGCTGCTGGAGCTGCCAAAGACATCCGGGATTTGATGAACGAGACACCGGCGGAAATGGCGGAGCGGCTGAACAAAAACGAGGTGGCTAAAATTATCAAAGGAACTCAAATGGGGAGCCGCGAAATTAAGGTGCATTAGGAGTGGATATGTGATATGACTACCACTTGCATCACTCCGGAGAGGGTTTTTTTCCCCTGATAGGTTTTCCCCTCCCCCGCGGCGCAAATGCGGGAGTGGCTTATTGTTCTTGTTTCAGTTTCATGTTTAAAACATCCTGTCATGTTCTTTCTTTCAAAATAGTACTTTCATGCTGCACTTCCACGTTACTCCCACGACCTATTTGCCACTGCTTCAGACGGAGCACTTAAAAGTAAAAGTACAGTACTTCCGGAGATTGGGGTCACCACCTACACTCTTCCGTTGGTCCGCAGACCTTAATGCCAAGGAATGCTAAACAAGCCTCTCCGACTACAAAGTGCAAGGCACAACCCTTTCAGCTGCGATCCTCCACCGTAAAGATGGCCCCACCATACGAGGCCAAGATCATCACCGGAAGTATTGCTCGATGTATGTGCAGCTATCTCGACTTTGATCCTCTAAAGGGCTTCATCTCCTGCAGAAACTTGATATGCATGACCTCCGATTGGGATCTGATCCTCGACTGTTATCTGAAATGGGAAGACTTCAAGAACACGAAAAAGAGACGATTGTTGCATGGCAGGAAGCTTCAGATATATAAGGGTGTTCTGCATCGTAATAGAGTTAGACGATCATATAACATCATTTGTTGGTTCACGGTGTTACCGGCCAGTTCTTTGAACAGAAAGAGTGCATTCAACGAAAATACTAAGTATAGAGAGAGAAGAGAAAGAAAAAAGGGATTGGTTGGCCCAAGGCCTTTTGTGGGGCCTTAGTGCAAACCCTATAAACACCATCCTCCAAGTGTCTCAACCGGGCAGGCGGTCAGCAACGGCAGAACTACAGTTGTCATCTCTAGATCGTAATATAACCCCCGGCTAAGAACGCATTTAGTCCCTAAATGCCAGTTTATCGTTATTGTCGAATACTAAGATTGAATACATGATGGAAACAGGGTAAAATACCCTGAATATCATGTGACACATGGTACCATCCATACCATACAAAAGTGCATATTACAGTTAGTCATCTATGTCCGCCCAGATTGTTGAAAACGCGGGTTTTGTCATTTTAGTTAGTTAGAGATTCCAATATATCTGATTTTGTCCATACGTTGTCATACAGCCAGATTTCTGTCAGTTATCAATATGATCGTCTAGGAAGTTCTCGTGCTATACCGCTTTAATCCACTCCTATAGACGTAAGGGAGGGCCCGGTTTTATTAGGTATTAATTATAGAATTCCTACAACTTCTACGGTGTATACTTAAAATTGCTAGTGGGGTACTATTATAAGTCCACGTTATAACCTAGCCACTATACTCGGTATTATAGGTTCCGGTAGTGAGTCCTCGAATCAAGTATTTTCTCGACTTCCCACTTATCTTCTTCGTTAATTTCTATCGGTAGGGGAGGATTAGGATATTATCCCTATCCCATGGGGGAGGGGTAGACCTGGCAGTGACCCGCGGGTGACCCTCACGACCCTCGAACCGCCCCGCCACTAGGGCGGTTCGAGGGTCCAACCTTCCGAACTCTTCTAGACGATCGAGGGAGAGGAATTTCACTATCTTTATTGACAGAAATCTGGCTGTATGACAACGTATGGACAAAATCAGATATATTGGAATCTCTAACTAACTAAAATGACAAAACCCGCGTTTTCAACAATCTGGGCGGACATAGATGACTAACTGTAATATGCACTTTTGTATGGTATGGATGTATCATATTTAAAAGTTAATACTTCTACTATTATAATCCTATTAATATAACATGTAAGTGATTTAAACTATACAGTGCATTTTAGTTTAAAAATGCAACATTACAAATAATGATTTAATAATATAACCATACAATGTAAAATATAATATGAACATACAATGCATTATGCAACATTACAATATAACCATACAATGCATTTATTAAAATGCAACATTACAAATAATGATTTAATAAATATAAACCATATATGAATTTATTAAAATGCAACATTACATATGATTTAATAATATAACTATACAATGCATTTTAAATCTATCATTATGACGATAACACATTTAATTAGATCTATCTAGATCTATTTTCAAAAGAGATAAATAAGACTATAACCACCGAGATAATAATCTTTTTACAACACGGTTAATATCTTCTTTATATTGAATATACTTCAATTAACTAAATACAACTTTTTATCTCTTTACTTTCTTACCTTTCATCTTTAGTTTTTCTTTCCTACCATCTAACCCCTATAACCTCCTAGAGGATGGTACCAGTTGTCACATGATTTTCTGGGTATTATACCTTGTTTCCACCATGTATTCAATCTTAGTATTCGACATTTATCTATACCGTCCTTAGGATTAGATTGTACCTTATCGCCTTCACTTAGTGAGCCACTTCTTTATCTCCTCCCGAGGATAGTATTAGGCGATAGTTATAAAGCGGGTAGTGACTAAGTTTGTTTAACCACGTCTTCCTTAGTATCACTAATTAGTTTAAACGAGGTAGTAACTATACTACTTTCCTTTATCGTAGCTACGATCTCCTAGGAAGATAGGTACTCCTAGAGAACTAGCCGCTAATTCTCCTATAGATTAAACCTTATTATATATATAAATATTATAATATCCTAGGTCATCTTTAGCTTAGCGAACCTCGCCGGTAATAATAAATATCATATATAGAGTTAAAAAGTCGCTCTATACCTACGCTAGTAGCTAGAATAGATATAATATTATAGGTAATATTTATAAGAATAGGCTATTTATATTAATTTTCTCTTTAGAAAGTATAAGGTGATATACGCTATAGAGCTAGATATAGATATATTAATATTAGTTAGATATAAAATATAGAGATAGATAGTTAGACTAACCGGAATTAAGATATTAAGTTAGCTTATCCCTCTATAGAGCGATAGACTACTAGGAGTAATCTAACTCTAATAAAGATTTAAGCTTAGATATTCTAATGTGATTCAGAAAGGATCGCATGGTTTTGTATTAGACTGGGAGTATCCGGCTGCTATATACAGGCGGATACGGGGGTCTATGTAGGCAAAAGTGGCACCATGAGGATCCATACGGATCCTTACGGGGGTCCATAATGACCAGAGACGCAGCTCATATGCCCGAAATGAGTCCTGCGGATCTCATCCTCCCCCACTGACCCGAAACTGGTCCCAAGTTTCTTCACGGCTAAGTATAAAAATCATCAAAAATCGTTCTATAAGGCCCCGACCGGCTCCAAATGGACGGAATATGCTGCGATTTCCGTGCAATCGTAGTAGATAAAGGGACAAAGGAGCTTCACTATAGCAAAACCGCCAAGAATGGCATGAAACAGCCAGAAATAGCATAAAACGTTGCCTATGAATGACTCCGTAAGCCTTAGTAAGCATAAAAAACATATGAAACGGTGTAAAAAAGTATCGTTCTTTGTCTAAAATAAAGGAAATGAAGCCGTAAAAATAGTAATAATGAGATTTTGAGGGGTTGATCCCTCCCCTAGCGCTTTATAAGGAGTAAAGTGAGGGTGTCTCGGACTAAACGGGTGGCAAATCCTATAGTAAAAGGCTATATTTATATCCGCGAGGGCTTCACTTCGTCGCGTTTGCTTCTTATATAAGTAGTCAAACAACCCCGTTTTCTCACTTTCCTTCCTTCTCTCACCTATAACTTCTCGTCCTCCTACTTTTACTTTAACGTAGTCGCTTTTTTATTATTTTTCATTAATTCAATCCCGTGTAAGTTGTTTTTAAGGTGCACGGACCCTAGTACGTGCTTTTTCCGCGTTCCTAAAGGCCCTATAGGGCGTTCTTAGCCCGGTCGCGACTATAAACTAACACTAGGTTCTCCGTATAGCAATTTTTCCTCCGCGCTAATCGTTCTATATACCGCCTAAGTCCGCCTATCGCCGTTTAGGTGACATTCACCTTATAACACCTCCTCGCCCGTAAGTTTCTTACTCCATACCGGCCTTATAGGCCTAATACTAACGCGTTTTTAATAGTAGCACTCGTTCGCGCGCGCCCGTTTCGGCCCCTAATCCCGCTTAGTCGGTTCCTACCGCGTCGCCTAGTATGCCTTTTCTTTATCCGTTCGTGAATACTCCCCGTCCTATATCCTAGTACCCCGATTGTAAAGTGCCTCCGCCTCCCTATAACCGGCCGTTTCGGCGTCTTCCGGTGGCTCCTAGGAAACCGCCTATCGTGACTAATACTAACGAGCCCGTATATAGTGATAAACAACTGTAACGGATAAAAGATCCTTACAACTGGAATACCCAGAGCGGGCCATATCAATGATCTATCAATAGATCGACATCGATTCGATGTCGATCCGAGAGGGGTTCGTCAGGTGATATCAATGTCAGCACTATCATGTTGGTTTCCCTATAGTCAAGGACCCCCAAAGGATCCTTTGCATTCTGGCAAGAATTAGTCTTGGCACACTCTACAATACATTGTGTTCCCCTCTCAGTCATAGTATCTTACCCGGTTGACAGGCCTTACACCTGAAAACAGTATACCTTTACATTACTATTATTATAAGAAGCCACGTAGTATAACGTCGTGCTATAAACTTGTCTAGCTAAGGTTCTATAGCGTTTACGTTAAGCCTAATAATATCCACTAGGTGCCGCACTATTTCTATACGCTATTCGAATAGCGCGGTGCGGAAAGAGTTATTAGATAGTGCGTAAACGGCCGCTTGCTCGACGGCTTAGTATAGCGTCCGTCGGCCTAAGGGCGCACCTCTAGCTCGTAGTAGCTTAAATGTCGCGACCGAACCCTCCGCTATAGCGATTTTAAGGACTAGCGGAGTGTCGCCGGGTAGATCCACACTAGCTCTATAGGTAAGGGACCACTTAAGAAGGTCGGGGTACCTTATAACGTACTATAGTAAGGGCCAATTAGTGCTATTAGGCCCCTAGCTATTAATATCCTAGCCGTATATAATAAGTATCTTAAGCACCTCTCGCGAAGGTTCGACTAATTCATCCTTACTTATAATCGCTCCGGCGGTTATCGTGCTAATTTCCGCACCCTAATCGAGGAGGTAGGATAGTACTTAGGTTACACTTCTCGTAACGGAGCGCCTAAGGCCATTCTAAATGACTTCTTACACTATATTCCGTGATTCGGGGTTAGACGCAATTGAAATAGCTTGAGCTATTAGGGATATATCGTCAGTCATATAAGCCTAGAGGCTTAATGCTAAAGGGTGGATAGGCCGACTCGCGTTAGTCTGTGTCTGCGCTATTGTCTCGTGTGATTTGAAGGACGAGGCGAGGAATTTGTTACGACAATTGCAATAGGCGCTTGCGTTCTAAGTTGACGTCAAACAATCCGTAATAGAGGTGTTCCGCAGTTTTGTCGAACCGAACTCGATTCTGCCAGTCAAAATCAAAGGTTGCGTTTATTCGTACCGGACACTAAGCTATATTAGGCCATCACGTGAGAGCCCCTAGTGCCCTGTTTTTTAAAGGTTAGGTTTTTTTGTACCCAACACTAAACTATATTAGGCCATCACATGAGAGCCAGATGGTCACTGTTTTTTAAATGGTAATCCTACGTTCCAATTTCTTAGTAATCCCCATAGTGATGTGAACACACCCGCCCCACTGAATTAAATCTTCATTTTTGAAGCTATTTACATGCCTTTTACCCGTATCCTGTGAATGGCTGCGACTTTAAAAGTGAAATTGTGCTCCCCGTTAATTATCAAACTTCGTTGCAATGTGTACGACATCTTGTGCCGGACATGTTAGAGCTCGAGGACGAGCCACAGGTATCTGTGATGATTATACAGCACAAAATGACCACTTTAGGTCCATAGAATGAGTATGTTCACTCGGTCAAAGTCAAATATAACGGCGACACGTTTGACTACTTCCTGTCCCTCATCCTCGACAATGACTCACCAATATTCTGCGGCCGCGAGCAATTCGGATTCCCTAAGAAGTTAGGCAATATGACGTTCGTGTCGAAAACTGGGTCGACGGTCGTTCGGGGCTACGTGGAGAGACCTGCAGGTCAAAAGGTTGTCGAAGTTGGTTTCCAGCCTGACCAAAAAGTGAAGGGAACGGTTGAGACAACGATCAAGGGGTTAAATTTGCGAGTTATCTCCTCGGTGGTTTCGAATCAGAGTCCGTCCGTCAAGGAACTGGTGCCGGTGGACGTCAGGATGGAGGCAAGCGAGGTTTGGCAAGGCTCTGGTTCTATCTGTTTCCCAGAGCCGTCAAGGTTTGATCCGATACATGAAGTCAAAGTCCTTCGATACGGAACGGCGACTTTGTTGCGGAATGCATCCATTGCGATCCCTCTGCCGACAAAAGTGTTCCAGCTATAATGAAAATTTAGTTCGTGTTAAAATGGATGCGTGCGGACCATTAAAATCTGAAGCACAATTCACCCCGAGATATGCTACGGATACCATATATTAGTAGGTCATTGTAGTAATTTCTCGTAACTTACCCTTGGACAGTATTAAAAACAATCTCGCTATTATTGGAAAAAGGAGATCTGCGCAGCTTCTCACGACGCGATAACCTCAACGCCCCACTATAAAACACACGGGGGCCGCAATCCATATGTGGCTACCCTGGACAAGATAGGCACCGGCCATAACCCTGAGTTCCGTGGGCAGCTAACGCCTGAAGGGTGGCCACTTGACTATGCTGGCCATGACTAATCCTGGCGCTCGAGATGTACGATGGCACAGGATTTTCGACTTTTCTCCAAATTTCCAACTTTTTGGCAACCAAGCACGAGGAAACAAGGTATAGACTTCAGTTCAGTTGAGCATTGTCTCTCTCCTCTAGGACATTTTCCTTTCATGTATAGATTTTGATTGGTACTTATAATAATGGTACCTACAGATTTCTCACCCATAGGATTGTGACCGTCCATCGCATTCTCCACGGGACGATCCGATATAAGTAGCATTTAGAAGAGAAGAGTCAATTACAAAAAAGGGTTACAAGATGAACGCTGTTCACATCCTTTGATGATCGCAACGCCATGTAACAACTACAAAAGGACCGAGACCAGCGTGGCTAGGGACCGGTAAGCCATAAAGAAGTCAAAATATTCAAGTGCTCCAATAGAAGTGATAAGACTAGCGCGAGTAGTGCAATTTAATTGTATCTTACTTCTCAAGACGCAGACATATACCTTAGTTCGTAACCAACAACACCCGGCCTTAATAACCATTAATCCCAGGATTCTCGTTCCTATTAATTTCAATATAGAGGATGGTTGCCCAAATTACGACTAGGAGCCTATTCAGCTAGATTCACTCAATCTTTCGTATAAACCCGAGACAAAGAATGAACCCTTTAATGACACAATATAGCCAGATCGAACAACCCTTTCCGAGCCCTATCAATCTATCTCAAAGATTAGGGCAGCGAATTGAAAGAGGGCACAAGTAAGGCTTTACGAATAGATTGCCTTATCTCCAGCAATATAATTGTTGCAATAGAGGATAAGCGCGAGGAGCACCCTTATACGTAGGCAGAATACGATGATAACTTCCCTTATGATAATTAATCCAATATCAGTAGCGTTCACAGACCGCTCACTAGAGCTAAGATAAGATCACAACTGCTTCTAAATCATCCGGATAATTTGGGCACTCGCAAGCCCCGTTAGAGGCTTAATTTAAAAGAGAAACGAAGGCTGCTTGAAACTGACGGGCCAGAATCTGACCCTAAGGTAGATTGGGCCTCACTTCGTAGATATAGATACGGCCTTTCGACGACTGACCTAGTAGGATTCGGAGCTTCCCTAGCGATGAACCAGATTACAGGCTAATCGAACGGCCCATCGTGGTCATGCTCACTAGGTCTTTTTTGTAGGTCGAGCACTATACTGTGTGCCAATAATAGTCTGTTTGTACATAACTTACCTTTCAAGAATAATAGAGACTATGCTCTTTAACAAATCCCTGCCTATAATGTCATAATGTCGCTACTCAAGACTCCAGCGAGAGGCACTCGTTGATGTAGCAAAATAAACAATGAAAACATTACCTTTGTAGCTTTCTCTTGAGGTAGACTTTCTGGAAAGTAGTTTAGTCGGAAAGACAGCCGTCGTTTGTGCTAGATTCGAAGTTGAACAGATTCGCACTGCCTAAGGACGATAGCGAGTGATGAATGCAACGTGTTCTGACAAAAACCGATTACAGCCAGCTTGTCACAGTGTAAAAAACCTTTACATTACTATTACGTAGTCATAGTTGCACCGCCACACTTGAACGGGCATATCCAGCAGGTATTTACCAAATGTAATGTAACGTAACTGTTATGTTTTCTGATGCAGCTACAGATCTAGTAGCTGGAAGATCTTTATGAAGATGGAGGGAGAAAGAAGGAAGAAATCTTGGCTCCTAGATCTATTGAAAAAGTAGGGTATTTATACCCCGAGAAATGTGGCAAATAAAGCTGTCAGACAAAGACAAACAGACAAAGCGCTCAGTCCGCAAACATCTAACAGCTTCTGGAAAGATCTAACATTTTCGTTTGTATGATACGACATAACCACCGGCTTGATTTACGCCAGTATACTATTAATCGATATCCCGGGACCACAAGAAAATCAAACTGTCGTCAGTATTTTTTTCCGTCATACCAATAGCTCCATTATCCTAGTGAGTTTTTCTCCAATGGCCTGCGGTTGCTATGATGGAATCAGAGGAGCTTCTAGAGCAACGCTCCTCATCGAGATCCGACAAAAGCATTGTGCTGTTTCCCATAGCCCAACATGAAGTGCACTAGTCCGTATCTGGCTACCTTTCGGCCAACCCTGTATATCCTGGAACAGATGCTTACGCTGCCTCATTTACGCCATCCATCGCTATTGTTGGCTATCGACAATCATTCGATAGGCGTTTTGCATCTGCTCAGAGACCGATATTATCTGGGATGTTTGTTAGCGGGAAACAAGGGCTCGTATCCAAGACGAAAATCCCCATTAACCTCGCTTACATTCTCTGGTTTGAAAGGTTCAAAATGATTCCCTGGGATCATCAAGACTGCAATCTTCTGGTTGAGAAATTCTTCCCATGCAAGATTATTCTGTGCTCGAGCGGCCTGGTCCTCTAGGAAAGGATACTGAACACCACAGAGGCTTGTGGTATCAAGTACATCTTCGCATTGAAGCATCACGTATGGAATGATAGTCGTTGGCTTTGACTTGTGGGAGCCATAGGTATACTCTGATAGGAAGCGTGCGTGGCTTTGGAACTGTGAGCGTAGGATGGACCGAGTGTAATCATCTGTTGCTGCTAGGCCTGACACCTGTGGTGTACGCATTGAGTTGAGGATATATTCAATGACAGGTGGTGGAAGAGGTGCATGGTCTATGGGACAGGGTGAGTCGATCAAAATTACGCCTTGCACCTTTTGACCCAAGGCAAATAGCTGCTGCGCGACCTCATGAGCGAGCACACCGCCAAAGGACCAGCCTATACAAGTGAATAATGGTTAGTATGACGAACTGGACGCACAAAATCCTAGGCTAAGGTTACGGAAGCGGAGTACATCCAATATATCCTTACCTCCCAGAACGATCGCTTCCCCCTTTGAGACTGAGAATATCACTGTAGCGTAATGTGCGGCCATGTCGACCAAGCTGAATGCCCAGTGGGAGCCTCCCGTCAATTGCGGATTTGCAATGCCAAATAAACTGCAATTGACTGGACCGAGATTACCCAGCCTCTTATACATGCCCACCGTTCCTCCTCCATCATGAAACAGGAACAACGGGATCTGGTCCACTGAGCCCGTTGCTAAAGCGGTGGGGCGCACATTTGGAGAAGAGTAGGTCTTGGACAAAGGTGTCATGTCGCCCGGATCTGAGTCGGTGGTAGTTGTTGAAGAGGTTTGACTTGAGACCAGCGCTTCGAGATCAGAAAGCCGGAAGTCCGAATGTATGGCTTCTTGCGGTATCGTTCGCCCTATTCTATCCGATAGGATATCCGACAGCTCTAGCGATAGCAGGGAATCAACACCTAGAGATCGAATCGGGGTGTCCAACGAGATATCACTTTCTGGCACCCCGGTAATTTCATGCAGAATAGACACGAACATGTCAATAAGCGAAGATTGAGGAAGTGGCGAGGGCGATGCAGCAGGGATTAACTGGCCATTCGTATTTGACGCTATCTGACCATTCTCATCCGCGCCATGAAGACCATGTCTGTGTCTCTGAGGCTGGTTATTTGAGCTGCGACAAGGATTGCTCCGGCGTGGAGTCTCGCCGGCCAGATGCACATAATCCTGCAAATCTTGGACAGTCTCGGTATCCATTACCAGAGCCATATCGAGCTGCTTTTGTGGGAATAGCCGGCGTATGCCGTCAAAAAGCTCCAGCTTCATCAACGAATCAATACCCAGTCGTGAGAGAGGCGAGGAAGCCACGATAGCTTGCGAAGGTATCTCACAAATTTGGGACATGAGTTCCACGATAGCATGCCCCCCATTGTCAAGAGCAACCCTAACAGCAGGATCTCTCTTCTCTCTTGACCCTTCATATTCGCCGTTTGTTGTTGTAGGTGGGCATGCGATGGCAGTGTTGGTTGGAGTCGAGTGACGCGAGCTAAACCGCGAGAGATGACGTTGGAAGAAGGCTAGATTCAGCCGCTGGAAATGCATTCCTTCCACTGCTGCTACCACAGCCCCATCGGAGTTGATGGCGTATGCCTCCCCCACCAGCGCTCCTTCACCGGAAGGAAGAAGGCTACAATATATACTGAACTCTTGACCAGGACCAATTTTCTCGACGAGGACTCGACAGGTCTCCACCTTGCTGCAAATACATGCCTCTGAGGCTTCAACATGGCTGTTTGCCACAAATCCCGCTGCATGCAAGAGTGTATCAACAAAAACGGGCGAAAGCACTCCCTTGCCTGCATCCCATGCATCTGCAGCGGAGCGAAAGCTGCCAAATGCTTCCAGGCTGCCATCCACGAGGGTAAGCTGTTGGAGAGTCTGGTAGATATCTGAGTAGGTTACAACACGAGGGAAAATGACGTTGTAAATCATACGGGTATAGAAATGATTTTTCGGGATGTGCTTCGATCGAAGGTGGGTGAGTTGCCGTTTAACGTATGCCGCCTTAAGAGCCATATATCTTTCTGTCGCTGACTGGGGTTCGTATTCAATTTGGCCGGAACAGTGAAAGATGGCATTATCATGCCCGACTGCGTCCATGGACTGGAAAGTGAATTTCCGTGTCGTTGTATCTGGTTTCTGTAGATCCTGGGAAGTAGGGCTGTCTAATGTCAACCTGATCAACCGTTCATCGTTTGTTTCCAGGTGCAGTAAAGGTCGGGAGAATGTCAGATTCTGAACAACCAGCATATGGTCTTGCTGTGTGATTGGGTCGACTGTGCTTGCTTCGAGAAGCATTCCATGATATATGGATGCCGGACATAATGAATGGCCCCCAACCATATGCCCGACTATGTACCTCGATATAGACGCAACCCGTGCACCAAATTGTAGGACGGTAGGGTCTTCTCCGGATGGTTGAATATCTTCCAACAGATGGAAAGATCGGGGAACATCACAGGATTGTGAAAACTTTCTCTCTAATTTCGCACCACCCCGCTCCTTATACGGCACATATATGGCGCTTTGTTGGAACGGATAGTAGGGCACATCCGTGAGAGTGGCGTTCGTTCCGGCAAAGACTTCACGCCAGTTAATCTCGTGATGTAGATTTGCTAGATTCCTGAGGGAATTGCAAATCGTTACCCAAGGATCCTGATTTCTTCTTAACGATGGCAACAGAAGACAGTCCGAGCCGGAAAATGCATTTTTGACCAGTGGAAGGGTAATGGGTGCAGGTCCAATCTCGATGAAGGTTAACGGACTTGGAAATCTCGTATCCTGGGAGACGGAAGCCAGCAGGGCTTCGAAATTAACTGCACCCCGGGCCTGGCTAACGAAATACTCCGGCGTAAGGTCCTCAAACTGCAGCTGTCGACCGTAATGGCAAGACCCAACGGGAAACTTCGGCGGATAGAAGTTGATATTGGTACAAAATTGCCGCAAAGCCTCTAAGATGGGATCGAGAGCCGCTGAGTGGAAGCCCAGAGGAACATCCAATTTTTTATATCGGCGACCATCGTGTTCGAGTCTCGCAGCCAGCCATTCGAGGTCTTCGACGGAGCCCGAAATAACTACGTCGGTTGTGCCGTTGACGCAGGCAACCTCTAACGACGCCCGAACTCCCCGAGTGGACTTGAGCAGAGACTCGAAATCAGACACTGAGAAATTGCATGCCAGCATTCCTGTTCGTCCCATTTCGCACTCCTGTGCCATCAACCGGGCTCTGAATGCCACCAGTGACAGTGCGTCGCTCAAGGAAATCGCCCCGGTGATAGCTAACGCGGTATACTCGCCCAAACTAGTGATCGGTCAGTCATGTAGGCCGAATCAGAAATGGATGCTCTCTCTGACTTACCTGTGCCCGAGCACAAAGTCCGGCCGAACGTTCAGAGATAGCCATAGGCAAGCGAGTCCATATTCGACAACGAAGCAGGAAACTTGGGATACCATCAACACATCTTCCGGTCTCGTAGGAGCGCATCCATCATTCAAATATGGTATGATTCTGCAATAGCCAAGGGATTCGAGAACTCCATCGCACTCTTCCACTGCTTGTTTGAAGGCCGGTGCGGTGGAAAGCAAAGCTTTGCCCATGCCTGGATAGCACCCGCCTTGTCCTGAGCAGACGAAGATTATGGGTTGTTGTCCTGACTGGCAGACATGCGTCATGATGCTCCCACTTTCGAGGCTGCTCAGGACATCTTGTGTACGCTGGCATACAAGGGAAATTTGATGATCGTACATCTGCCGTCTAGCAGTAACAGTGTAGCAAAGATTGTGAAGCTCCGTGTCTGGAGTATCCCGCAGCATTTGAATAAATGCAAGACGATACTTCTCGAGGGCTTCCACGCTTTTTGCAGATAATCGGAAGTTATATGCTGCTCGTCTCTTTCCCCACTGCTTGTCCTCTGATATCAGAGGAGGTTCCTGAACAACGAGCGCAGCATTGGATCCCGCTGCGCCAAAATTATTAAGCAGTGCTCTTCGTGGTTTCCCCGCGGTTGGTGCCCACTCTGTTGTTCCTGTGGCGATATGGATATCGTCGGATTGAAGCGCAGACAGGGCGGGATTGATGGTCTTTAATCCGATCTGAGGAGGAATTTTGTTCTTCATCAGCATCAACAAGAGCTTGGCCAAACCCGCAGCACCAGAGGCCGCTTCGGCGTGGCCGATATTGGCTTTGATAGACGTGAGGTGCACCGAATGACGCGAGGGATGGAGCCCGCTGAACACCGAGGCGATACTTGACACTTCAGTAGCATCTCCAGCCTACAAAGATTCAGCGACAGAGGTTTTAGCAAATACATGTGACGACCTACCTGAGTTCCAGTGCCGTGAGCCTCAATAACGCTGATAGAGCTGGGATGATAGCCTGTTTTGGCGAGCAACCGCTTGAATAATCTGGCCTGAGTCGGTCCGTGGGGATGGGTGATTGATTTGGCGTTGCCACATTGATTCACCTCCACTTCCTTGATCACGCCATATATGCGGTCATTTTCATCGAGGGCGTCTTGTAGACGTTTGATAATAAAGATTCCACACCCCTCAGCTCGGCTGTAGCCATCGGCACCGGCGTCAAACGCTTTGCATTGCCCATGGTCGCTCAGAAAATGTGCGCGTGCAAGTCCCAGGAACATCTGGCTCATTGTCAGAATCTCATTAATTCTTCAGAGGGTAAGGGGGTGCATTACGTCGGGACTTGTGATAGCGTTAACTCCTCCTGCAATTGCCGCCGAACAGTCACGATTCTGCAATGCGCGGCAAGCTTGATAAATAGCCATCAGAGACGAGGAGCATGCCGTGTCAACAACCATCGATGGTCCACTGAGGCCGAACGCATAGGAAATCTTTCCGCTCAGAAAAGCCCGAAGAGTGCCTAAGATTCGTCAGCAGTTTCCCAACCTGTTTTGCCAGCATTCTGGTGACTGATACCGGGCGAGTAATAGACATCTATATCATCAATAAGATTCTGAACGTAGTCATCAGTAGCTACGCCTATGTAACAACCGATGGAATCGCTCTGAAACGATAATGTTGCATCGGGGACGTATCCGGCGTCATCAAGGGCTATTTTGGCTCCCTGCAGCAATAGCTTTTGCTGGGGATCCATTGACTTCGCTTCCCGGGGAGAGATGTTGAAGAATCCATGGTCGAAAAGGAAAGGATTATCCAGGAAATTCCCAGTATGAGTTGACATGGACCGCTTTCCATCTGAGTAATCACTAACCCTAAAGCGAGTATCTGGAATCTGCAATAATGTTAATACAAATGAGTATACACCACATAGGGGCCTTGAAAACCAGTCAATTACCTGTTGAAGGGCGCTCAGCCCATTCTCTAATGTATGCCAAAGCTGTTCCTTTGTAGCCCCAAGCGGAAAGTTCACCGACATGCCTACGATAGCGAAGCCATCGTGATCTAGCTCGGAAGTTTCTTCAATGGCGCCATTGATAATTCGAGGGATCGAAAGGCTCTCCCCACCCACGGCTCTAGATGCATGGATCAGAAATGAGTATGATCCGGGACCGATAGCCATCAAGGTGACATTGCCGTTATTCTTCGAGTTTGATTGTATGATGTTCGCCCAGGTGTTTGCCCATTCAGAAGAGTCGATAAGGATGCTGCGTAGAACATACTCGACGAACGAGGTGTCTAATTCACGCTTGTCAGTCAACAACGATCCGTCTTTGGCAGACCATAGTGGAAGCACTAGATCGGATATGTCGGGAAACGCGATGTTTCGTTGTTTCACATCCTGGAGAACCGCCTCTAGTGTAGGCAGTTCCTCGCGGCCACCATGGTAAAGTCCGTAGACGTCAATGGGCTCACAGAGAACCGACGCCTGTATATACTGGGAGCGTAGCCGCTGCAGCAGGCGACTGTCTCCTGTAAGACTTAGGAGCGTACTTCCAGAGACGCCCGATATACGAATGGGCGCCTGGGTGGGTGCTGCGTCCTATGCAATGTTAGATTGATACACTTGATCCTTTGTATCGTCAAGCTACTACGTAGATATCAGCTACTCACATTATCCTCGAATATGCTCAAAGTCCGTTCCATCTCTGCTCTATCTAGTCCAACAACTGCCAGAGACCAGGGGTACAGCTGCCACTCAGCGCCCCCGAGACGGGCACTGAGTTCACCGACTCGATAACCAATCCAGAAGGCAAGACGCACGGCCTCCTTGGCCCATGAGATAAATGCTGAGACATCTCGACTGGAGGCTGCAACCGCCGCCGGCAAGATACCAGAGCAGAGTCCAGCCACTGCTGATCCCGCCCGTTGGGGCCATCCTCGTTCACCATGCAGATAATGAATCAGTTGATGGACACAGAGAACCACCCCTTGCATAACAGGGTTCTTGTGGCACTCCTCAGGCACTGCAAGTAAATCCAGTGGCGCCTGGACTCTGTCAAATACGGCCCAGGCTGGGATTGGACCCAGGCTTCTCAGATGCAACAGCTCGCCCAGAAAGGCGCCATGGCAGGACGAGAGTAGGAAAGAAACGGTGGTAGAAGTGAGCGCCGCTCTTTGAGAACCCGAAGTAACCGACTTCGAAAAGAGTGACCGGCTGCCCTGGCCACCGAAAAAAGCTATATGGCTGGTATTTTCCATCGTGGGCGATTTCCTGATCCTGCACATTAAGTGAAAAGGAAAAAAAATACATTTATATATAATATAATATACATAGGTAATATACCATAATACAAAAACCAACCGTTGAGTCTAAACAATAGACTACAGCAGTTTATAGCGGCCACCGGGAATGTGTAGGTAAGTAATTGTGCATCTTACATATTATACATATGGCAGAAAATTAAAATACTTGAATTACTATAACAGCGCCTATAGCGAAAGCATGCAGATATGAAGGTATAGGTAGTATGAAGACTTTTAGACTCTTTGGACTCTTTTTAGGACTTTTTCCACTGCCTACTTTTCAAACGATAATGTATCGGAAGAAATTTTATATACACGTCATATCTACTCCTGATGCTGGCGACCAATCATATGCACCGTAGGGCTTGATGCAAACGCCTAAGATAGGCTCTGTATGAGATCCTTGATGGTGTAACTCCTGCTGCCGGAGAGCTTTGTACACCGTTGAATATGGCTAGTCCTGTAGAGAAAATAAGTGGATCGCGATATGTATGGGTAATTGCTAGTAAAATACGATAGATAATTCAGTTATAAGCGGTCTCTAAAGCGGTCAATGGGGTATCAAATTACCATACCATACAGACGTGGCCGGTGGGCGCTATAAGCCGCTGTAAATAGACCAACAGTTGGTTTTGTCGGCTGGAGAAGACCTAAATCCGCGATGCAGGTAAACATGATACGGAGTATGCTTGCACAAACTGTCTAGGGAGATGTGCCCTACTGTTTAAGCTTCAACCATCGTGTATAGTGCTAGTACGAGCTGGCCGCTTGAGCTCCGTACTAAGCACGAAGTGAAGGGATGCATACACTTCCCCAGGCATATGGATCGAACTACCTGATGCCGTTTTAGTACATTTGCCGCTTGAATATAAGTATCATCCCGGCAGGCTAGGCCATTGTTTCAAAATTGCGTACTTGTTATTGCTTAAGAATTGAACCATGAATCCGCCATTCAAAGCGGTCGTCCTGGATTTGTGGGATATACTGCTCTCCCGAACTGTTCCCACCAGCACCAAGATTTCGCGCCATACTTTGAAAGATATCTTCTCCTCCGACATATGGTACAGCTACGAGTGCGGCCAGCTGAGCGATGATGACATTCGTCGAGAGGTTGCCGTGAGATATTCACTAGATGTGGCCGATGTCGTTGATATCCTGCAGCAAACCCGGAAGATCACTACCCGAGATGAAAATATGATACAGAGTCTCCGTATCCTCAAAGGGCAACACGGCAATGGTGTTCTTCTATGCGCCATGCTGAATATTCCCAGCGCAGACTACGAGGCTATTCGTCACAGAATCGCGGAATGGGCCATTTTCGACCGGGTCTTCACATCCGGTAATACAGGCATGCGAAAGCCTGACTTGTGCTTTTACCGACATGTTCTCAGTGAGATCCGACAGCCTCCTGAAGAGGTGATCTTTGTCGAATCAAACCCTGAGGACGTTCTACCTGCTCGATCCATTGGCAGTCGCGTTGTCCTCCACACAGATGCAACCAGTCTTCACCAATCGCTACAGAACTTACTGGGAGACCCCATAAAGCGAGGAAATGAGTTCCTCCGCGGAAATGCGAAGCGGCTAGACAGCGTCACAAACACCGGTGTTACTATTCGGGATAACTTCACCCAGCTCTTAGTGTTGGAAGCTACTAAGAATCGGTATAGTCTCGCTCTGTCCGAGCAAATGCGCCGCTTAAAGCTAAAAATTATAATACAGTGATCTGATCTACCTTGAGGAGCACCTAAGGACGTGGAACTTCTTTATAGGTGTGTCAAAATCCAGCATTGTGGAAATTAGCATCCCGGATCTTAGACATCTTACTGTGATATATAGGGAAGTCCTTGCTCACGACTAGTGCGTATCCTGATGACTTCGACACTACATGCACAGCATTGACCATGCTGGAGCCCGACAAAGGGACTGTATCTTCGGTCTTGGATGAGCTAGCTGGCTATGTCAGCAACGACGGCGTTGTTCTGGTATCCTCCTTCCCATGCAACAAATTATTTCAGGCAACAAACTAACTAACCTGTCCTGGGAAAGACGTACTTTGACCGCTCTAGGCCCCGCGTTGATCCGGTTGTCTGCGTCAATGTCCTGAGGGCTTTCTATAAGTATGGACGCGGTCACGAGCTACAGAATACCCTCCACTGGGTGCGCGACGTGTTAAAGAGCCGAGCCTATATCGAAGGCACGCGATATTACCCGACCCCCGAAGCATTTCTGTACTTCCTCAGCCGTCTGCTCGAGAGTGCAAACGGCGTCTACCTCCACCGCGAACTCTTCCTTATTCTCCGAGAGCGAGTCAAGGAGCGCGTCGGGCTTCCGGGGGACGCACTTTGTCTTGCCATGCGTCTGCTTACCTGTCAGTATGTCGGTATTTCAGATGAGGCCGACCTAGCGAAACTCTGTTCAATGCAGTGTGAGGACGGGGGATGGGAGCCCGGGTGGGTCTATCGGTACGGAAAGACCGGTGTCATGATTGGCAACCGGGGACTGGCAACAGCCTTGGCTGTGAATGCGCTGTCGCAAGCGGAGGTATACAAGACTTCCCGAGACTCTGAGCTCAAGCATCAAGGCGTATCTAGTATCAGTATCCCGACGGGATTCAAGACACTCTATGGTGCCTTCGTTAACTGGATGTATCCTTATCCGCAATCGGTCAAGACCTCGTCATAGGAATAGAAACAATGCATGCCCCGAACGGGCAATTCCTGGAGACCCTCCTTAACTTAGGTCAAAAGAAACAAGAAAAATAAAAATAAAGTTAAATGACATAACGTACTGATTCAAGCCTGACTGCACGCAGTAGTGCTGGTAGTACTGATATCTTGATGGAGGTATATCGTAAAGGCTACTGGTAAGAAAGGACGAGAAGAATCCAGGACAATGCTAATGTATTGTGCTGGTGGAGACAGAGAGATAGGAAGAGTGAGAGGTGCACCTACATGAGTAGATCATCAAGATGAAGACGGCGACATCATAGAGGCCAGCTCCTCGAATCATAACGAGAAACATGCACCCCAGTCAAGCACCGAACCTCATCCTGCTAGGAATAAGCATGATGGGATAGTCTTTGACTTCATCCGCCCAGAAGAATGCGCAGAACTGACCCGCATTGCCTGGAATTTCTCTCGAAACCTTGCTGCCGATTATGGCGTTTCAGGAATGGCAGATGTCGAACGCAATGACACATTAGAAGATGTCAAGCTAGGGGATCCGGTTCTAGATCCAACAAGTGATGGATTTGACCATTACAAATGGGCTCGCATGATGCTGAAGCTGATGGGCAAGGAAGGAGTTCCTGTACGAAGGTCGACCAGTGTGTCATCATATCTGTACCAGGTTCTTTCAACTGATGATCTATAGAACCCCAGGACAGCGTCCAGGTTAGAACTAACCTTAGACATGACCTTTGCACAGAGCATACTCCGTACTGCCTTAGACCTCACGGAAGCGCAGAAATTCAGGGGCTTGGAATTGGTATTCTTATCGTTGATTCCGCTCGACTCCGTGCTCAGCACGGAGTGAAGCCACAGCCACAACGTCTATAGTATTATCAAGTAGTATATATTAGATGCTCGGTAAGCAAGTATACCCAATAATAACCTATAAGAGTTACATTGCTTCGTCTGACAAAATCCGAGCAAGAACCGCAGCCATGAATACAACAGCCGACAAGCGAAATCGATCGCCAGTGGCAAGGGTTTCATGCATGCTAGATTCCCTGGAGATCTATCTGCACCGCCTCTGCACGCGCTCCCGATTCTTCACTCGGAAGAACTGGCAGTACTGCTGTCTCCTGAGCGGCCAACTATCCTTCCTCTGCGCCTTCATGGTCCTCGTCGCCGCGGGGTTTCTCCCACCCATGAAGCCGACCTGGTCCGCTGAGAGGGTCCACGAACACTACTTCTCGCACAAAGAGGGCGTCCGGGCCAGCGTGCCCCTCCTCCTTCTCTCTGGCGGCTTCTACCTCCCCTTCTCAGCTCTGCTCTCCAAGCATCTCCGGCAGATCCCTGGCGTCGATCCCATCCTCCCTGACCTCCAGCTGGCGGCGGGGGCCGCAAGTATATTCTCCATCATGGTCCCCGCAAGCTTCCTAGGTCTGATCACCTTCCGCGACTACGGCCCCGAGTTGACTCTGTTGATCAGCGATCAGTTCTGGCTGAATTTCTTCCTTCCCTGGCCTACCTTTTTAATCCAGGCGTGGACTGTGGCTTGGGCCGCCTTCGCCGACACCAGCGCCAAGCCGGTCTTCTCGAAGACAGTCGGGCTGATCAACTTTGTCGTACCCTTTTTTTACCTGTCACTTACTGGCGTGCATGTGCAACATGAGGGGCCGTATGCTTGGAGCGGTGCACTTACTTTCTGGGTGGCGGCGGTGGCTTTTGGCGTTCAGATCGGAGCGGATACAAACTGCCTGTTTCAAAGGATTCGAGCCATGCCCGACGATGACTGTGCCATTGAAGAAGAAGAGGAAGAAGCCCAAGGCATCGCAGGCCCCTAGGTTACGATATAAAGTAAAATAGTGCATTTGACTCACTCCGATGAAACATTTTGTTCTTTTCTAGCTACTTCGTAAACTGGAGAGTCTTTTCACATGTAGCTGTATGCAAGCTAAATGACCCACCCGACTTAGGCGTCATCCCTCGGTTTCCAGAGTGTCAGGAGTACAGCAACAACGCCTGCAACTCCGACTACTATCCAACCACTCCGAGCTATTTGCTTGTTTGTCAACATTCGGCCAGTATCCCAAACCAGATGACGGATGCCATTGAAGCTGTGGAAGACGAATGGAAGAGCAACTCCAAATTTCAGAGCGAACTGAGCCGATGGCGAAAGGCCACTAAACGCAGCTACTAAGGACTCAGACCCGATATTCCACCCAGTCACTGGGGATAAAAGATAGGCTGTTGCATAGAGGTATAATCCACCTGAAAGGGCAATGCCAGTAATTCGAGTAGCTATACTGACGATCCAGGTGATCTGAGGACGGTAAATAGAGAGATGAGGGGAGACTGGTCGTCTTAAGCGTTGCTGTGCGAGAAGATTCATGGGGTTGTTGGGAGTGTTATTCAACTGCGACGAATATCTGAGACAGAGACTGCCGACGAGAAGCAGGTCATTAGCCAAACGTGGGGATAGCCGTGTAGAGGCTGCTTACCTTCTCGGCAATGCACATCGCCAGTTCAAGCCAGCGCGGCCAAGCCCAACCTGAACGGAGCCAGCTGGACGAGATCGCGAGGTCAGCAAAAGCCTTCATACATCAATGCCAGGTAGGAGGGTAAGAGTGCATACCGCAACCTTGGAGCGGTCGGAATCTGATAAGAAACATAACGGATGAGATGAGTTAGTGGGAGATGTGAGGCCAAGGAAAGGGAGGGGGAGGTTCGACAGTTTTGTTTCTCGTTGGTTGGTCTGGCCAGATGTTTCCGCCACTCGCCGCACTGGCCACGAACAACGGCCCGTTTACAGTAGCAAGTCAGACTTCCAGTTTTTGTCGCACTGTCGATTATTATTATCTCCATTAAGTGGGCCGCTCGGGATAATGATCATTCGAGGCAGCAGCGGCTGTAGCCTCTTAGGTCGTGACTACGGAAGAAAGTACTTTTTACCTACCTGTAGTTAGGGGTCGTGGAAATTGCCAAATGAGGGGTTTTTGACCGTATATCTACATCCAAGACATTATACCCAATTCAGCATATGGGTCAATCTATTCAAAGTTCCATTGTGGATCGATGGTTGAAGCTCCTTCGACCCACACGTCAGCGCTAAGTATGTATTAACACTCAACCTCAACAAGCAGACTCGTTTGATTGTCAAAATAACATGACCGTTTCAACCCCGTGCATCAATGCCTGCCCCAAAGGGGAGAAGGAGTAGCTGTCATTAATGCCATATCGTTAGTTCCATTGCCAGTTAACTAGTTCCTCATTAACCACACCAAGACGATAGAAACCCAATCTTCAATGGGCTAACAAGCCGACTCCATCCATAGTTGAAGACAACTAGCCGCAAAGGGGATGAGGTAGTCCAACTTCCATCCGAGCCCGTTTTTCTCATCGCACACCTATTCCACTAGGGCGGCAACATCCTGGGTATTCCCCTGGTTGAAGGGTACAACCACAAGCTCTGAGCCTCGGGCTCTATGCTCTATGTATAAGGCTTGATACTTTCGCGCTACCTCCGGAGATATGGACGAGGCCGTCACAAGCACTCGTGCTCCCCATTATAGGAAATTCACAATTATAGCGATATATCCGATTATAGCCCCTATGATCAATACCGTTTTGGTACTTAGGGAGTCACCTTACGTTTCCCCTTAGTGGAAAACCTGGTAAAGATAACGGGTCAGCTCCGCGGGGTAAAGCACTACAGATTCTGACAGTTTGGGACCAGTTTGGGACCATTTACCCGATTCATGAAAATATACATAAATCAATAAGCGACCGGACTAGGTAAGGGCCTTGGTACTTGGTGCCCAGGTGATCTTACTCATCTTACTCATCTGCCACTAGTCTTCTGCACGGCCCAGTCCGACCCGAACCCAACCCAACCCAATTTGGGGCCCAGGATTGGGTTGGGTCTGGGCCCGGGCCCCAAATTGGGTTACAAACATGACAAACACATTAACGTATGTCACAAGCGAGTGATGCACCCCCAAAACACCATAGTAAATGCGATATTTTATAACGTTATATCTCAGTAATCACGTGCTTTGTTTGGTTTGATTCTCATTCCACACCTATCGATAAGATTTTTTTAAACACTATATATTAGTTTCAAGAAAATCAGAAAGCTGCATTAATATGGTATTGAAAATTACATTGCTTAAAGTCAGAAATATATATATAGTCACCCCACAAAAGTTTCCGTAAAACCCTTCCCACCTCAATATATATATATATGCAACCTACACATTTCAATTAATTTACATACTACCAATTTAAAATGCATGCTTTTAAAAAATAGGAATTAAATATATAAATGGCTAATTCATTAAACCTATATTTTTAATATCTAGTATACCACCCTTTAGCTACAATTATAGCCTTATATCGACGATTTATACTCTAGATTAACCGGTCAAAGTAATCCTAGCCTAGCTCCTTCTATACTTTATAAATTAATTCCTAAAAATATGTAACTAACTACTCTTTAGTCCCTTTAAATTTAACTAGGTTAGGATTAAGGCGATCGATCATTTCTTTTAGCTTCGCCTAGGTATATTTAATAGGGTTCAAATCCGGCGAATACGGTGGCTAGTTAGTAGTAGGAATTATATTCTCCTATAACTACGCTTTAATAATTTTAGCTATATAAATTAGAGCGTTATTATATATCAAAATACGCCCCGAATTTATAAAAAATTAAGGTAGGTTTTCTTCGAGGGTTTCGAGATATAACTATAAAGAATAGATCGCGATTTATTTAATTTAAATTAGAATAACTACTACTAAATATCGCTCCTTAAATTATAATTAAGATTCGTTTTAATTTTAAATAAGTGACTATATATTCTTTTTTCTATTTTTTATTCCGGTAGTTTAGATAGAAGACCTAATATACGCGCTTCCTTTTTTTAATTTCTACCGAATATTCGTTAGACTAAACTACCCGTTTCTAGTCTTCCTATATCTAATTCTAGTGCTCTAAAGCCTAAGTAAGATATAGAGCGGTAACTTCCGGTTTTAAATAAGGTCTTTTCTATACTTTCTAATATCTATAGCCTAAGGATTTTAATATTCGAAGGAGGGTATTATTAGATATAGTTAAACCACTTTATTCATATATCTCGGAGTAAAGAATAAAGGGATCACGCGGAATTAAACGTAGTATTAAACTTTTATTATCTTCCGATAGAATTGGGGGGCGACCGGTTCGAGGAAGGGTTTTTCTACCGGCTTATAGGGATTATTAATCGAGGGTAAATTAGATCGTTAAGGTAGATAAACTATAAAGCTTTATAATTAAGGTGATTAAGCAGCCTATAGATACCTAGCCGGTAATTTGACCCCTTAGGTTTAGAGAGAGTTTAGTCTTCCTCACCCTATTAGAATTAATAGGGTCTAGGGGTGTTCTTAGAACCATGGTTAATAGTTGAAAATAGTGGGTTAGTTAAGACGCGATTTAAAAACGCAGGTGTAGGGCCATTTTTACGGAAACTTTTGCGGTAGAACTGTATCTCAACCCTAACATCATAAAGGTTTTCTAAACTCCTTAGAGAGGCTAGATATAACCTAAAAAGCATTAAGCTATAAGGAGAATTCTGTATACACCACTGTTGCTGAGATTTCAAGTTGTAATGTATCGCATTTACTATGGTGTTTAGACCTCATAACCGCCCGCGAGCCGCCCTCTGAGGGCCGCCCACAGACCCGCACTTTTGCGGGCGGAGGGCGGGCTACTCCTACCCGCGGGCCGGGCGGGTTATTTGCTTACCCTCTGAGGGCGGCCCTCCGAACATTTCGAGGGCCGACAAACATGACAAACATAGAATATTATGAAATAATAGGAGAAGTCAGCAGTATTATACATATGAATTAGGAATTATACATCCGAATTAGGAAAGGTCAACTTTTTTATGCAAATGAGGGCGGATGAGGGCCACCCTCCGCCCGCGAGGGTCGGGCGGAGGGCGGGAGATGCCGGCCCTCTAAATGTTTTTAATGAGGTCTAATGGTGTTTCAGGATGCGTCACTCGTTTGGGTGCGTCGCTCGCTTGTGAAATACGTTAATATTTCTAAGTACATAACTGCATTTCATAGCTATAATCCAGGGCATTTACTTTACAGCCACTGCTTTGATCCAAAAGAATTTCGCTAGGTACGAGTGTCAAAGAAAGGCATTAATTAGGAAGTCATTCATCTATTCAGCTAATGGTATTCGAATATATCATCTTCCCTATTCTTACGTTTCCGCCCTAGTGACGAACCAACCATAATTACATATGTACTAGTACGTAACTATTATGTAAACAGTTTTTAGTTTATTTTTCGTACCTAGGTACCGACTCACGCCAAGTCATACATACATATATGTATCCCTTGGAGTAGACATGGCCAGTGGTACCGAGTAAATGTCTCATCTTACCCGGGAGACGCCACAGGGGCTGCATGATATCTGCATCAGGGCGAAAGCGCAACGAGGAAGAGGATTATATTTTCATCGGGCCAAAGTGGGGGTCCAGTCCTAAACGCCACATTACAAGCGAGAAATTACAACATTACATCTTAACGACCAAACTCTATATCATCGCAGGATCTCTTGGCCAGTCCAGGCGGGGAAATACCATTAGGCACAGGGATGTGAATCCTGAGCTCCAAATCTTCCTGCCATGAGTCTAGCTGCGATCTAGTTTTGGCCTCTAGCCAGAATTGCTCCCGTCTCACTGTGGTGTATTATGGCAGTATAAGCCCTTTAGCATATAAGGGGGCCGCTCTGACCGGACGTAGAGGTGGCTATTGTTATCTATTACGCAATACTTGACTTCGGAAAAGCATTGAACAGCCCGGTGCAACTCCGTGCTCTTAGTTGATTGGTACATATTAGAGACGAGGGCTCTGTACAAATTACCTACTTGCTCGGCCGAACCTCTAGCACAGCGCGCAGTTGATCGCGGTAAGTACAATGCATAACTGTCACTTTTGCTGTTGGAGAGAATTGGCTAACATCTATGAATCCCGGAATACAGGTCATCATTCGAACGCGAAATCTACCTAGGATAAGTCGCCCATGCAACCGACAACAGCAACCGATGTATACTTCAGCTACCGATGTATACTTTGCCCTTGACAGCCAAGGCGCTGTCATCGTAATCAAATTGAACGAGGGAGAAATTATAGAGCGCACAGTCTTCCCAGAATCTCACTTATCGCCTTCTTGGATCAATGCTCTGCATGAGATGAGAGCGAGTATGGAGACAAATGCTATTGAGCCGTGCGGTATCTCGTTCCTGCAGCAGCATGGCAGCCGTGCTCTCGGATTCGACCGGACACGCTTCGCTGCTTCAGATCGGGAACACGAACCAGCAGTTCCCTACATGCAGGGACTACTACAGCCACATCTAGACTCCCCCATCCCATTGGAAGGCGGGGTAAGGACCGCGGACTCCGGGGTGGAATTCCTGTTCGACATCCCTGGCTTGTCCGATACCTGGGATGATGTTGACCCATTCAACTCGTCGTGTGTTCCTGCCTTGCTCGAAAATGCTCCAATTGTTCATGTTTCAGGAGAATCTAATATGCGGGACCCAAGGACCGATGGTGGTTGCGAATCAAGGCCTATGGGACTGAAACGGGCACACAAACTTCATCGAATGTTGCATGCGCTAGAGAACCACCCAGTGATCAGCCGGGAAGACCATAACAGACAGGTTGAGGGACTTTACAACGGGCCGCAACTACTGACATGCTCTCAGGACGCGTCGATGGTCCAGTTCGCCGCAGTTCTTGGTAGACACAGCAGCGTCTCCGCCGCGGTAGGAACTATTTATGGATTGCTTAGCTGGAATCTCTTTGGGTTAGAGGAGGATCGCCTGGTAAAGGAGGACAGGCTGTCTCCTTATATTGCAGCGAAGCAGGTCCGAGATATCCCCATATTAGTCACACCGTCAATTGAGCTCGCTGACCCGCACCCTTGCCATCCAGATGAATCAGAAAATGACAAGTGCACTACCCCGTCGGGGGAAATCGAAGGATTGGGCAAGTGATGGACGTAGAGCGGCAAAGGCAGTATTTGGAGCCTTGAAGGGTGCCAATATCCAGGAGCAGTCATTTGCCTTGATGCTCCTTGCAGGTAGTGTACCCCCCACCCCTTCATGTGCGTTTTGGAGTCTCTACTTATGTGTTTGCATAGAACTTTTTAGTCTTGACTACCTTTTGAAAATTGCACATTTCCCGTCTATCAGAATGACTTTCCAAGAGCAGTTCGCGAGAATTATTGGATCTCGGAGTGCCGAATGGAACCTCTATCGGGGAAGCGGCTATAAAGTGTTTGACTACCAGCTATTCTTGCATCTCAATGGTCACTCTTTACCAGGCTACAAGCCGGCCAGTCAAGTGATATAAAAATTGGAGCAATTACGAATCCACTGCTGCAGATATATTCTAGCGAGATCTCAAAGTGTCGCCTAAAACTGAATCCACCCAGCGGGTCATGAGAATGAATAAATGTACGACAAACAAATCAGCGCAGATCTCACCGTAAATAAACCGATTTTTGCTCACTTTTTCCTCACGTCAAAATAGTAGTTGTTCGCTGAACACCACAAGTTTTCGTAGAGAGAGAGAGTCAACCCCTGGCTCAACCGCTTGACTAACGCGAACTACTGGAGTTAGTATTGGACCAGCCCTAGGTATTCAGGTCTAGATTGGGTGCTGAGTCTGCCGATGCAGTACGTCCTCACCTTTTTTCGGTATGAAGGTGAAACTCCGTGCTTAGCACGGAGCTTAAGTACTAGAGATAATTCACACCTAGTACATCCGAAACTTGATTTATGTTGTCTTATTGCGACTCGCTATATCCTCATTTCCATGTCCAGCAGACAGTCAAGAACCATCTCACATACAGCTCAAGCCGCTTATGACTACCAATGATGATGTTGGTAGATGACTTTGGTATATGGCCGATCGCCGCGGCGCTGGTTAGCCTCTTTATTGGCAAATGCCTGCTAACCATATATTGGCATCCATTGAGTCGATTTCCCGGGCCTATACTGGCCCTCATCGGGCCGTTCTACGAGTTCTATTATGATGTTATCAAGGACGGGACATTCCTCTGGGAAATTGAGAGGATGCATCAAAAATATGGTCAGACAAAAGACAGGGTCCATTTATATCTACTTTGACGAAAGGAAATGCTAACCACCCTGCAACAGGCCCAATCGTCCGGATAAACAGAAGGGAGCTGCATATTCGCGACTCGGAATTCTACTCCCAGATATACGCTGGAAACAGTCGAAGGATCGATAAAGATGCACCAACTGTTCAGGCCTTCGCCGTGCCCACCTCCGTGGCGGCTACTGTCAACCATTACCACCATCGTGCACGCCGCGGCTATCTCAACCAGTACTTTTCGAAGCGCTCTGTCGGCGATCTCGAACCAATCATCCGAGAGAGAGTTGACCGGTTATGCGGACGCTTCAAATGTGCACTGCAGACACAAGAGGTGATCAGCTTGGACTCGGCCTTCTCCGCTCTGACAGCGGACATCATCACCTCCCGCCTGTATGGAGAGCACTTTAACTATTTGGGGCTCGAAGACTTCAAATTCGCTGTCCGGGAGACCTTTGAAGGCATGTCGCTAGTGTTCCACCTATCTCGATTTATCCCCTTCTTGATGGCAAGTCTCAAGCTCCTCCCAGTCGCGATCATCAGATTGATAATGCCGAGTGCGGCTGATCTTCTGGAGATTCGCGAGGACATCAAGCGCAATCTCCTTTCTGCTCTAGACACCAAGAGCCAGACTCAGTCTAGTAGATCAGTAATTGCAGCTGCGCTCAAAGATCCACAGATTCCGCAGGAGGAGAGAAGCATTGATCGTTTGATGGATGAAGGGACCACTATTATTTTCGCTGGGACGGAAACTTCTGCGCGAGCCCTGAGTGTGGCCTTGTTCCATTTGCTCGACACCAAGTCACATCTGAAGAAGCTGCGAGATGAACTCAACTCTAGCTTGGGGACCCGAGCGAGCAAAGAATGGACTCTCTCCGATCTAGAAGCTCTTCCATTTCTGGTGGGTCAACTTTCCCCCACCACCGGTAGACCTTGCCAGAGCTTGTCTTAACCTCGTATATATAGACCGGCGTCGTGAATGAATGCCTTCGCTTATCCTTTGGTGCTGTTGGACGTCTTCCGCGGGTAGCCACGCACGACGCACTGCAGTACAGGGAGTATATAATTCCACCCGGCGTAAGTAATTCAATTTATCCCTCCATGCCACCAAGGATCCATACTAATACTTGCTGCCACTACAGACTCCTGTCAGCCAGTCTACCTACTTTGTCCATACAGATCCAGCAGTATACCCCGATCCATTTGTCTTCGATCCCGAGCGATGGATCAAGGCTGAGAATGACGGCGTTCCGCTGGGAAGGTACCTAGTCAGCTTTACCAAGGGAACACGCCAGTGCCTTGGATTAAAGTAAGTACTGTGACGAACCCTCCCAAAATTCGAGAATCCAGAATCAACGTGGGCCTAATTGAACATAATTCTCCAGCATGGCGCACGCCGAACTCTACATTGCTATCGCTAGGGTCGCGCATGCATTCGACATGGAGCTTTACAATACAACTAAAGATGATATCGAAGTTTATCATGTCCGCTTGGTAGGGTATCCAAAGAAAGTGCGTGGGCAGTCACCAGGAAAGGGCCAGGTCAAAGTCAAAGTCACCAACATAACGGAAGCTAAGGCTGAAGAAAGCTAGCTGTGTAGGGATATCTGCCTTGTTCATCGATTTCAGCCATTTCCTTTTTTTATTCATCGCCTAAAGGTGGGCTCGCTGTCGCACTCGGCAGTTTGGCGGATTTGCGGACTTCCAGATACTTAAGATACAGTCTGCCTATCGTTCCGGCATCAGTTACATTAAGCCAAAAAATTAAGTCCAGCGGCAAAGGAATACAGACAGCACTGCCATATCTGAAATTTGGTGCCTTACCTGCCGGCCGGTCATGACGAAAGGTTGTAGTAATAGGATTCCTGGAATAAACACTCAGTGTGAAGCTACACTATGCCTAACTGATGGAGGATCTACAGCTTCTCAGGAGAAAAACGCGAGCGAATGGAGATGAGCGGTATGGAATGGAGTGAGAGCTACTGATATCTAGATGGGTGGTCACTTGACCACCATCAACACTAACTATCACTGTTTCTGAAGACGCGGGAAGAGAGCCCGTGCGTTCTTCCAATATATCATCTCTCTTGTCTCCTCATCCATCGGGTACTCGTCCAACTCCCTTGCGAAAGCGGCAGTTGCTAAGGTTGGTGCAAATGGGAAGTCACTACCGTACAAGATATGATTGTGGGGCACGTGCTGCAGCAACAGATCCAAAGTATAAGCAGAGCTCGACAGAGCCAGATCAAAGTAGAAGGCTCTAAAGTCCTCGAGGATCTCGTGGGCCGGCTTGGGTGGAGGGTTGAGGTGGGCGGCAAATGTTGGGATGAGAGCCGACGCTCGCCGAATCAGGTACGGGAGCGTGCCGCCGGCATGGGACAATATGACTTTGCAGCTGGGGAAGTCGCGCAGGGTGTTGTTCATGATCATATCCAGCGCTGTGTTGGTAGTTTCCTGGGGGAATTCGGCGACAGTGGGGTCCACATATTGGTTGAATCGGGCCCCCCGAGGAAGCTGGAGCCTGGGTGCACCAACACCACCGCACAACGCCGGTTCAATTCTTCCCAGATACGGGTGAAAGATGGATGGCCCAGGTATGCATCGCCGTAGCGAGCAAGCAACATCACACCGTCTGCTTGCAGATGGTCAAAGGCATGGCGGATTTCCAGCAAGGCATTTTCGGGGTCCAACAGCGAGGGAATCGCTGCAAAGAATCCGAATCGCTTTGGGTCTTGGTCTCGTACTTGGGCTGCATATTCATTGACCTGCCTTGCTACCGCACGACCTTCCTCGCCGTCGAAGACAAAAGTAATTGGGAAGGACAGAATGGCAGTTCTTGCTCCAACGGTATCCATGTACTCGCTGCTCACTGGGGGTGACCAGCGCGGGACCGGCGGGCCCTTCCTCTGGCCTATTAACGACTGAGCAAGTTCTGGAGTTTGTCAGCCTTGCGTTCGTTCTGTTGAGACTTGAAACCTACTGGCAACAATCTCCTCGGGTAGATAGTGGTGGTGGACGTCAATCTTTCCTTCCATGTTGATTGCTATGGATTTGCTGCAGGTTGTAGTCACGAACGCTTCGATTTTAGTGGGATCTCTGGCTGTTTTATAAGAATGAGAATACAGTGGTTCAATATCAGCTGTAGGTTCTACATATATATATAGGTATGTATGCTCCGTGCCTGAGCACGGAGCATGGGAATGTGATCTCTCCCCACATGTGCATATATTTAGCTATCTTCCTCACCAAATATGTCCAATTCTCAGTTTGCCACGCTTTTTCCATGGCAATCCACTTGCTTTATCCCTTGGAAATGTCCCCCATACCCCGTGGATCGACTATCCTCTCTTACCTCCCCAGTTCTTGGATACCGTACGCCCAGCTAATCCGACTTGATAAACCCATTGGATTCGCTATCGTTTATCTCCCGTACCTCATTGGCATCATTTATGCGGCCAGTATCGCACCTGATGTCCTCCCCGTCTCTGAGCTCCTAGATCGCGCCCGGATCTTCCTGACGGGGAGCATCCTTCTGCGCTCGGCAGGATGCACCTGGGACGATATTGTCGATCAAGACTTGGATCGCAAGGTTGAGCGTAGCCGTGGACGGCCGATTCCGAGAGGCGCCATCTCTACTACCAATGCGTTTTTGTTCACACTCGCCCTCTCCGCCATGGGCGTATACAACCTCCGGTTACTACCTATTGAGTGCTCCTTCGACGCAGCAGTCATCGTTGCCCTATCGTTGATCTACCCTTACCTCAAACGATTCACCAATTACCCCCAGGTCGTGCTTGGTCTGACCATCGCATTCGCCATCATTATGGCAACACATTCGCTGGGGGTGGATCCGTGGGCCTATCCCACTCACATCTCAACATGGAGTCTGTATCTCTCGATTGTGTTGCTGATGATGTTATACGATATTATCTACGCGCGGCAGGATACCACGGATGACGTCAGGGCCGGCGTAAAGGGCATGGCTGTGCGCTTTCGACATTCCATCAGGTTGTTGGCTTCTTTGATGGCCCTAGCCATCACGATCTTTCTGGGTATAGTGGGCATCGGTTCCTCAATGGGCCTCGTGTACTACATCCCCGCGGTTGGTGGTACAGGTTGCAGCTTGTGTGCCATGGTCTTGCTCATGGACCTAAGCAACCCAAATAGTTATCATAGATATGTTGGGGGCGCGTATATGGTGACTAGTATCTGCATTCTTGGAGGCATGGCTGGGGAATATGCCTGGAAGTGAACAAACGAGCGTGCTCGAGGTTGGACTATATTTCGTACTTTACTGGAAGACGTCCGCCGATGTCTGCTGTGCGCAAGCCCTCTGCCTCGTGTGCTTCTGCCCTGCATGCCGGGGGTAAGGTACTCAAATGGCCAATGGTCCTGCTTTCTGCTCGAATCTGCTATCCAAGGTAGCAAAAATGTACCTAAAACCTTAGCATAGCACGTCTCAATACCCCACGGGAGGTCCCAGACGTTAAACAATACAACGCAACGTGCACCGGCGTCATTTCTGCCCATCTAGTGAACATTTACCTAGCAAAGAGAAATCTAGTTCCCAAAGTTACTACTGCATTTGCTTTCATGATCTTTTTGGTATAGGGTTCAATCTCCTTTTCATGAAAACACGTAATGCTCATCAAGTGACACTGGTGTCTATCAGAAAAGCAGTAGGAGCGGCCCTTCGTGTTAATATCGATAGCCTTTCATTTCCTCAAGGACATATGTCCGATACAATGGTCATCTAAGCCATTGAACATATAACGATGTCCGTTCTAGGTCTGGATGGTGGGTAGGTGTTTATTAACTGGTATCACGAGAAAAGAAATATAAACCACCTGCAAGCCTTCTCTAAATACCACTTCTCTCATTCTCTCAATCACCCTTCCCTGCTTCGCATTCGGCATTCGGCATTCAGCATCCTGCAGTAGGTAGGGACTTTCTTTAACCTGGACTCGTGATTACCAACATCCCTACATTGGCTATGGGTGATATCTCTTTGGAGGAGCAACTGCTCCGTGCTGTCGGAAGCGACGTTTCACTAGTGACCTTCCCCGTGACTCCCACGAGCGTTCCAGTGTTCAACCGCAACATTCCATTGATACCAAAAGCTATCATCTTTCCACAATCTGTTGAGCAAGTGGCGGAAATAGTGAAGTGTGCTGCCGCTGCTGGGTACAAGGTCCAGCCAAAGAGTGGCGGGCACAGTTACGCAAACCATGGTATAAAGCCCTCCAATTGACAGGCTTGACTCAGAGGTTAATTTTGTTAGGATATGGGGGCGCCGACGGGGCCGTTGTCGTGGACTTGAAGAATCTCCAGAAGCTCTCCCTCGATGACTCGAGTCACGTTGCAACTTTCGAGGCGGGCGCTCACCTGGGAGACATTGCACGATTTCTCTATAAGAAGGGAAGAGCAATGGCGCATGGAACGTGCCCTGATGTCGGCCTCGGAGGACACGCTACCACGGGGGGTATGGGTCCCGCTTCACGCCGATGGGGGCTGGCGATTGACCACATCCTTGAGATGCAAGTTGTCCTCGCAGATGGACAGATACTTCGAACGTCTCAGACAGAGCACGAGGACTTGTTTTTTGCGCTAAGAGGTGCCGGTGCCAGCTTTGGGATTGTGACTGAGTTCGTGATGCGGACGCAGCCAGCACCTACACAGGCCGTCCAGTATGAGTGTCTGTTCGATTCTACCGATCCAGTGGTAAGATCGAATGTTTTCAAGTCCTGGCAGCGGCTAGTTGCAGACCCTGCGCTCCCCCTAGAGCTGCACAGTATGATTGATGTCTTCGAACATAAAATGGTGATATCGGGAACCTTCTTCGGTCCACGGGAGAGGTTTGATGCTCTTGACCTGAATGCCCGCTTTCCGGAGAGTCAAGGTAGCGAGGTCACCGTCACATCAGACTGGATGCAGTTAGTGGATGGTTGGGCGAACCATGTGCTTCGCGAGTTCGGTGGTGGAGCTCCACGAGCCTTCTATGCGAAGTCGTTGAACTTTAACGCGCAAAGCCTCATGCCGCCACCTGTTATTGACACCTTATTCCACTTTCTAAGTACATGGACTCGGACCCGAGGGAGGCTTTTCTTATCGTTTCATCTCGGAGGCGGCGCCATTGCGAACGTTCCAGCAGACGAAACGGCGTATCCGTATCGAGACACTTTATTTTGGGGGCAGTTTGCTGTGGCTGGACCGGGAGTCTTGCCTGAAAAGTCAAAGGAGTTTGTCAGCTGCATCGTTAGTATCATCACCGGGGGTGTGCCAAACGGCGTCTTCGGGGCATACGTGGGACACGTTGACCCCTCCTTGCTCAATCCCCAAGAGGCGTACTGGGGTCCAAACCTACCCAGACTGGGGCAGATCAAAACATATGTTGATCCCCGAGACGCCTTTCATAATCCGCAAAGCGTGGCTGTACTCGATGAAGCAGGCGCTTGAGTTGTTATTGTGCTCCCGACCGGTGTGTAGGGTTCTATACGATCGGCGCCTGAGGTAGTGACTGCTTAGCAGTCGGCCAAGTGATTGGGTGAAACCCGACGTATTTGCGAGCCAATTGGAATATCTGAGTGGGGCATTATCATTCAAGCGAAGTACAAGTTTCAACAAATGACGCCTTTTCAGCGTAGCCTGATAATGTAGTAGCGAGGTAATAAGTTACGTAGCATGCAGCTGCTTATGAATTCTAGCTACTACCTGGTAGGAAGCACTATTTAGGCCACTATATGTAGCGGATTTCCAGGTGGCCCGTTTATATCTGAATCACCCCACACCTTCCAACTGCGAATGGCAAGAACAAAATTTCGTAACTATGTAGGAATTTAGAGGGTAGATTTTATGGTGGAGATGGAAAATTGATGGATGGTAAGAAAGTTGGAGATGAGAGAGGTGAGAAATGAGATGTGGGACATGCGGAACAACATTCATTTTAGGGACATGACATATACTTTAACGGCATGATCTGGGCGACTTGCGGTGGCAGCCTATATTTTTCGAATCCCGACTACTCCGTCTCCCTCCGCGTTGCCAAGCCCAGGCTACTGCTAATTTCGCCTTCATATTTTTAGGAGATAGTGTGAATATTTCACCCGGACAAAATCAGCTTCTGTGGATGCTGAAGCCAAACGTGCCACTGTGGATGAAGATAATCATAAATCATTTTAAAGACATGGACTCTAGCATCCCTAACTTGCCACATATTCCTACTATAGTGTAGTAGTATAGAATAATATACTAGTAGTATTAAAGCCTCTGGTCTTTTCTTTGATAGCAAATCAATAAACGTTAGTGGGGCAAGTATCAACTATATATAAATCATATAATATTAGGAAGATCGATAACTATAAAAAGTGTGGCGATCCTTGGCTGTCTTCCAAGGTTGAAACAACAGCCTTACCAAGTTGCAGCAGCCTCTTGTTATCTCACTACCATTGACGAGGGAGTTTCCGAGATCACACTATCTGTCTGTGGCTGCTACGGACTGCAAGCAGCAGCACGACATTTGCTGCAACTTGTGACTTCATATATCAATCCCCATCTCAGCCTCCACAAGACGGAAATCAGCTGAATTCGGGCTCCGTTACCTCAACAACCACTGCAGAAACGTTATGGCTCTCCAGTCCTCCTCCATATCATATTGGAAGACGCCGCCCGCTCGTATCCTCACAACATCGCCATCGACAAGGTGCCGGGCAGCTGTGTGGGTCTAGACACACGACGCGAGGTAGCATACGAAGCACTGAATGCCAAGATGCCGTCCTCTACACATGAGATACGGGTGGTGCTTCAAAAGCTCGAGTGGGCGGCCTGCCAGGCTGGGCAGAAGCTGGTGGCCATCTTTCTGCACAACCCCACCGACCTTAACATCTCCATGAGCGGCATCTCCAAGGCTGCACATGCCTTTTGCCCCCTACAAAGAAATGCCCCATAGGAGAGGCTCCGCGATCTGCTGGTCGATCTCTAGCCCAGGTATTTTGGGAGTCGGGGCCAACCCGTGGGCTGGCACTCAGTTGGGCAAAGGCATCATCTAGATCGACTACCTTAATTCCACATCCTGCTGGCAGTCGTGCTCTAGTCTTCCTAGAGACCCCAAGTTGGTTAGACGTCACGCAGCTGGAAATACATGAAGTCCTGGCCGCCAATATCATCGGTGATTTGATCAACACAGTCGAGAAACAGCTAGCAAAGGAGGCACTCGGTGCCGCTCCCGTAGTCGTTCACGAGCCTAAGCCTGATTCCAGCTTCATCCCAGCCAGGCCTGGTGCAGCTGTCATCCCGACAGACGATGCCGAAGAAGTGTTTGACCTTCCCGTCAATGCCAAACTACGCTACTTCGACTACCACTGCCGTGTGCAGTGTCTCGTGGCTCTTGGCGTCGACCCAGAATATTATGATACTATCATGTACGTCGGCGGGCCGCGGGTGGCGCTCTTCGTGTGCAAGATCCCGCAGGATATAGACCCTGCCCGGCTCCAGTGCACGGTCGACACGGTGTTACCGCGGTACGACTGCTTTCGCACCGTCATCGTGCCCGTCGAGCACCCTATTACGCCCTTTGCGTAAAACATCATCTCGCCGCCGGTAGTGTCATTTGCGACGACACAGACACCGAATACCGCAACAGCCTCTGGAGCCATACGATCAATGGCATCCAGACAGCCGCCGAGGCCAGCATAAGCGTCGACAAACCCAGCCTCACCGTAGCGTGGGTGTCATCACCTAATCGTGTTCGCTGTGCTATAATCAGGGCAATATTCCACAGTGTCTATAATGGCACGCGGATCAACTTCCGTATTTGGGCTGTGCTGGCCGAGTATGCTAAGCCCGGGTCCGCGCCGCCTATAGATCTGCTGCCGATCCGAACTGCTGTAGAGCTCAACCTCGGCTACGACTAGATAGAGACCGCCATGTACATACATACGTACTGCCCGGACCGTCTCGCTGGCGTCCCCGGAAGCCGGATTGACGATCGTCGGCCCGCCTGCTTTACCTGTCTCTTGGCGTGCTCCTCTGCGACTGTGGAAACCCGCGGGCTCTGCCGCTTTTTGCTCACTGAGTAGCACAGTTTTTACCCTCAAGCGCCCTTATCCGCTAACTGAACATTATGTGAGCACACTGACTTACTCGCCAACCATTAATATAATAAATATATTAATAAAATGCAACATGTTCGTACTATCACGTATAACACAAAAGGCCTGGCATCATCAATGTGATCGATCATTCATCGTGGTAAACTGGCTGCAATTAATTACGCCATAATGAAGATTTCAATTCTTCAATGAATGTCGGATGTACTTCAAATTGCACTCAAAGCAAACGTTGAGAAAGCAGCAAGGTTGATGTCGTTGTATATTAGGGAGTTTCAATAAAAGGGATAAACAACATAAAGCACACATCTGATTGCCGTCCTCAACTATCTTATCTAGGTCCAACGTCCATATTCACAGTGATGGTTTTGGATTCCAGATAACTTTTAACAGCCGCATAACCGCCCTCACGACCTCCATTCCCGCTTTCTTTCCAACCTCCAAAGGGAACAGTGACTGTCGGGAAAAAATTGGAATTGATCGCCACAGTTCCAGACTCAAGTCGCCCTGATACTCTCAATGCACGAGCAATATCGCTCGTGTAGACACAGGCAGATAAACCATAGTTGGTATCGTTTGCAAGTCGAACAGCTTCATCTTCAGATCTGAAGGTTTGGATTCCCAACGCTGGACCGAAAATCTCTTCCTTCCAGACAGAGGATTCAAGCGGAGGGCTCTTCATTATTGTTGGTTCAACGAAATTACCATTAATTTCGCCACCCGTAAGAAATTCGACTCCATCTTTCTTGCTTTGCTCAAAAAAGGCCTGGACGCGCTCTGTTTGCGCTTTATCAGCCAGCGGTCCAAGAAACGTCTCTTTCGCCAAAGGGTCGCCCATGGTATTCTTGAACATCTCGAAGCGAGCCTTTAACCCTGTCGCGAACTTTTCGGCGATATCTTGATGAATGATGACTCTTGTCGCAGCAACGCAGACCTGGCCGGAGTTGAGCAGAAAGTTCTGTGAGGAATTCTCAAGCGCGTTCTCAAGGTTCGCATCAGAAAAGATGATTGAGGGTGATTTACCCCCGAGTTCGAGGGTAACGCGCTTAAGGTTACTGTTCGTCGCGGAGACCTGGACTTTTCGTCCTGCTTTCACAGAACCAGTGTAACTGATCTTTTTTATGCCCATATGAGATGCGAGTAGCTCCCCTGTCGACCCAGGGCCGGATATGATGTTGATGACGCCGGGGGGAAACCAGCTTTCTTTACTAGTTCCCCAAAGGCCAAGGACCCTAGAGGTGATTTCTCCGAGGATTTGAATATGAACGTGTTTCCAGCTGCAATAGCGGGCATGGTCTTCATGCAGAGGAAAACCAGGGTGGCATTCCATGCGGCAATACCAGCGCAGACACCCAGGGGTTGGTAGCGCACCAGTTTGAAACGTCCATCGCCATCCTCTGGTTGCATCTCTCCAGGAAGCTTGTCGCACCATCCGGCGTAATACCGGACAATGGGTCCCAAGAGTGCGCCAAGTCGAGCGCCAAAGGCAGTTGGCTGTCCCATTGCAATGCTTTCGAGCTTCATTAGGGCAAGATATTCCAAATCAAGCAGATCGGCAAGTTTCAGCATGATCTTTTGACGCTCGCTGCTGGCCATCTTGCCCCAACTTCCCTCGAACGCAGATTTGGAAGATGCCACTGCATCGTTGACGTCCTCTTCCCCAGCACAGTGGACGTCTTCTGTAACAATAGAGTTATCGGTGGGGTTTCGAACCGTCCAATACTGGCCTGATTTGGCAGAGGTGTACTGAGGCTAATAGTAAGCTACGATGCTAGGGAAGGGGGACAATCGGCCAAGCTTCGTCAATGGCCGATTTGGGCGCGGATATCTGAAGGAGGGGGTATCGCGTTGGCATCAATGAGCTTACCTTGTTGTTAATGAATAGCTTGGTATGAAAGGCGGCGTTTGGAGCATCAGTGTCATCTACGGTGCAATTTCCTGGGGAGGAGGAGGAGAGCGGGGCATTCGCTGTCGTCATGTTGCGATTGGGGAATTTTGTCTAAAGCTTGCTTGCGTGTTATTTTCGATGATTGACTCCACCTCATTTGCAGGTAGGCAGACTATATATATCAAGATCACTCGGCTACTCTGCAAGTATTGGTTTTGGGCCGGCCATCCGGCATACGAGGTCTAGGCCTAATCGTGATTCATCACAGTAATATTGAGTTGATCGACCGAATTCCGAATCCTCCCTATTGGGTCACCACTCGCGCTTTTATACACGCATTAGGCTACTTCACTTTGTTGGTAATCCTCCCGCATAATTATGTCGGGAAAAACCTTATGATTCAAGATCAACTTGCATAGCTAATATGACTGGAGAAGGCATCAAAACCTCGAGGCATACAAGTCAATAGCCTAGAAAGGCAAATTTCTGATTTTCTTCGTACAAAAGATACCCTTGGACAGCGTGGAGAAAGGCAAACTCTCACGTATGCGGATATCACTACTTAGTTACGAAGTAGATCTCCAATCAAATGACTAACGTGGAAAAGAGTCTACTTACCACGAACTTTTATATAGACCTACGCCGTAAAGCAAGTCAGCCCAGTGCAATTATGGCTACCGTGGAAAATATGTCATTGGGTAGAAGGCAAAAGGGTTGAGTCTAGGAATGATCTGGCCCACTCCAGCGGTTGGCCATATGATGGCCATCAAGTTTGGAGATTGCATTAGGAGAGACGGAAATCGGTACGGAAGTGAGCGTAGTCAGTTGCAAGATATTTAACTGCATTAGGAAAAGATCATAGTAAATTTCGTAGATATGCTAACAATACACCTTTCAGGAGATGTCACAAAGGATGCATGCTGTCCAGCTTGAGAAGGAAATTGGAAATCAAGTGTCATCGCTCTGCATGACTTTGGGGATTCCTATGGAATTCCGATGGATTCTCAAACAATGTGCTATTCCGTACGAACGTGTCCCTCCATTGATTTCGGGCCACTCAATGATTGATCTACGCCAAGGCCTTGACAGTGGATCTATAATATAGTTACCATGTGTGTATTAATCAGTCAAGCCGATTTCGAGAATGAATATACGAATCGGATTTGTGCGGACGATATATGAATTCTGTGACGTCTTAGAAACACGAGCGCCACAGCCGAAAAAAGCAGACTAATGTGATGGGTTACAACTTCCGTTTTTTAGTTTTGATCACACGGAATTGCGAAGTTTTGCCACCCGTTATTGTACTGTCCCAGTTGTGTCCCAATTGACCTTAACTCACGGGAAACGCTATTTTCGAGTGACTATACTATAAGAGGAGGGGAGGCTGAGTTGGAATTGCCTGTTCATATTTCCGACCGATGCCCACTTAGACAAAGGGAGGTTCTCATCTCTGATCATCCGCATTCATTCGAAAGTGAACTCTGTATATCATATAGCCAAAAGTTCAATGGCTCAGTATGGCCAACGAGCGGTCCTACGATTTCATTGTTGTCGGTGGTAAACATTTGCTCCTTATAGTCGCTATCAATCAACCGCTTACTAAGTTCATAGGCGGCCCGGCTGGATGTACACTGGCTGCGTCTCTTGCAAGCTTAGCTAAGAAGCCAACGTATTGCTCCTAGAAGCTGGTGGGCGGAATGAGGCCAAATATCTGCGGGTCGACGGAAAGCGCTGGAAGACATTTATAGAGAAGAATATGAACTGGGGATCCCATACAACCCTATAGAAGCACTGTAACAGCCGTCAACTCGATTACTCGCGCGGTAAGGGGATCGGGGGCGGATCTTCAATCAATTTTGGTCTCTACACTATCGAGACACGAGACGACTATAACCAATGGGCCGCGGAGGTCGACGACGATACTTTTGCCTGGAACGAAATGCAAGCGCGGATCAAAAGGCTGGAAACCTTTGCGGGCAAAATTGATATCCCAGAAAACCAGAAGTATGGTCATTCTGAGGCTACGGACCATAGTAGTAAAGGTGGGTTGCACGTTGGCTATACCAATGAATCGGCTTCGGATTTAGCAATGGTGCTGGATGCGTCCGAAGAAGCCGGAGTTCAGCGGAACCTTGATCATAACTCTGGTAATCCCCTTGGATTCGGACTTTGCATCAACTCCGCTTGTAATGGCAAGCGATCAACTGCGGCTGATTTGTTGACTGAAGTCTCGGATAATTTGGTCATTGTCTACGAGAGCACGAGAGCCCAGCGCAACGGATTATATTGGACAAAAAGAAGGTTTCGGGAGTCGCGGCCAATGGCAGAGAACGTGGGTTTTATCGAAGGGTTGGTTGCAGATTTTGCCTCGAAAGATGTCATCCTCTCCGCAGGGTCGCTTGAAATTCCTAAGATTTTGATGCATTCTGGCATCGGTCCAGCCGATCAACTGAGCAATTTCAACATTTCAGTTGTTCACGATCTATCAGCCGTTGGCTAAGGACTCCGTGACCACCCCTTTGCCCCACTTATTGTGATGCGCAACCCGAAAACTAACGACCGCAATGCTTTCTGACAGAAATCTGGCAGTACGACAACGTATGGACAAAATCAGATATATTGAAATCTCTAACTAAAAATGATAAAACCCGCGTTTTCAACAATCTGTGCGGATATCGATGACTAACTGTAATATGCACTTTTATTCGGTATGGTTGGTACTAGTGGTCATATGATTTTCTGGGTAAAATACCCCACACTATAGACCAGATAAATAAGTGCGAGGCTTGGTTTAGCTAAACGGGTAATCCGGCGCCCAGGTCATAGGACTATCACCGTCTACCTACCAGGGGTTAGGAAGGAGTAAGAATAGGGGAGGGGACCTTCTAGTGCCATAAAATATTTCTGTATACATATTATCATTCAAGGTTAACGGACTCCATCTGACCAGGTAACTTGTCTATCTCATCTACATCACCAACGAATTGCAGCCCCATTATAATAATTAGGATGCCTACATTCTCACCAATATCACGGAAACGCCTCATAATCCACTTCCTAGTCTCACTCCTTGCGACCGGTGACTTTCCAACGGTGTTAGCCTATGCCCGCCGGAAATGCTAGCGTTAGCTGATAAAACAATGGAGTAAATGCTGACGATACAAGTCGTGCAACAGTGGCCAGAATATCGCCGCCCAACTGGGCAGAGTCGAGAGAATTTGTAATATCTCCTTCATTTTCATCTCTATCTGCGCCCGGCCGGTAAGAGAGCTGTAGTGAGCGATCAAAGTTGGAATTAGCAACCCGAACACTCGTGTCAACATCAATTATTACGCAACTTCCAAGTTGTAGATCGGCAAGTACTAACCAAGTACTAACTAATGTTAGTACTAAATAACAATAATACGAAGAGTGGGTTGTCTGACTCCACTGCACGCGGGGGGCCTAGAAGTTCTCGGGTAAGGGTCTCACTAGGACGCTATTTTTATACCCTCACGTGTTTCCTTGGGTTTTTTTTTCGAGAAAAAGACCAAGGCATCCAATTACCTCGTTTACCAGACGGCTACTCGGTGCCTGCGGAGGTAAATTTATGAGCTGACCTGAACCCTTTGTCTCACTTTTGAGCTAGCAGAAACTGCCCCACTAATACTGGGCACACGTATGTGGGAGAGATCTTTTTTGAACTTTGTTTATTCCGGAAGATACTAACTCGGCGATGGTGAGACCCGTCGCAGTGAGACCTGCCACAGTGGTATAAAACCCAAGTTTGCCCCTGGAGTCTGGTTCTTGGGATCACAAGAGCACCTCTGACAGTATTCACAGACCCTGACATCTTCTTTCCCTTTATGCTCAGTGAGTTCAGAGACTGCCAAAATGGATATTCTCCAGGTCATCGCTCTGTTCTCTTTCTTGTTCACTGCTGTCGTGGCATTCCCCCAGCAGACTGCCGCAGGTACAACAACCGCGACTCCGGCGACGATCACCAAGGCTGCGTCGCTTAGCTGCTCGGACGGGCAGACCGCTGTCTACACGACAGATTGTACGATGGGAACTCCCATGTCGTACTGCGCTAGACCGGAGCCCCCGATCCAGTGCTCGGAGGGGTACTTCCCCTCGGTTTGGCACCCAGGTCATTGCATGGAGCAGTCGACCTGTTACCCACTTGATGCGTCCTGGATCACCACCGAGTGCTCGCATGGGGCGATTCCATGGACAACCTCGACCTTGTATGAGGGCACCTTGGCAGGAGGACAGTCGACTATCATCAGTGGTGAGTCCTTCTCCCTCTTCGTTCTCCCTGTTCAATTCGCCCCTTGCTCTCTGCCTTACCAAAGTATAGCCAGTACGTAGTAGACAATGAGGCTAACATATCTTACTTATTTCTAAAGCCGTTTCCTGCTCCTGTGCCAAAGACCAGTGGTATAGCATGACTATGCTCCCAGGAGCATCAACTGTGGACACTTTCTGCATGCCCTCAAGCTCCTGTCCAGCAGGTATGACAACCTCAGTCTCAACCAATACGTACTGCGCAACAGCGCCGGCAAGCGTTTGCTCAGATATTCCCCTGGAAACCAACTACTGCAAGTGCGAATATGCAGCGCAGACACCCGTATATCCCGACTCTGTTGGAGCGGCTCCAACTGGATGTCAAGCTTAATCCAAAAGAAAATGGTTCTTAATATAACGCGCTATTGGTCACAGCCAGTTGGCTGCCCGGATTGCCTTGACCTCGAGACCGGGAGACAAACTGACAAAGGGGGAATGTGTGGATTCCTTGGTGCCTGGCTTGTGCTTCCCCTGTTTGTCAGGACCTGATTCCTTGCTAGATGGAGCTTCTCTCTCTCTCTTCTATAGTCATCTACTAGAGATCTCTTCTCTCTTGGCCAGTATGAACCAATCCTGCCTCAGAATCAAACGTGTATATCTATCGAAGAATCTCTCAATAAAACCAGCGGAAGTTATCGCAGGCGGGCCCATCCTTGAGATATTCCGTAGGGATCTCCCTTGCTTTAATGTGAACACCCTGCAATCGGTCTCTCTTCCTATTATCCGCAATCATCCATAGCCCAAGACATAATGTCAAGATAATACCAACCCCACCAAATGACGCCGTGGTGATTAATGCAGGAAGATACTTGGGTGCGTCTTGCGTGCGAAAGATGTTCGAGCTGACAACCCCCATCAAGTTCGCCAATGGGACCGCAATACTCGTTAATACCACACGGCGCCCTTCATTGGCAGTGTTGTTATTATACCAAGTGTCGAGAAGAACTGAAGGCGCAGAGGTGCCCCTAGATAGCCTTGTAAGCTTTTATCTCGTGAGTGAAGGAAATTAAACCAACCAAGTCATCAGAAATGAAGCAAAATAGGCTACATGCAGATCATGCTGAACATCGATAGTCGCATAAATCACGAAGCCAACGAAGGTAAACAAAAATCCAAGTGCGATGAATGGGAATCTCCATCTCGTCCAGTCACTACTGAATGCCAGGATGAGGAGAACTGCAGCGCCTGAAATATTGGGGGCCACAGTGAATAGGTTGGTTTTCACGGTACTGTATCCAAGACGCTGGATTATCACTGGAAGGAATAGCTGAACAGCTTGCAAGGGAACACCTAGGCAAATTTGAATGCCTAAAATTACCCAACTAGTTCCGTGTTTAAACACTTGGAACGCATCCCGGATGTCGAGCTTTTCATTGACCACAGAAGAACTATCAATCTGCAAACGAAGGTATGCCAGTTCTTTCTCTTCGGGTGTCAGAAAACTTGCCTCTGAGGCCGATCGAGGCAGATACCACAGTGCGAATAGCGCGAAAAGAACAGTTCCTGCGCCTTCGATCAAAAAGAGATACCTCCAAGGCGCCAATGGACCCGTTTCGATGCGGAAAATCCCAAATGCCAGCAAACCGGAGAAGGCAGAGGCAATAGTTTGAGCAGCGTAGAAAATGGCGAGTCGGCGAGCTAGCTCACCCCGACGGTAGAAACTGGCTTTGAATTAGGGATGGTGCAACTTCAAAGGCTTCAAGGGATAGGCCTACGTTGTCTGGTAATAAATCACCAACGGGAAAAACGCGCTCTCTGCCATACCCAAAAACCACCTAATAGCGAAGAGACCGCTGAAGTTGAAAACAGCGACAACGAGAGTCGTACAAATACCGAAGACAAGCATCATGCAGGGTAGCACAATGTTTGGTCCATATTTCTTCCCCAAAAGACCGAGAAAAGGTGCAGTCAAAACGTAAGGGACGAAAAAGATACTAAGGAGGAGATTGTACTGATTTCCCTTCAGGGAGAGTGTGTCTGTCATTATAATTGATGTCAATGCGGCACTCTTCACTCATGAATCCTAGTGGCGGCGTACCTTCAAGTCCAGCTGTCTTAGCATTACCCAAATTGGACTTGTCCAGGCTGTTAAAGAGATACATGATGGCCAACACAGGAAGTAGCCGAAGATCAAACTTCCAGACTAATGTGCGCTCTGCTCGAGGGTCGATGTCCACACTCGCGATAGTGACTGATACATCTTGTTTTGAAGGGGGCAGGTGACTCGATTCGAAGTCCGCGGTAGACATGGTTACAAGCACGAGTGAAAGCAATGATTCCAATATAATGATGTCTAGTCTATTTAAGCGCATTGCACAGAGTACATATACCACACCACTATAGTTACATGTACATATCCATATCATGACACAAAAGATAACAAATGAATGCGTGACAACTCGGAAGTCTTGATAAGCCGTTAAGTGCGGAGACACGGGAAGTTTCGAGCCTAAAACCATTCCTTATCTAACGGTTCATGACATTCATGACACACAAATATTTGCTAGGTATTATAAGACTTGAGGGTGATGTACACAAGTTTGTAGGACATGCGAATCCGAAATGGCCAATTTCTTTTGGCAATAATCGTAAGGCACATTATTCCTTGCCACTTGCGACCGGGTTGATGTCTGAGCGCAATCTTTCAATGGATAATTTTATATTATTAATACAGATAACAATCGATATCTAAAGAGTGGAATATGTTTGGTTTTGCTAAAACCTCTTGTAAAACTCTCTTTATCCTGGAATTCTGGCGAAGAGGTGAATATCGCGTAATGAACTGATAGCCACTTCTTGGGAATATGTTCCAAGGTTAGCTTTTATCTGTTTCCCGGATTTCACAAGATAGATGATATCTTGGGCATTCTAAAATGAAGGTTGTTTATTATCTTGCCCGTCCTTCTTACCCCGGATCCATATCATTTCCCAGGCATCTGAGCAGATGTCGCCAAACAAATTAGTTTTTTCACCGAGATCTATCATGACACAACCTCGTTATCAGAGCCGTGAAGATCAATAGAAAACTAATACGGATTATTATATTGGAGTATACGGAGTACGTAGGCAAGGCAATGATCCCATTTCCCCGCCCATCGGGGAGGGGTATATGAAGATCGACATTCACCTGAATTATTGGACCAAGTTAGGACAATTTCAGGGGCTAAGGTATTATATTGTCCCGGTAGTTCACAGTATCAGTAGGCTAAAAGAGATATATTGTACACTGTACACAGTACGTCTACCAAGTATTAAGTCATAAAAGCACTTCATATTACTCGGTAGAATATCAGCCTCTGCTTTATCTTTCTTAATTCTAATTCTCCGAAAATGACGTGAGACTCTACCAAATCCCGAAATTCGTCCTTTTACCACATGTGTACGGAATTACTTCCGACCGAGGGCCCGAGGCTTTCCCCTCTTGTGGAATGTTGCTAGAGCATGGGGAACTGGTGGGCTATCGAGTGAATATCATTGCTGTGATCGACAGAACTTCACAAACGAGGGTTGAATTGGTCCCATTCCCCAGTTTCTAGGGACCGAGGCAAAGTCCGGGGTATGAGGGGTTCCATGTGGATTATCGATGATCATCTACGGGTTAGATTCACTAGACTCATGGCTTCCACAATCGATCCTTAAGACCAAGCCATAGTTCCCGATCTAACCGCTTTATTCTATCAACCTCAACTTCGACCCATTCAGTACAGGTCACGTCTGAGTCTCCTAAGAAAAATGGCTGCCGATGGTCCCAAACCCGGCTTCTTGGGCAACATCAACAAGGATCAGGAGGCCAAATTGCAAAAGCTTTGGTCCGTTCTACTCAAGGCAGGCGAAATATCCCTAAGCAACGAACCTATCAATGGCTGCGCGGACGAGCATTTCCGCCCAACTCAACCACAGAGACGGCTATCCCTCCTTGGCCGCACACAGAGCAACGTCTCCGAAAAAGCGATCCCGACCCCGAATACACCATATCACCAAAACATTATGAAATACCTTGGAGAAATAGGGGCAGGGGTGGCTGAAGCCAACGCAATCAAAAAGGCCCTCTCGGAGATCACACCCACTGAACTTCGTACGGGAGTACTTGACACTCTCAAACACGACCACCCCGATGCCGTGCTTCTGCGCTTCCTCCGCGCTCGCAAATGGGATGTCCCCAAGTCATTCGCAATGATGATGGAAGCAATCCTTTGGCGAGTCAAGGAAATGCACGTAGATCATGATGTGATGGCAAAGGGAGAGTTGTATGCACTCAGGCAGACTCAAAACAAATCCAGCACAAGTGAACAGAAAGCCGGAAATGACTTCTTGTCTCAAATGCGCATGGGAAAGAGTTACGTGCATGGTGTTGATAGGGCTGGTCGCCCGATTGTGGTGGTGAGAGTCCGCTTGCACAAGCCTGGGGCTCAGAGTGAAGAATCTTTGGAGCGATATATTGTCCATGTAATTGAATCGGTGCGACTTACATTGGCTCCTCCGGTTGAGACTGCAGTACGTATGTTGCTTGACACTGGTGAGGTGAAATAAGGTCACTGACTCCAGGTTAGGCTGTTCTATTTGATATGACAGGCTTTGGACTGTCTAATATGGTATGTCACTGTTTTCCGTCCACTCATCCTTTACATAGCTGACCCTTTTCTTTGGGGTAGGAATACCCACCCGTGAAATTTATTCTCAGGTGTTTCGAAGCTAACTATCCCGAATGTTTGGGAATTATGCTTATTCATAATGCCCCCTGGGTCTTTTCAGGTCAGTTAATCATTTTGGTCGTAGCTAAAGATACCCTGGCCTGTCTCTCTTATTTTTCGTCTCTTGGAACTAACCATTCAAATATTATAGGCATTTGGAAACTCATTCGAGGCTGGATGGATCCTGAAATTGCAGCCAAGGTTGAGTTCACAAATAGTGTCGCCGACCTCGAGAAGTTCATCCCCCGTGATCAGATAGTGGAAGAGATGGGCGGCGACGAGAAGTGGTCATATGAATACGTTGAGCCCACTTCCACCGAGAACTCAAAGATGGATGATACTACGACACGAGACGCCCTGAAAGGCGAGCGGCAAGCTATTGGTGAAGAGTTCCTAGCTGTTACATCTGGGTGGATCAGTGCGACTAAATCAAAGGACGCGAGGAAGCTCCAATCCAGCGAAAGCAAAAGAGCTTATCTAGCTGAGCGACTGCGCGTCAACCACTGGAAACTCGATCCCTATGTTCGCGCTCGTCTTCTCCTAGACCGAACAAAGGTCATTCAGGATGGTGGCAAGGTTGAATTTTATCCCAAGAAAGTTCCCATGGAGAGCGAGATTGAAACAACCAAGGCATTGGACGTGGAACATTTAGAGCGGGTTGATAATGCCACTCTGGCCACGTTGTCGTAGATATTGATAGATTCCTCGTGTCATACGTTTACGATTGAGATACATACATATTCAAACTGTTTTAAAATGACTCCCATGGCAGCGGCCCATTGGATTAAAGTGCCAAGGAGACTGAGCAATTTTCCCCTTAAGGCACAATATTTATTACTCGAAGGTCAACTTCCAGACGATTTTAACCAGTACTCAAATAGGTCCAAGTCTGTACCGTATTTGATTTGTGCGGCCATTCGACTTCCTCTCAGCTTCATGACGTCCGGAATGGACCGGCTCACGCTGAAAACCTCGTTCAAATAAAGGTATGTTTGATTAAGATTGCGGCAAATCATGACAATTTATGCTCCAATAGATCTAATAGCCAAATGAGGAAATGCAGTAACAGGATCCAAATGTGCCCATATATACCAATTCATAACAAATATAACGTATAAACACAGGGATGTATGTACGCTGTAATGCATTGAATCATTTCATGTCACTTTCTATGCGAATTCCAGCCGCAGAGACAGCCTCATGCTTCTCCGTTCTTCTCGTACGCAGAAAGGGCACGCGCGCCCTCTTCTTCACAGAGCTGAAAGGATACCTCATATGCAGGGACACTAGTAGTACCGAGTAACAAAGAAGACAGCAGGGGAAACATTTCGGACACTTTCTAGCTAAACCCCTTCAATCCCTTCGCTGGACGTGTTGCTCCCTGGGTCAGCTCCTCAATACATTCCCTGTCTAGGTGATTTCTATTTTCTGTTGATTAGGGCTCTCTGGATTGCAAGGTCAAAGTGCTTAAACATGTTCATTTTTGCTTCATTTTTACTCTGGCCGTTGTGTCATTACGTTCAACTAAGGCATATTATATCTATACTTGTTATAACATCATTGAGTTCTCAAGTGCTGCCCACCAGGGTTCTTCACATACTTTTTGGGTACTGTTCTCTTCCCGTGATGCGTCACGTACTACCGCCATATGGCAACCGCAACAAGCCCTCGGTGGCTTGGGGAGTCGTCACAGTCGCCTGTATCGTCAATTTCCTCGACGCCTTCTAGAGTTTCATGGTCATGTTTAGCCTGGCTGGTATCAAAGAGGTTCTGGAATTCAACGATGGTGAATTGAACTGCATCTTGGTTGCATACACGCTGATCTTTGCCACGATTCTCCCTGTCGGGGACCAATTGACTGACAGCGTGTTTGCGCCTCACCTTTCTCATTGAGACTTTTATGTTATTCTGGACGAATGTTGTCATCTCTTGGGCCCAAAATTAAAATGGCCTGCTCGCTGGTCGAGCCTTGGCGGGTGTTGGGGCTGCCTTGACAGCGTGTTTCTCGCTTCCTTGTACGTTTATATCGAATAGCTTTCTAACCATCTCCTGCAGTTCGCAACTAGAATTTCGTCATCAGTTACACATTCCCACCCAGCAAAGAAATCGAAATGCTGGACTAGCAATCTATAGTGTCAAAAACAAGAAATAGGACAGATATTGCCCCGCTAGGCCCTAAACAAGTACCTTGGTTTTTGTTATGGTCTAGTGGTAAAATACGCCGTATTTTCTTTCACATATACATAGTAACAATGTACGCTGTACACCCCCCCAGGGCGAGCGGGCCCCAGGGGCCCCGAGCCCGGCCCGAACCTTAGTCATCCAACTCCGAGTTCCGACCGCGGGGTGACCGAGCCCCGACAACTACCTACATGGCTAACACCTTCAACTATTTCCAAGTTTGTCTTTTGTGCCATCCCCTGATCATACCAGCTGTTCATAAAATGGCGACCCCCCGCCGTAATGGTCAATTATCATCCTGTGAGCCATGCCGTACCTCAAAGCTGCGGTGCGATCATACAAGTCCCATTTGTGGACGCTGTGAGCGCCGCGGTCTTCATTGTACATATCACCCGGCACCATTGACGCAGCCCCTCACCGGGATACGCCCCCAAAAAAGACGCCGCGTTGTGTGCGAATCGGATCCTCCTAGTAATATCAGTCGACTCCACAATGAGAACGATGTCTGGACTCGGAAGAAGGCATCAGTCTCAGCCCCGGGGTTTCTGGGCCAAACTAGTTACTCCGATGCGTTTACAGATACGAGAAATGGACCACTTGTCGGAGTTCCATACCTCACAGGCCATGATAACTTTCCCGTTGACCAAAAGCAGATCAATCTCGGAGCTCGGGTCTTGGCGCTTCTGGAGAACCTCCCATTTTATAGAGATGTGGTCACCGCTCGATTCGAGATATGGAAGGGATGGAGTCTTGGTTGGCCAGTCACAAACATGATTTTCACCGTCGCTGAGAAGATGTGGAGCTCCCTAGAAACTGAGGGCATGAACACAAATCAACGAGCTTTCTTCCTATCTAAGAGAATGTTTGAGACACATAGCCGGGCGTTTGAAGTGCACCCTGCAATGACTTGGGAAGACTTCCAGTCTGCTGCGGCCGGGAGATGGGAGCTGATTGGGCTTCTCTTTACCCTGACAGGCCTAGCCACGGACTGGGTCCCTCACAATGACCGCATCTTTATGCGTCAGGATACAATGGATGCGAAGAGTCTGGCTATAACTGCGACCGCTGTGGGGGATATATGTCTTCAGTTCTGCGATAGCACTGGAATTGTGAATGATATTGTCGGCTGGCTGCTATTGCATCAGGTCACGCTTTTGGCAATAGTTTATGGTGAAAGTGGTCTGTTATCCCGTTCTTTGCCTACCGACTTTGTCTAACGGTGTTCCTAGACTTTCGGCCGTGGAGAAAGTTGGGAGAGTTATCAACAACGTTGTTTGCGCTCGGGCTTCATCAAGATTCTAGCACAAAGGCTCCATTCTTCCTTTCTGAGATGCGAAAAAGAACTATGGTCGCGGCGTATTCAATTGACAAAGTGCTTGCCACTTTCCTAGGTCGGCCGCCGCTCATCAGCTGGCGCTACTGTGATATTCAAATGCCACTTGACTTGAGCGTTGAGGAAATATTCGCCGATTCACTCGTTCGTGATGCGGCAATCGCTCGACTGGATGAGAAGAGTGGGTGGAATCTAGAGTCAAGCTTGACGAAGGGCACGTGGCCTCGAATTGCCTTGATCACTAGCGTTCTCCGTGAGAAGGTCTTGGAACTTTCACTGAGTTGGCAACTCGAGAATCTCAGCCAAAGGGTCGAGTACGCTGACAATTCAACTTCCTGCCAAATCCAGGGTATGGCTGACGTTTTAGGGAGCTTTCACGCGAATCCCGCCAATTACGACAGGGACTGCCAGAATTCCTCCATTGGAAACCTGATATCGAGGGGTCTGTTGTTTCCAGAGTAGAATATGATCTCCTTTTCGAGGTTCATATAGAGTTTCTCTACAACGATTTCTTGCTCTACCGGACCCTCGGAAAACGCACCCAGACACAGCCCGAGGCAATTATTGGCATCGCTCGAGAGATGCTCAAATCATTGGTCACTATGATTTCTGAGAAGACTCGCTCTAGACAGCCCATCAAAGATATTGGGTCTAATGTAAGTTGAGCATACGTACTTTGACTGTGGCAAAAAGCTGGAATGCTGAAATCTCTTAACAAGGTATGCTTACCAGGTCTACCTGCTGCGGGTGTTCTCAGTGCAGAATTACTGCGTCGATCCCGATCGACGGTGACAAGCTCTTTTCCCGAGTTTCCTCGTTCCGAGATCATTCAAAATTTGACCCTTTTCGCGGCATATCTGGACACCATCATTAAGCCCCATGATTCTAACTACCGTGTCGCACAGCAGGGTCAAAAGGCAATCCGCCATGTCTTGGACCAAGTCCTATCCGTCGAAGGCCTCTCCTATGTCATAGAAGACACTGGAACGAGTGACAAATTCACTGATGATGAGAACTTGCTTGACGGTGTGAATTTCGACGATCAGGACTTATTTCTTGGTTGGCTTGATGGTAATATGGAACACATGTCCGACTCTTGGCTAGCATGGGTCAATTTTACCTGAATATGTCAAGCCTGTACAATTAGGCATCCACATCGGCATTTCAACAAGTAATGGTGTTCATGGGATAGCTGTACGATTTCGATGTACATCGTAGATAGTCTGCTGGGCGGCGTTCCAACAAGACCTCGGGAACCTCAAGGCCAGGATGCCGGGCGCCCGTGCCCAGGTGCTATGATATATTAGGTAAGCAAGTTAACTGGGAGTTGTTACACACACAGCAGCTTTTGTTAGCCGCACAGCAAATTATGTAATATCCGCATCACATAATCATTTTTACCCAAGATCGTTACCATACATTACCACAGCAACTGCATTACTTACTACTATAGCAACTACATTCTATCTACTACTACTATAAAGAACTCGCTCTCTGCCAGTTAATCTTCCTTCATTTCATATCTATTGTCCTTCATCCAATCATGGAGCCACCAACTGAGCAAGTCTTCGAGACTAAAGAGCAGCTACTTACTTCTATCCAACAGCATGCCCTTGCTTATAGCTATACTATAACTACCGTCTTATCAAGTAGAGATAGAAATATCACTCTTGGTTGCGATAGAGGTGGTTACTATCACGATCAGATTAATGCCCCAGATAGGGCGAAGCGCCGGAAAACTAGTACAAAACGAATTGGCTGTCCTTTTCGTCTCTATACGAAGAAGCTTAGGAATGATTAGTGGGAAATCTAGGTTAGAAACCCTATTTATAACCATGAAGCTAATGATAATATGATTGGTCATCCTATAGCACGACGTCGATAGTTTACCGAAGATCAAAACCAAACTATCTAGTATCTTTCTAATGTCGGATCAAAGCCATAGCAAATCCTTGGTGTAATACGAAAAGATCCTAAGATCTTAATTAAACTAAGAGATATCTACAATATTCGAATAGAATTAAGACGAAAGAAACTCGGGAATTCTACACCGCTTAAATTTCTAAGAGAGACACTTTAAAATGATGGTTAGAGATATACATTTAAGCAGGATACTAAAGGCCATATCCTTTTCTTTATATTTGCTCACCCTAAATCAATTATATATACTAATCAATATAATAGGGTCTTTTTATTAGACTGCACCTATAAGACGAATCGATATAAGATGCCTCTTTTATATATTATTAGTCTCTCACCATCGAATTCATCCTATAGTATTACTTTCTGCTTTATACAAAATGAGTAGGAAGAAAGCTATAAATAGACTCTATAGACCTTTTTTTCATAGCTTGACCCCTTACCCTTCCCCCCCGTCCTTTATACTAATAGAGACCTTGCTTTAGTAGGCGTAATAAAGTCTATTTATCTAAAAAGCCCATATTTTCTATATATTTAGTATATTAATAAGAATGTGCTTACAAAGACAAAGCAATATTTCTCTTTAAATGAGGAATTTGAGGCCTTTATACAATCTTGGAAAGAGCTTATTAATTTATCTACTATAGTTAAATATAACGATCAACTAGCTAAGTTTAAGACTAAATTTAGTCTTACTCCGGCTGCTCTTCGATATATGAAACAAACTTGGCTAACCTATAAAGAGATGTTTATTAGGGCTTGGATAGGGCAATACCTTCATCTTAGTAATTAGGCAACCTCACGAGTGGAAGGCTCTTATATAATTTTAAAAAAGCATATAGGGGTATCAATAGGTGATATACTCTTTATTTTTAAACGAATTAATAATGCCTTAGAAGCTTAGCACTATACCCTTTCATCTGATCTTACAGAAGATCAGATTAAAACGCCAAATTTCTACTCCCACTTTCTCTATTCGAATATTATAAAGAGAATATCACGATATTCACTTCGCTAGATCTATAAGTAAGCTTCTATAGCTAAGAGAGCTACTCCCGAAGCCCCTTTAGCTAACTATACTAATATATTCACTAGGACAATAGGCCTTCTATATGCCCACCGAATCGCTAGTTTAATATCAACATATCAGCCAATTCCACTAAGCGATATCCATCAATTTTAGAGGCTTGGCCTTAGTAATGAGTTATCGGAGTATCTGCAAATACTAGATCCTCTATTACCACTACCACTAATAAGATTAAACCAAGACAACATATCAGATCGAAACAACAAGACATCAGACCAAAGGATCATAAAGAAGAAAGCGCCATCAAAGTGTTCAAATTGTGGAGAAATTGGCCATACAATTCGTTCCTATACGGTATAATAGATATGAAATGAAGGAAGATTAACTGGCAGAGAGCGAGTTCTTTATAGTAGTAGTAGATAGAATGTAGTTGCTATAGTAGTAAGTAATGCAGTTGCTGTGGTAATGTATGGTAACGATCTTGGGTAAAAATGATTATGTGATGCGGATATTACATAATTTGCTGTGCGGCTAACAAAAGCTGCTGTGTGTGTAACAACTCCCAAGTTAACTCCGGAGCTTACCTAAGATCCTCTATCACGTGATATAATACGCTTCGAGTCACAATGGTCTCCTGTACATAATCTCATAGTCTCTCGGATAGAATCCCGAACTTTCTATGCTCCTTCGTTTCCGAAGTCCCTATTTCGATTGCCATGATGGACCACTCAACGTCTGAGTCCCACCCGAGAACAAAACGCCGGAAAATCGCCGTTGCCTGTGACGATTGTCGAGCAAGAAAAGTTCGATGTGATGGGATACAACCGTGTAACTATGTCCTTGCAATGGGTGCGTACGGAATGCGACCCGTGCTGACTCAATGAAGTGTGTGGGCCATGCAGCAAGAGGACCGACCAGGGGCTCCAATGTGTCTATACAGGGGAGTTAGAGAAAAAGCGAGCAAGGCAAACGTGAGCGCTATCAATTCGATGGCTAAATCAACCCCCATTTGCTAATCTCTGTTCCGGTAGTTATATATCCAGGCTAGAATCTCGGATCCAACAGCTTGAAAGCCCACAAAGCTCAGCGAAGGGTCATGAATCAGAATGCACACCGGTTGGTGTATCACAATGCTTTGGTTCCACTATCTAACAGATCTTTTTATGGAAGACAAATCTGCTATCCCCGACGCCTGCAAATATCCAGCCTGAAACGCCTGCAAACTACACACGAAGCACCCACAGCCAGGGTGACACATCCACACCCACAGGTCAGCGAGACGGGGTGAACGCGATGATGGGTGCTGTAGAGGAAGAACGCCCCAGTCAAGGCTTTTTTGGAAGCTCTAGCGCAGCAGGATTCATGCGTCAAATAAGAACAGCAGTCGACAAGAGAGTCGCATCACCCCACCGAAGATCTTCGGTTCCCTATCTAGCTGTTCCTTCAAGCCTGATGCCAACGCGGAGCGAAATACATCACTCTTCGATAGCAAACTATGTGCTTCCCCCGCGAAAAATGGCAGACAGCCTCATGGAGGTTTACTGGGAATGTGTTTTCCCGTTATACCCGTTTCTCGTTCCCGCTGAAATGAAAACCGAGTATACGAAGATATGGACCGGTGATAGCCTGAAGTATGATGAAAACATGTTTTGTTGTACTCTGAACGTCATCTTTGCCTTGGCAAGTCAGTTGGCCGATTTTGTCCCGCCAAAAGAGCGAGAAGCGTCGGCAGATGCGTTCTTCTCCCGCGCGAAAGGCCTGTTTCAATTCAACCTCTGGGATACTGGATCAGCATGTTTGATTCAATGCTTACTTCTCATGGCCCAGTATCTGCAAAGTACCGATTCTGCACATCAATGCTGGATTGTCACCGGACTCGCGATCCGGAACGCTCAAAGTTTGGGACTCCATCTTCCCCAAAACATTGCCCGCCTTCAGAGTTTCCAAGAGCAACAGCTGGCGCGCAAACTATGGCACGGTTGTATTTTAATGGATCGGTATGTTCAACGCTACCCCCTGACGGGCTAATGTCTGGCATGGTTCTTATTTCAATACTCTCAAAGGGTCATATCTATGACATTTGGTCGCCCTGCGATGATCTCAAAGGCTTCTAGTGGGGCGGTTCCCCTGCCAGCCGCCGTTGACGATGAATATATCCCATCTGGGTCTAGCAAAGAGGCCTCCCAGCCTCCTGGTCAGCCTTCAATGATGGCATTCTACGCTAAGTCATTAGAACTTTACGAGATCATGAACGATGTGCTTCTTAGCCTTTACAAACCAATCTCGGACGATAATGCCGAAGATATCCATAACTTCTATTTCGATAATGTTGCAAGCGAGGGAGAGCGGACTATCTTTGAGCTCGACCGCTCCCTCACTCGATGGACACGAGGTCTTCTCCCACACTTGCGTTGGGATTCCTCAACGGTATCCACAAATCCTATATTTTACCGGCAAAGCATTGTCTTGCGTGCGAGGTTAGTGATTTATACCAGTGTGTCCGAGGTATCTGCATTAACTAACAAATTTGTTCCTATAGATTTCTACACGTGCGGATGCTTTTGTTTCGGCCAACTCTCTCTAAATACTGCGCTGTTCGAGATAATGCGACAACAGACCCATTGGTCTCGACGAACGACTCCTTCCCCCATCGTGTTGCGCTACAGTGCTCTATCATATGTGTCAAAGCTGCCCAAGAGTCTATCGAACTAATCTACAATAATGTCCCTGCTGATGGGACCGGTGGCCCTTTGCCAGCTTGGTGGTATAATATCCTTTGTTCGTATAGACTTTCCGCGGTGTTCTACTTTGAGATTCTAACTTATCCAGACGTTTATACCTCTGCAACTGTCTTAATTGCTGGCCGTCTGTGCTCTACGATCCTTGCCGAGGTCACAGAAAGCTCTATCGTGCAGTCTTGGAACTATGCACTGGAGGTTCTTCGAAAATATCAAAGTTATAGCACATCCGCTCGTCGCTGTGTGGCTGCCCTCGAAATCCTTTATCAACAAGTTGCCTCTGAAGGTCTGCTGCCGACCAACCACGTGCCGAGTCATGAGATAGGGGCGAACGCAAACGCAGTGAATGATATGTCCTTCGGCGAAGGAATGAATGCGGCGATCTTGGATAGCTTTGAGTTTCCAGATTTCCAAGATATGTCCTGGTTGAATAGTGTTCCGAGCAACCTTTTCTAGAAACCTAAAGCCTTTGGTTTACCAATCTTTACAGTCAATTCACACAAGATTCGGGAATACACTCAATTGCCATCTATCTAAGACAATGTCTATTCCGAGGAATACTTTGTACCTTTGCAGTCCAGGACACAGAACAGTTGATTCTGACAGAGGATTATTCTGAAGCAATAGATTAGCTAATACAGGAGCAACTGCCACTAGCGCTTTTCCGCACGAGTCGAAACGATTTGGACTGCAATGATTGGAAGTAAGGCACATCCACCGATAATCGCAACCATCACACCCGCAGCTCCACCAAAGCCCAACGCAGTGAACATGTCTGGGAAATAAAACGGTCCAAGCTATAGGTCACATATTAGTGATCGAACATGAAACATCAAAATCTGGGTATGACCTTACAAATCCATATAATTGACGGCATACGTTGACAAAGACACCAACCTGACTTGCCCGTTCTTGTCTGCTCTCCACGGCAAATGTTGTGAGAATCGTCGTCTGCATCTGATTACCGAAACTTGAAATGGCAGCACCAACACAGGGTTTGACATTCCATGTAGTCGCATGCTGTAGCTGGAAGCCCCAGGTCAAAAGACCGGCGAAAATTGTAACAAAGGAAATGTAGGACAACCACAGACGATCAGCCGGGCACGACTTGCCCCTGGATTTGCGAATGTGCTCCAGGAACCAATCGCACATAGGTCCACTGACTTGTTCACCTAACACGCAACCGATGATAATAGCTATGAACTGTAGTCCAATCTGCTGAGCATCAAAGTGAAACTTCTCGCCAAACGCGATAGGCATTTCAACAATCAAGGCAATGTTGCCATAGCAGAAGGTAATAGCATGGGCGCATGCTATAATCAGGATGCGTGGATACTTCACCAGAGAAAACGGTGCAAAGAAATCCAGAGGTTTAAGAGAATTAGAGCTGATCTTTCGTGGGATTAGCTTAACCCAAAATCCAGTTGCTTTACGCTCGTTGTCGGGGTTATAAATTGTCTCATCGCCAATTGCAAGATAAGTCAAAAATTGGCAAAAGTTGAGGATAGCAAAGATCCAAAAGATCCACTGAACACCAATATGTTTGATCACGAATCCCATAAAGAACGGGCCTGCTGGAGTGCCAATAGTGGTCATTAGAGTCCACCAGCCTAGCTTCTTTCCCCGATGTTCGGGTTCGGATAGCTCTGTTACTACACCGCTCCCATTGCCAATAGGAGGGGAGATCAGAAAGGCCGTGAGGACTCTAGTAGCCATTTGTCCACCGTAGGAAGTACACCTCGCGCCGCCAATGTTGCAAACCATGCTTCCCAATACCGATAGGAGCGTGACATGGTACCGGCCATAGACAGCGGTGACGGGGTTCCATATCAGGGGGGATAGGCCAAGAAGTAGGATCTAGATGATGTTTATCGTTTGATGAGCAACTGTGCCAAAGCAAGATTAAGAGTTAAACAGACAGCACACATACCTGGAATGAGGTTAAGTAACTGGCATCTGGTACCGTGACGTTGTATTGCTCCGCGAAGGCATCATAAGCGGGGATGATACCGGCTGCCATGAAGGTCCCCATCATTGAATGGAATGCGACCATCAGAATCTGCGCATTTTTCTTCCAACGGGGCCAATTGCGTGGATTTTGTGGTCATTCGTTTTCCCAGATTCCGTCATCTGATACCCTGCAATCTGGGGAAGATGATTCCACATTTTCTAAGTGAACTGAGGTCTCGGAGCTGGCACGTTTCATGCCGTGACTCGGTCTGGTTCTAACAGAAGCAATGTCTTCTGCAATATCAACTGCCATATTGGGATATACCAGCGAAGATCACAGCCAATGAACACGATATTGAATTTTCAGTAGGTTTTCAATGATTTTGCAGCTTGTAGTCGAGATCCGTGCCAAATAGAGAAGAATTTCAACAAAACAAGAACGGTTGAAGAGGCCAGGAGCTCAGCGAAAGATGTCATAAAGGGGCTTTCCTGAATATACAACCTTCCCTCCGTGGATCCTATGACCCCATGAGATTCGTCGACGGGGTGCGGATGGGGTGTGGGGATATTTGGCAACGGATTGACGCACTGGTTTTTGTCCCACCATTTGCACTTCAGGGGGTCTCATTGGTGTACTCGTCGACTAAACACCATAATCAATGTGAATTAACTCGGTTCTTCGCTGATATTGCCGATCCATACTTGTCCAGCAACCCGAGGTTAGCGGTATACCATCGGACCTGGACCCGGAAGGCCTTCGGGATGTGACCCGAAACCCTAGATATCTCCCGAATACTCACATCTGGGTGACTCTTCAACGCCAAGGGGGTCGTTCATAGGGTTTTACGAAGGGAAATATGGAGCCTGGGAGATCCACTTGGTAGCAAGGGGTGTGAAACCCGAACTTGACTTCATCAGAGCGCCAATTCTGATGGAGTTCGGGAGCTCAGTCGGCAGTTTTCATGGTTTGGTGATGGTTTGGTGAGGCAAACGATGCAGGTTAGTGTGGATACATTGACTTCCAAGACTCTAACGTCGCTTGTTCTTGCTTATTCCAAGTTCAATAACGTAGGTGGGCAGCTGGGCAAGCTGAATGTGCCTGTGTTGCCTGAAATATCAGGCAACGATTTCGTGTCTTGACCTCCTGGGCTCTCATTTCTTTCTTATTCCTTTTCTATTTCTCCCATTTCTCCTATTTCTCCCATTTCTCCCGCATCGTTGGCCATTGACTAAATACTTTGACAGATGAAAATATCCCCTTCGAGGACAATCTCGGGCGAGCAATTACCGAGTAATTTCTCCGTTCTCCGTCACACCCCCGCATCCCCAGACTTCCCCGTATAATCTCCCCCCGTTGGGGTTGATGTGGAGCGAGTTTTCTCCAAGCTGAGCTTGGAGGCTTTTGGTATGATTCATGGATTTCCAATTCATTGGCGGATCTCAAAATCCGCGTGCAAAGAGAAAGAGAACTCAAATGGAACTGTTCTTTACTTCCATAACCAGTCGGCTGATTTCGGGGCATTGATTTCCCGACATATTGGGATCATTTATAAAGACAAGGTACGAATTCAAAACGATGACTTTGTCCAAAAAAACACCAATTTCCAACGCCCCACATGCGGGCTTCCTTGTTGACAGCCTTCACGGCGGGGGCTACTACTGCCACAGCGCTACACATCGCAGAAAACCAGACTTACATCACTCTCGCCAATGATCGCCTCACAGCTGTTCTTCAGAAGAGTGTTGGCCAGATCGTCGATCTCACTCTGGATGGCCAGGACTTATTGGGCACTCAGTCAGGATCTACTGGAATAGGGCCATATCTTGACTGCTACTGTATCCCTTCGGGCTTCTACACAGCTGGTGCCACATCCCCGAGTATGAAGGTAGTCCAGGGCACAGATTCAACTGGAACTAAATATGGAGGCATGATTCTGAGTGATACATATACTCCGACGGGCCAGCAATTCCAACAGTACTGGTTTTTGCGCGATGGCGAGACTGGTTTGCATATGTTTAGCCGATTGGCCTACCACAATGAGACCACACCTTACCTTCGCAACTTGCAGGAGTTCCGAACCTTGTTTCGTCCAAATAGTGATCTCTGGACGCATCTGACGTCTAGTGAGATCCAGACTGCACCCCTTCCAAGCAAGGATGCCATTTCGAAGCAGATTGTTGTTCAAGATGCAACCTGGACATTCAACAACACGCCAAGCGATGCGTACTACACCCAGTTCTCTGAGTACTTTACTAAATATACATTTTCAAACCGTATGGTGAATCTCCTGTCGTCTTCGGTTGCTGATTGCTGTATTGACCAACTCATGGTGTTTTTTTAGAATGGAGAAATAATTCTGTCCACGGTCTCTATGCTGACGGAAGCACCTCAAACGGGGCAACATATGGAGCATGGCTAGTGATGAATACTAAGGTTGGTCATGTTTAACCAACCTGTACCATAGTTGAATCCCATCTAACAACTTTATTCTAGGATACATATTATGGTGTAAGCGATATCGAGCGCGGTGGAATGCAGAGGCTGACATCTCTTAGGGTCCACTCCATTCTGACTTGACAGTGGACGGTATCGTTTATAACTATATCGTATCAAACCATCATGGAGAGGGCACGCCGAACATCACAAATGGATTCGATCGAACTTTTGGACCCCAATTTTACCTTTTTAATGGCGGCAAGGGCTCGGCATCTCTCCAGGAACTGAGATCTGAGGCAGAAGAATTAGCAAATCCACACTGGAACGCTGCATTCTATGATTCCATTGCAAAGCATGTCATCGGATATGCTCCCTCGAGCCAGCGAGGCAGTGTCAAGGGAACCGTGAAGCTTCCCAAGGGTGCCGTTCGCCCAATTGCCGTTCTCACTGTCGACGGTCAATACTTCCAAGATAATAGCGCCGTTCCAAGTTCCTATCAGTACTGGACTGATATCAATCAAGATGGGAGCTTCGGCATTGATCGTGTCAAAGAAGGGAAATACCGACTCACTGTTTACGCAGAGGGCATTTTTGGTGACTTTGTGCGCGACGGAATCATCATTCGTGCAGGAAGGCAGACTGCACTGCATGACATTTGGAACCAGGAGTCGGCAGGAACCGAGGTCTGGCGAATTGGGGTTCCTGACAAGTCGTCAGGGGAGTTCCGACGTGGCAATGCGAGAGATTCAACCCATCCGCTCCATCCTCCCGAGTATCTTATCTATTGGGGAGCTTATGACTGGCGTGCCGACTTCCCTAATGGTATCAACTACACTATCGGTACTAGCGACCCTGCGGCTGATCTTAACTCAGCCCATTGGTCGGTCTTCGGGCCAACGGCAAAGGATTCCCACGTCGAGTTTGACACAACATACGACTGGAACATTCATTTCAAGCTCAACTCGAAGCAATTGAAGAAGCGTAAAACAGCCACATTGACCTTGCAATTAGCGGCCGCAAAGACCGCAGCGGGCAACACGGATGTGTGGAATCCCGTCGAGCCATACAACAATTTATCACTGGAAAGTTATATCAACAATCAGGCAGATCCCCTGACTCTCCTAGTTGGGTTCAATCAATCAAGCAGCTGTATTGTGCGGTCTGCTGTGAGCTGCTACCAGGTTGGGTCAAGAATGGAATTCCCCGTGGATTGGTTACATGTCGGAGACAATGTGTTGCGATTGCATTTACCTTTCAACGCAACGGATACAGAGACTGCCATTCTCCCCGCCACTGTTTATGTGCAATACGATGCTATCCGGTTAGAGCTGAAGTAATATAGCTCTGTCATGGCGTGTCTTGCGCATTTGAAATTAGCGAATCAAACTGATATCTATTCTTCGGCGTTGGCCATGATGGATAGGGTTTATTTGGACTCTTGCCTCGATCTGTCAGCGGATAAAATCAACCTTTTTGACTAAGATACATACTCGCCGTAAGTCTAATTAGTCTATGGATACACCAAATGAAATACTGGTCGAGTGGCTCCCTTCGGCCCAGAGATAAGTGGGATCAGGTCCCCTCCTTCAAGAACAATTCAGAATGAAGACGCTCTACACAAAATATATCAAATCAAGGACCCTCTATTCTCAATAAAAAATAAATACATATGATTAAAAGCCCCAGAGACTGGCGACAAACGAAAGGCAAATGAATGGCAAGATCCGCTCTCGAGGACGGCGATCCCAGAAGTTTGAGAATGCTGACCTAACAAGATTGGAGAACAAAGGCCCTTGATGTGTTGCAAGTGTACATATATGTATTCCATACTAGTATCCATTTTTAGCCTTTCCCACAGAGACCGCCGCAAGTGACAAGTTTGATAGTTCTCTTTGATATTTCCATGGCGGAAAAGGCTGCACTCGATGAAATGCAAAATACAATTTACAGCAAGCTGCCGAAGCTGACACAAGGGGCAGCGACACCGACAAGGTTGCCGTTCTATTGAAATTAGTGACTCTGTTCCTCTTCTATCGCCTTGGGGGAGCACATACAGCCTGGGAGTTGGAGTTCTGGCAGCAGGCAATGTTCTGCTGGCAGTTCTTCTTGAGGAAATCGGTCAGGCCAGCAGCACCAAGGACTATAATACGGTCAGTCTCGCCAATCGGTTAAGTACAGTGGATATATCCCTTACCAGAGACGGGGATGTCGAGCTGAGTGCAGCCCTGGCCGACACCGAGACCCTCGCTGCCAATGGCACCGAGGACGTTGGAGAGGACACCAATGTTGTTCTGGCTGACACCCTCGTTCTTGTTGATCTTGTTGCAGCAAGACATCTTGGCACCATCACCACACTTGTTCACAGCGTCCGCGACCTTGTTGTCGGAACTGGGAGCAACGCCGGCGGGACCCGAGCCAGGCAGGGCCATTGCGGTAGCAGCGAAAAGGAAGGCAGGGACGAAGAACTTCATTTTGATGGACGTTTTGGAGAATGCGGAAAGCGATTGAAGAAGGTGGGTAGATTGAGAGAGGTTGGAAGGCTTTGAAGATGAGAGAGTTGATTGATGGATAAAGAACGACCACTGGAAAGATCGTGCCTTTTATAACTTTCCTGGTTCTCAATCTCCTCTCTCATTTTTCCCCTTCGTGTTTCTGGGGCAAGAAAACCCCGATTGCCTCCCAACATCTAAACTCCTAGGACTGCAGGGGAGTGGATGCCCTCGTAAATTATTGCTTTTCGCCAGCAGAGTAGGGCTTGGCCAAGATGAATTACCGGCTTTCAGGCGATCCATGCTCAACCATAGGCTTGGGGGTGCATGAATGTGTCCAAGTTTTCCCCTGCCGATCAACGGACCCTGCCGGTATGTTCCCCAGACGCCGACGGGAAGAGATGTGTATAGGTGCATGTGGGGGTCAGGACAACTTAAAAGTGGGGGCTTCTCATTGTGATCTTCGGCATTTGGAGTAGCGCTATTTAGTTGTTTTTGCTTTTGAATCTGCGTGTGACGTGTCGGTTCCTGCGAGTAGTGGATTGATAAATTCATGAATGTGGTCTATCACTTCCCATCACAGCGATCTTCTTCCTTTTGTGGGGTGGATTATTGGTTTGATTTTCATGTTTCTGTGTTTAAGTGTTGAACACGTCGATTCAAAATCGATAGTCGCATGCGTGGCGCAGGAGTCTCCTGCACCGTACCGTGCATGACGCACCCCTGTCAGCCACCAACAACCACATCTCCATCCCCTGGTCGGTATGTCGAATCACAATTGAGTGGTCCTCTCAAGTCTGCGGAAACCAAACCCATTGCCGGAAACCTAAAGCCGTAAAAGCCCTGTCCGAACATCCAACTGTACGGGCAAGATATTCTATCTGTGCTATCTAACAAATAAATGGTCAAGTTCTACTGCGTAGTCTTGAAGTTATCTACAGAGTACACACAGCTCATCAATATTGCATGGCGTCGTATATCCATCATGAAGGTTATCGGATAGCCCCTTGCCTACCACGTAAAAGACTCCTCTACAAACTTAATAGAGCGGTAGCCTTGTCGCATCGCAAGATGTGTCGCGGCGCGTGCTTCGTCCGCCATTCTGGGTGGGCCACATACGAGGATCGCAAGGGTAGTACCAGCTGAGCATGCATCACAGGCTCGGCTCATGATCAGGGATTTAAGGTGGGGTCGACCTGACTGAATATCGAATCCAAAATCGGTAGGATCTTCAGAGGATGCGGTGGAATCACGCGTAGCGTAGAAAGAGGCACTGAAGTCCTCTCGTTTGAGGGCGTGTTTCAATTCCCGACGAGAGACATCTTGGATGAACTCCGCTTGTTTAGTAGTCCAAACAAGCTCCATGTCTCGTACTCGTGTTTTCTCATTTTCGGGGCTTCCCTCCCAGTCTTCAACAGACCGGCGGAGATGATCTTGAATATAAGGCACAGCCGACGCTATTCCCGTCCCACCGACGATGATCAAGACTGATTCATACCTCCACAGTGGAAATGTTTCCCCATAGGGCCCTTCAAGAAGAATGGTTGTTTCGCTTGTCTTGGCTGGTGAGCTCAGACATTGCTGGCGCAACTGTTTGGTCCAACCGTCATATGGGCGGACCCAGAAAGTCAATTTCAACCTCAACAATTGTTCTTGACCCGAAGAGCCACTTTCTGAGTTGCCTTGGTAATCTCGGTCAGAATCATCGCCTGCAAGAAGCGGCACATTCGAAACATCAAGTGATTTAATCGGCTTTCCCTCGAATGTCGGTACCAATGACGTCCGGTCCCCTATTTCGTAAGACCAAGCTCCAATTGTAAAAGGATGGCTCTCCCAGCCCGTAAGCCGAAATGGCTGGTATAAAAAGTAGTACTGTCCTGGTGAAGGTTGTAGCGAAGGCATTCCTGGTGTGACCTCCAACCGCACCACGTCGGCCGTTTCGTCGTAAACCATGCGGCTCACAGAAACCTTCATAAGTCTTCTGTTTGAAATACTCACGTGAAGGTTACAGTAACACAACCGGACTATTCGAAGGAAGCGATCAATGACCCATAAAGCTACCGTGGGCCACAGGTACTTCCAGTATTCGTTCCCTTCAAATACAACCGTGTGGCTGCCAATTGTTAGAAATATATGCGGAAATTTGATCAGGCTGGTGTACTTACTAAAAGCACCCGACCAGAGTGAGAACCGAAAGCACGACATGAGCAATCAAGAAGAGCTCATATGTCGCAATGCGAATCCGATCCAATGAGGTGATCAACAGCAGAATCATCACGAATGTGCCCTAATGTGACATGAGCATTTGAGATCGATCAATTTGAGATCAGCCGAATTGGCAGCCTACCAAAATACCCCACAGAACATAGGTCTTGGACATCCCCCTCCAAGCTTTGCCCGCTGCAATTTGCAACAACTGTAAGTATTCTAGCCTGCATTGGAAATAAAGTGCTCAATACTTACTTTGAATGAACATGACAATATAAAGGATGGAGTGCACTATTGCCTGTACAGTAGCCACCCGGGCCACATGACGATGGAATATATTGAACGATGCAAAGCTCCACCCGGTAGCCCACAAGAAAATATTATTTCGTCCCCCAAAGAGCCATAAAAGGGGCAAATTTGCAAAAGACATGATCCCAGTACGGTCCGCAGAATAACGCAGAATCTGGCTTGGGACATCGGGCCAGCTAGACTATCTGTCAACATTTTGCACGTCTCACTTCCACGGGCTCGGTACCTACTAGATATTTCCGGGAAAAGTGCGATAGCCCACGACACTCAATACGATGCTGATCATCCAAAATCCCACGACTATCAGCGCCTCGACTCTGGTGGAGAATGTGAAACCTAGCAGGTGTCGACCATGTGTTGTTGCTAAAGGCGCTGGAATCATCAGATGGGTCTGAATCCAGTGAAGACCTGTCCCCACCAGCGGGATATTTTCTAAGAACTTTATGAGAGGATACACATTGGATTCGAGTGCACGCTCTGCACGGCGTTGTCGGCCGTAGAATAACCAATCACACAAGCGATAGGCCATCCCCAGTGACAGTATGCTACCCCAATATGCGTAGCCAAGATAACTGAGTGGTCAATGTATGGATGTTTTGCTTGCCACCTTGAACAGACTTACCCAAATGCATGATGTGACCAAGTTTCAAATTCCCAAGATTCCTAGGACGTCGATAAGCTTTAGGACTGTTATATTCCAAGAATATCCAAAGGGTCTCACAAGCGTGTTGAACATTAGGTCAAAGTAAGACGCAGAAAGAAGGACAGGCGCATCCGCTGGTTCGCCTCGGGACAACTCTTGATAGTCGACCGTTTTCATATGCCTTATCGCATCCTCTGTCAGATTTTCGGCGACGGCATCTCTCGACAACAGCTCTAGGTTCCCGACTTTTTGGCATTGGTTAGCCAGCTGGGTCAGGCCTATCGCTCGTTCCTGCTCATTGCAATATATCTCGGATGCGGCGTATATCGATGCGACTTTGAGCGGATTCCGGCATTGCGATTCCCAGATGTCTTTTCCCTTTTGTGGGATGGCCAGCAAATGATATGTAGTTGTATGCCGAGTAGACTGCGGTCACACACCGCTCGTCCTGAAGATTGGCCCAGACACCCTGGGCGAGTGCGATTACCAACCAATGGAGCAACATAATGAGTCCCCAGATCGCAGGCCGGTCTGGAGATGAGTGAAGAAACGGTGGAAGACGAAAGGCGGAGCACCGGCAGTAAGCCGATAATCGCACTGATCAGGTGGGCCCATGTGGATCAGCGCAGTCTCTGAGCCGTTGGACCGTGGATTTCGTAGGACCAAAGCTCCTGGGGAATGGAATCAGGAAAGGAATGAATTGGATCCTGACACGAAATTTCCCAACAGAACTCGAAAGAAAGAAAAGAAAAAACAAGGAATCGGGTTAGTTTGTGGGGAACTCGGAATCCCCCTAGAACGTACAACATAGACGTCTTATCTGATCTGATTGATTAGACAACAGCCACGTGACACCATGATTGGCTTAGCTCGTTTCAGTTGTTTCAGTCATTTCAAGTAGTGAGCAGCCGTATATTTACTCTATTGGTGTCCAGCTTTGATTTGAGATATTTTAAACACATATTTACTCCTCATATGTACTCGTGAAACGTGATCATAATCCTTTTGTGTTGTGGTATAAATTTGTAGATTCCCCAATAATGCTCGTGATATATATGAGGGATACATCCTTCGATACCTACATGTATAATCAGCACTTGCAACACCCAGATTTTGTCCACTGAATCTTTTTGTAGCCGAGCTCCATAATAATTGATTTATATACTCGTACCCCAAATCTGGAGTCCAACGGAAGTTTTTCCTTGAAAAAAGTTGACTGTGACATCAGATCATGTGATTATCCATACTCGTGTCTTAACACCTAAGGCATATATTAGTGCCTTGCCCGCCTTTAATCTGCAATGTACTCAATATATCCGACCACAATGAGCTTGAATGGCCACATAATGGTTAAAAGATTGGAATTATCTATGCCTTTTAAAAAGCTAACATCACTCTTTAAAAAGCATATTGTACTTGGAAGCTACATATGTACATATAGCACATCCATCATTATCCGGCAGAACAACGGGCGGTCGAGAATGATGATGTCACGCGGGGTTTTTTCCAGAGTTATCCGTCACTGATGGAATTCAATGTACAACGTACACCTGAGCAACTTCAACTGGTCGCCTTAATGGGAGGAGGAAGCCAAATTCCAGCAATGAATGGCCATAAGGTGGCATCTGATCCGGGACGGAATGTATACCTTCATGCGGTGGTAGATTTGGGCAGGTAGGCAGACCAAAGCCACGTCTTCGTTGCTCTTTCAATGTGCCCGGGTGAGGACTGTTCACTGATTCAAATAATCCAGTAATGGCATCCGTTGTTCGATCTCAGACCTCTCACCCCCAACCACCCGTGTCATCCCTACTGTACATTTTCATCGGGTCAACATTTCACTTTACGAGGCTCAAGTGGACCCGGACTCAGGCATTCGAATACCCATTCCACAACATGTCATCGACCGAATCGTCAGTGCCATAGTTCGTTTCCAGATTGTCTGCGTGGAGATTGGAGTTCCTGCTCAGAACATTCGGATCATCGCCACGGAAGCAACTCGAACTGCTATCAATGCTTCTGCATTCATCGACGCCATCCGCCACAAAACCGGGATTTCGGTAGAAGCATTACGAAAGGAGGAGGAGGGAGTGATTGGAGCATGGGGGATTGCCAGCAGCTTTTCAGATGTGGAGGGACTCGCGCTTGATTTGGGGGGTGGGAGCATGCAGATGACTTGGATCACATCGCATGCGGGCAACGTGCATATGAGTTCCCGAGGATCAGTCAGCTTTCCCTACGGAGCAGCTGCGTTGACCCAGAAACTGGCGGACCTCAAAAGGGGCAAAAGTAAAGAGGAAGCGCACAAAGCTCAGGAGCAATTCCGCGAGGAAATGGCAGACAACTTTCGCGCCGCTTTTGATGCCCTCAATGTCCCTGAACAGCTTGTTCAGAGGGCCCGAGAGCAAGGGGGCTTTCCTCTTTACCTCTCGGGGGGAGGATTTCGGGGATGGGGCTATCTTCTGTTATATCTGCACCAGACAAAGGGCCAAAGTTACCCCATTTCCATTATTAATGGGTATTCCGCACCTAAGAAAGACTTCGAGAACACCGAAGCTCTCAAAGAGGTGGCTCGGACGGCACACGAAATCTTCCGGGTCTCTGACCGGCGACGCAAGCAAGTGCCCTCTGTGGCATTCTTAGTCAATACCTTGGCGGAATCATTACCACATGGAATCAAAGAGGCCCATTTCTGTCAAGGTGGAGTACGGGAAGGAGTGCTATTCCGTGAGATGCTCCCGGTTGTCCGCCAGCAGGATCCCTTAGAGGTCGCCACGGCCCGTTATGCGCCCTCGTCGGCCGAGGCGCTTGCCGCTTTATTGTTGGCGGCCCTCCCTCGACCATCTGCCAGCCGATCGTTCCCGTCTTCTATCAGTCTTCACCTTGTGCAGGCCTTTGCTAATGCCCTCTATTATCACGCCACAATGTCCAAAGAACTCTCCTCGAGTGCTGCGCTATATAGCACTAGCACTGGAATCCTAGCCTCTACGCATGGTATTCCACATGCCCACCGTGCTCTTCTGGCACTAATGCTCCAGGAACGTTACGGCGGAGAATTGCCACCCAGAGACATGGATTTGAAGACCCACCTCCAGGGAATCTTGACACCAGAGGAGGTTTGGTGGACACGTTATCTTGGAAAACTCGGCCTCATCCTAAGCCAGCTGTACCCAACCGGATCTATTGACACCTCCAAGCCGCGAATTGTTCCCTCGGCACAATGGAAGAATGGGTTAGGGAAAAATGGCAAGAAAGAGGGCCTGGACTTGACAATTGCCATTCAGAAAGTTGCATATGACCCGTCTCACCTGAAAGAAGAGCTCGAAAATGACGTGCAGAAAATCCAGAAGGTCGGAAAACGGAAGAATTGGATTGGTGGGCGAAATGGCTGGGGTATCAAAGTCCGTGTCTCAGTGGTAGAAGAAGATTTATTGGCCCAGTGAGTGGAAAAACATAGACCGTGTTCTACACACCGGTCGGATGTAGATTTACATCCCTGCGACCATTGAATTATGCCAGTCCATATGGTGGCCCTAGATACATACACACAGGAGAATATGCCTGTTTCTATATGAACATCGGTTGACCAGATCCATCATTATTTCGCTGTGTCGACTCGGAAAAGGTCGCACCCTGCGGTCTAGATGCACCTGTGGACTTTCCTTGTCCCCGTGGCCTTTCTCAACCTGGTCATGCAGACGAGATATGGGTCTCTGCAAAGCTTGTTTTCAGAATTCTATGCAAGGAAACTTGCCTAGGATATTATTTTCTATGTAATCACCACTGACATTAACCTAGGTAATGTACCTTGAAAATAAACAAAAGAAAACAAACCGTCTTGGGGAACTTCTAGACAGACAGACAAGAAAAAGACAAATAAAAAAAGTTGAAAATTTCACTGGACCCAGACGAGAATGAAGCTTGTCCCTCTCCTGTCCAGGTGAGAGCCTTAAAGGGGTGAACCATGGTGGATATGTGTATTTCCACGGACTCAGTCCGATGTTGCATCCGGATTACACGTTCTTTCTACATCTTATCTGATGTTACCTATTTATCTGATCCTTTTATCTGATCCTTTTCCCTTTCTCGTGCCCCATCATGGAAACCAACAAGAACAAAGACATCAATCTCCTGGAGAAATCCATTCGGGAAAAGGAAGTCCAGGATAGAAACAATACTGATTCCGGTAAGTCCCTTGTTGCCTTTTGCTGTGCCTTTCTTTTTCGAAATTCTCACATCACTACAGATGCAGATTCACAGACTGAAATCTTGCGGGCTGCTGGTATAGGCATAGCCAAAGATGATCCTACTGAGCCCGTTCTCACTCTACGTATGTGGGTGCTAGGAATTGCCTTTTGCGTGGTCGTTAGCGGGCTGAACACACTTTACACCCTCCGTACACCTTCTTTGACAATTTCGGGCTCGGTGGTACTCTTGTTGGCTTACCTCCTGGGAAAGCTTTGGGAGAAAGTCATCCCGAACTGGACCATTCCGCTAGGGCGATTGGCATTTAATATCAACCCGGGTCCTTTTAATACAAAGGCAAGTTTTCTGGCAAAAGCCACAGTGTTTAGTCTAATAAAGATTCCTCCAGGAGCATGTTTTGATCTTTATAATGTCCAACCTCAGTATTTACGTTCGTCTCGGCGCCGATGTCCTGACAGAGCAGCAAATGTTTTACGGCTACAAGGCAGGATGGGGATTCCAAATTCTCATTACTTTTTCCACATTCCTCATCGGGTTCTGTCTTGCTGGACTATTCCGGGCGATTGTGGTCGTTCCCCAAGAGCTGATCTGGCCTGGAGTTCTGGGTGTTACTGCGTTGACCACAACCCTCCACCATGTCAACCAGGAACAAGTGCAGGTGCGGTAAGTCCCCTGGATTTGTTGTCTCGGCGCAATGGAACTTATGGATGGTACTTACAATACTTGGAAAATGTCTCGCTATGCCTTCTTCACTATGGCTTTCTGCATCTCGTTCTGCTGGTATTGGTTCCCAGACTTCATCTTCCCGGCGCTTAGCTATTTCAGCTTTCCGTGTTGGATTAAGCCTGAGAGCAAAGTAGTCAATCAGATCTTCGGGATGAATTCCGGAATGGGACTGTTACCGATTACGCTTGATTGTGAGTGTCACAACTTTGCAAGTCAACCACCGTGCTGACGGGACCCATAGGGAGCCAAATATCTTACATCGGGTCCCCCTTGCTCATTCCCTCGTGGGCAGTTCTCAACGTCTTCATTTCCCTGGTGTTCTGGATTTGGATTGTGGCCGTTGCTCTTTACTATACCAATGTGTGGAACACGGGCTACCTACCTTTTCAAAGCTCTCAAGGTACAACTCATCCGTTCAAGTTCTTAGGGCGCCAAATCTGACTTGTACAAACAGTATTCGACAATACTGGAAATACTTACAAAGTCAAAAAGATTGTCAATGCGGCTTCAGACTACAAGCTCGATGTTAAGAAGTGCCTTGCTTACTCACCGGTAGTTTTGCATGTTCGATAAAATCAAAACTTGGCATCCAGCTAACTTAAGGGAAAATTAGGTATATATGCCAGTTACCTACGCGTTGAACATGTTCGGGCTATCATTTGCGACCCTGAGCGCCCTTCTTGTTTGGGTTATCCTTGAAAGACGTCATGTCATGGCCGATGCAGCCAAAAGGGTGCCTCGGCTGGTCCCGGTCGCTCCAGAGAGTACAGCGAGGACGAGAGGGGAGACCCGGATGTGCCCTTGTGGTGGTATTTGCTTGCATGCATCTTAGCCTTGTTCATGTCGCTGTTCGCCGTTGAGTGGTGGAACGTTGAACTGAGATGGTACGGTGTTTTGCTGGCGTGTGTTGTGGCACTGGTGTTCTATCCTGCGGTGAGTCTACCCAATGTACCGATTTACACATTTGACACGTCTTCTCTGACCAATCTTAGTTGGCTTTGGTGTATGCCACTTCTAACCTCAAGATCAATATCGATATTTTCTGCCGTATCGTGGCCGGTTTCATCTTTGAGGGCAAGGTCCTGGCCAACATCTTGTTCTTTGACATCGGATACATCACGACCATCAAGGGTCTCTACTTTGCCCAGGATATGAAACTGGCTTACTATTGTCATGCAAGCCCTCTCCCTTCCTACTATGGTTGAACCATGCTAATACCCCGAAGATCCCTCAACGAAAATTGTTCTTGGTTCAATGTGTTGGAATGCTTGTCGGCACGCTCTCCTCACTCGGTGTCCTCAACTGGGCCATGAATCACATCACTGGCATCTGCACTAGCGCTGCTGTCAATGGTTTCAGTTGTCCTTACAGCAGCACCCACTTCAATACTTCTTTAATCTGGGGTGCAGTGGGCCCTCGTCGCTATTTCTTGAACCAAATTGGCTATTCTGCTTTGCTTTATTTCTTCATCGCCGGAGCCATCTTACCCATTCCCGTCTATTATATGACCTGCCGATACCCCAAGTCGCTGTGGAGGAGGGTCCATGTTCCCCTGTTCCTCGGAGGGCTGAATTACCTGCCCCCTGCGACCGGCATGAATTACGGAAGTTGGGCACTTATCGGGCTCACCTTTGGCTGGCTCGTTCGAAAGCGTTTGCATAGCTGGTGGAGCAAGTACAACTTTGTGCTGAGCTCTGCCATGGACTCATCTGTGGGAATTGCTGGTGCGATGATTTTCTTGACAGTTTATTTCACCGGAGCCAGCAAACATTTCAACTAGTGGGGAACAGAGGTTCACAGAGTGTGTTTGGCTCTCTTGCGTTCAATCACCCATACTGACTATCAGCAGAACACCTGCGACTGGAAAGGCTGCGCAGACCTTTCTATACCAAACGGCGGAAAGTTTGGTATGAAGAATTCCTTGTACTAAATAACGTGCCGTCTACTTGAGATGTATCCATGTCTTGTGATCGGTGCTTAAATTCAGAGTATGCCAAAAATGGGCACTTTGCGCCTTGCTATCTGTTAATCTGATCGTATGGGGAATCTTTGTTGTTTGGTTTACAAGCAATGACAAGACCAGTCCGTTCAGCCTTAGTGAATTGGATCTTGACATATTCCAAAATAGCCTTTTCATACACAATACGTGGACATATACATAATAGTTAGTACTACTATGTATGTAGTATTAGTAGCCTTCCAATTTCCCTTCCGGTTCCCTGTAACATTCATTGAATCTTTCAAGTGGTATTTTTGGGTGGGTCCAACACGAAGTCAATGATTGATTAGATCAGCCCGATTGATTAGATTTGGTCGCCAGGGGTTGCACATTCGCAATGGTGAATGGTAGATGGGATGGTTGATTTTTCTGTTAGGTGAAGCTCAACAAAATCCGAATATTGAATTATATATGTGTACAAATACTGGGTCTTCTAGGGCTGCAGTACCTGACAGAGACGGCCCAGGCTGTGTCCCACTAACTATCCCTCGCTCCCAAAGCGAAAACTAGTTTCGGAATGACGCGACCTGCCAAGAGTCAGTGCCTCCAATTATTCACACCAACTCGGAAGTGTGTCCCGGGCTGCTACGAAATTACCAACATCGTAGACCAAGGGCTCCACTCAGGCATCTTCCCAACTGATCGATAAACCCCCGGCATGAGATTCTGCAGACAAATTATCTGATCCTGAGTGGGGTCCAGTTCCAAGAGGAGCTTTTTTTATCTTTCAATGCCGGTTAGAGGTTAGACTCTGACGACCAATCCTGAACCATACTACCGTGACGGAAGACCTACCAGACGATGGATCCCCGGGGAGATGACCGAGAAGAGAATTTTACATTATACCAATGTATGTTGTAGACGTCTTGCTAATTGATTCCGAAATGTCATTATTCCCAGACATTCGTAATTTCCGGTGTCAGTCCACCCTAAGCAACAAAATCCCGGTCATCAAATAGATTCTCATAAGGATCAGGCCAAAAGTTTTGCAGCCTTTTTGAACGATCAACACCAACGTATTATGTATATGTCAGCGGGAAACATTTCTAAATGTACCCTGCATATGTTCTGGCTGTAACTATGTAAGCGCGACATGTTAGTACCAATTACTTCATATGCAGGGACCAACATCCAATTCGATGTATTTGTATACATCGACCTTGTTGTAAAAGACCCTCGGAGCTGGCGTATCCTGCCAAGGTTCCAAGGTTCGCTTGAAGCCTGAGTGGAGTCTTGTAAGACGCCAAGATCTAGGACTAACCAAGCATAAATGCCAAACTCGTGAAATTACCAATACAATACCTCCGATGTGGAGCCCGGCCTATCTGATGGAATTAATGGAATTTATGGAATTTATGGAATTTATCTTGTGCGAAATTTGTCGCGGTATTGTCGGCTACATCTATAAACCCGCTCTGTCCAAGGTTTTTTTCCCTCTGATTTTCCATTTCCTCAACTTCCATCTATCTACCATGGCGGCCCCGAGAAGTGTACAGCGCTTGCAGCAGACACTGTCGCATGTACAGCCTCCTATTAGTCCGCAGCTGTCTCTTGTCGCAGGCCCGACGGAGCCACAGCTGCTGGACATCACCTTGGGTGAGCTGCTGACACTTCAAGCACTGCAGTATGGGAGAATTGAGTGCTTGGTCTTCCCCTGGACCGGTGCGCGATGGACGTACGGCCAGCTGAAAGATGAGACTGATCGTCTAGCTCGGGGAATGTTGGCTTCGGGTATTCAAAAAGGCGATCGTGTTGGAATTATGGCAGGCAACTGTGAGCAATACATCTCGGTGTTCTTTGCGGCCGCTCGAGTTGGGGCTATCTTGGTCGTGTTGAACAACACGTACACCCCCTCCGAGCTGTATTACGCTCTCAATCACAGTGGTGGGTGATATCCACTTCCCGTATTATTGACTCCATACTAATCTCGGCTTTTTGTTCAATTTTCATTCAGAATGCCGAATGCTTTTCATGACACCACGCATTGGACGTCACAATCTCGAGGAAGTCCTTATCCAGCTCGGCCCTAATCCTAAAAAATCTGCGACATCGGAATCATTAGAGGAAATTGTCATTCTCCGCGAAAGCTACAACAACTTCACCACCTATCACGATGTCATGGAACGCGGCCTGTCACAGGCTGCACATGTGCTCCAGGACCGCGAGGCCGAGTTACGGCCGGATGATGTCTGCAATCTGCAATTCACAAGTGGTTCAACGGGCAGTCCTAAAGCTGCAATGTTGACACATCAGTATGTGGACCATGTACGACGATTCGCTCTTGAATATAGCTAATTCCTCCGCAGCAACTTGGTTAATAACTCGCGTTTCATCGGTGATCGCATGAATCTCACCTCTTTCGATGTTTTGTGCTGCCCGCCACCCTTGTTCCACTGCTTCGGGCTGGTCCTGGGCATGCTTGCGGTGGTCACCCATGGCTCCAAGATTGTCTTCCCCAGCGAAACCTTCGACCCTAAGGCGGTTCTGCATGCCATCTCCGACGAGAAGTGCACTGCTCTACATGGTGTTCCAACCATGTTTGAGGCGATCCTTGCCGTTCCCAAGCCCTCGAACTTTGACACCTCAAACCTCCGCACAGGCATCATTGCTGGGGCTCCAGTCCCACGGCCACTCATGAAGCGGCTCTTTGCAGAATTGAATATGACCGAATACACCAGTAGCTATGGTATTGTCCCTCCCATTGGCCTGTCGATCGAGTGCTAACCCAAGCTCTAGGTCTCACGGAGGCCTCGCCCACTTGCTTCAATGCTTTCACCACCGACAGCATCCACACAAGATTGACCACCGTCGGAAAGGTTTTGCCCCACGCTCGCGCGAAGATTATCGATGCACAGGGAAACATCGTTCCCGTTGGTCAGCGTGGTGAGCTTTGCATGGCCGGCTACCAGCTCACCAAGGGATACTGGCATAATCCGGAGAAGACGGCAGAGACATTCATAACCGATGCCGAGGGTGTCAAATGGCTCAAGACTGGCGACGAAGCTTCCTTTAACGCCGAAGGGTACTGCACCATCACCGGTCGCTTCAAAGACATCATCATTCGTGGTAGGTTCAAACCCCCACATGGACATTGATCGCGATTTCTAATCCTGGCATCTAAAAGGCGGCGAGAACATATATCCTCTCGAAATCGAAGAACGACTGACCGCACATCCCTCAATTGAGTTAGCATCTGTGATTGGTATTGCCGACCCCAAATACGGCGAGGTTGTCGGAGCATTTATCGCGATCGCTTCAGGAGCCGCACGTCCGACCGACGATGAACTGCGCACATGGACACGTGAGACTTTGGGCCGACACAAAGCCCCGCAGCATGTGTTTGTATTTGGAGAAGAGGGGGCTTCAAGCACGGTTCCTGTGACGGGAAGCGGGAAAGTTCGCAAGGTGGAGCTACGGCAAATGGCGATGGCGGTGCTGGCCGAGCGCCAAAAGGCATGAACGAAGAAAAAAATAAGGAGCACGGATTGTAAAGTCCTCGTGTTCGCGTAGTATAGAGACTCTAGATTTTGCAGTAATACCCCAATCCCATTGACAAAATAGACTCGTGCACAATAATAATTGCAACCACAAATAATATCTGCATCTGAAATAAATTATGTAATTAAATGAGGGGCGTATCTTATCAGATTCTATTGTGATTCGCTCAAGCTCAACGCTTGTAACGTCAGGTACATAACAATGACGAAAAGCGGATCCTGCAGCGAAATGCGCTATTTTCTGCTATTTTCTTATCATTTTCTGTTTTGGCTACGTCGGCTCCAGCTCTTCCCAGAATCAGATTAGATGCTCATCTTGTCAGATCGATTATCATTGCCAATTTGGGCTGGTGGCTGTATTGAACCGTGGAATTAATGTGTATTTTACTTTACACAGTACGGTCATCGGGTACAACCGTGTGAGCGAATTCCAATGTTTCTGGTCCACACGAAATACTATTAAATGTTGTCCATGTAATATCCTCTTTTATTCACATATGTATTATGCACAGTGATAAATTGAAAAAGAAAACTTAACGGATGCTTTTGCATGTGTATCAGTCACCATGTCGGTTCTTCCAAAAACGACTTGGCATCCTGAGGTTTGTACTGTTCCGGAAAGACTCGCACGGAATAATCGGAGTTTGAGGTCAAGCCAATATAACCGAGGGATGTTTCACATTTCACGGCTGCCATCGGATCTGATAATCCAAGCCAAAAACCCTGGAAAAGGGAGCAACCATGGATGCGCTCTATCCGATGTCGCTTTCAATCTGATAAGATCCGGACCCGCATAATCCGATGATATGACGATATTTTTCTTTATTTCTGTTACATACCTAGGTAGCTCAGTTCCTTGGCCTTTTTTTCTAGATTTCTTTTCTTTATTCTCCTTTTCCGCTTTCCTTTCGGCCTCTCTCTTTAGTTATTGCTTGTGTCTCACCTCTCCTTAACTCATCATGCCTTCCAACGACTTTGTCCGAACTGTATCCCGCAACTTCCGGGTACTTGTGATCGGTGGCTCTTATGGTGGCCTATCTGCTGCATTGGCCCTCATTGATCTTTCACAGGGTCGCCTCGCGCGTTTCAATTGCAATCCCGATGCCAAAGCTCCTACACATCGCATTCCAATACAGATAACTGTAGTTGATAAGCGAGATGGCTATTGTAAGCTCCCCAGAAGATCAACAATTCCTCCACCATCACCCCGCTCACATGTGTAGTTCATCTGATCGGATCCCCAAAGGCCCTGGCCTGTGAAAAATTTGCGTCCGAGGCATGGACTCGTTTCCAAGATATTCCCGGTCTCAAGTCTCCAGATCTTAGCTTTATCCAAGGAAGCGTCAGTTCGGTTGATTTCAACGCTAAAGTCGCCCATATTGTCGATTCAGAGACTAAGAGCAGCCGCACGGAGTCCTATGACTACTTGATTGCAGGCTCGGGGCTGCGTCGGTCTTTCCCCACTGTTCCCCAATCCTTGCGGCGAGATGAGTTCCTCAAGGAAGCCAGAGAACACATGACGGATGTGAAGCAAGCCCGTGATGGTATCGTTGTTGTCGGTGGAGGTATGTGTTACCTGTCACTCTCTGCTGCTTTCGCCCCTGCTAACGTACCTTTTTCGTGGATAGGCGCCGTGGGCGTGGAGATGGCTGCCGAATTGAAGATCCTGAACCCAGAACAGAAGGTCACCCTGATCCATTCTCGAAAGCGCTTGCTATCTTCGGAGCCGTTGCCGGATGACTTTGCCGAGCGCGTAGAGTCTATATTGCGCGATACAGGTGTCGAGGTCATGCTAGGACAACGCGTTACCGATACGACCGCGGTGGACACGAAAAATGGGACACGGGTCTGGAACCTCACTCTCAGCGATGGTCAACAACTCAAGACTGGCCATGTTCTAAATGCTGTTTCTCAAACTGTTCCAACATCAATGTATCTGCCGAAAGAGGCATTGAATGAGGAGGGATACATCAAAGTGCACCGCTCGTAAGGCTGTTTCCTCAACCAAGTTGCTCACAGAACATTCCTAATATCTCTGCAGACTACAATTTTCCGGTGCCATCCCTAACGCGGAGCATCATTGGGCAGTAGGAGACCTCACTGCGTGGGAAGGTATCAAGCGCTGTGGTGGTGCAATGCATATGGGCCATTACGCGGCGATTAATATCCACCAGCATATGATGGCAGAGTGCACTGGTGAAAAGCCAGACTATCAGACCTTACAGCCGTTCCCGTCTGTGATGGGCCTAGCTCTCGGCAAAACGGCCGTCACTTATATCCCGAGCGAGGGCACACGTGAGGGCGAAGATCTGATGAAGAGCTTGTTTGGCAAAGACATGGGACATACAAGTGCGTCTTTATCCTCCCAAATTCGTGAATTGAAAAGCTGACCCAAATTTCAGTTTGTTGGAACTATATGCGCCTCGGTGAGGCATGCTAAGCGTGGCCTAGTAGATCCGGGACGTTGTTGGGATTCATTGCATTTTGTTTTTCTTTTTTTCTTGTAAGATTGGACTGGTGTGCCGTGAGATTTTCGTTCTTTTTCTTTTTTTTTTTTTTTTTTTGGGACAATGACTGGGCTCTCGAAGGCAATAGGCTGGTTGGAGTCGGATTTGGTGTGAGTTAAGCTCTGCAATATGAGTCGATCTATCACACTCAATTGGAATTCCTTGAGCTATTTTGTCTTTGCCCTGACATTGCAAGTGTCATTTGCTGATTGAAATTGAGAGAACACGAAAAAAGAAAATTGCTCACTGGGATCGGCCGTAACAAGCTGGCTTCACTCTTCGACACAACCAGTTGCGTACCAACAGTGCAGGCCTCCATCTCGGTTTGTTCGAGAAGCTTGTTTGAGGTTCGGGGAATAAAACTGTTCAAAGTATGTTGCATTGAGAGTACTTGAGAATATTTGAGAATATTGGAAGTGGAATAGTTGAGTTCCAAGGGGGATATATGAACTTCCACGCAGGTTCCCCTAAGATTCCCCCAATAGTATACATTTCACATCTTTATATCTCCCGAGTTTTATAAGTTTTATACCTATAAATTGATTAACCTTGGAATCATCTCTATATATTCTTACCTAGGTAGTCAATTTCCTATTTTTGTGCTACAAATCTGCTTAGAAATCTTAGAAATCTGGTTCCACTTGATTCCACACCGTTCTTTTATAACTTCATATAAAACAACCCCTCTATTTTGTTATGTACCTACGTACATAAATCATATATCTCACCTCATTCATATCCACAATGGCACCATTTGGCACTATCTACTCTTATCAGCCCAGTCCTCGGGTCATGAAGGTATGGAACTCGAACCCCAGTCAGAACCCCGGTCAATACTGAACTAAACCCCTGCTAGGCCCAGGCTGCGGCCAATCTGAACGGCCTGGAGCTGGCGGTTCCGGAATTCGCCATGGGCAAGACCAATCGCACCCCTGACTTCCTGTCCAAATTCCCGTTGGGTAAGGTGCCCGCTTTTGAGGCTGCCAATGGAACAACCCTGTTTGAATCGGACGCCATCACCCAATACATTGCCGAGAGCGGCCCGGCCGCCGATCAGCTCATTGGAGTTACCCCAGCCGAGCGCGCCACCATCCGGCAGTGGATTTGCTATGCACAGGGTGAGATTCTGGACCCTGTGACGCAGTTGGCCCTGTGGCGTCTTGGTATCCGGCCCTACGACGAGAAAGTCGAGGAGACCAACCTCGCGCGTCTGGAACGCTCGCTGGAATGTCTAGAAATTCACCTCAAGAACCGCACTTGGTTCGTCGGCAACGAAAAGCTCAGCTTGGCTGATATCACTGTTGCCGCTGCCCTGGTCTGGGGTTTCTCCATGGCCATTGATGCTGAGATGCGCCAAAAGTTCCCCTCTGTGGTCACCTGGTACGAGCGGATCCTCGAGGCTGAGGGCGTCAAGGAGGCTTTTGGTGAGAAGAAATACATTGAGAAGCGTCAGAGTCCCCAGGCTTGAGGCTCAACGCGATTCTCTTTTTTAAAAAAATATATACATAACATTAGAGCACCCGGAAAAGTTTAACACATTATATTCCGCTTCACGAGGCACCTGAATCAGATAAAACGAAAAAAGAAAAACCTACAGAATAGTGCTAGGGATATCATAACATATAAAAAACTGGCTTTTCAAGCGGTCGGTCCAAGCGGAACAGTACATATTGACAGGAAGACCAGAAGAGATATCCCACGGCCATCTCATCATAGACGAGCCATCACGCTGCCCTCGCCTCGTACCGTTCCCATCACCTGGGCTAGGTTTCGGCTAGCCCAATCGGCGATCGCCATGTTAGTGATCATTGGATTCACACCACTAGCGCTAGGGAACACGGACGCATCCACGACATATAAACCGTCAGTGCCCCAGACTTGACAATCCGGATCCACCACACCAAATTTAGGTGACTTGCTCATGCGGCAGGTACCCATCTGGTGTGCACTGGCAAACAAACCACGCTCCGGGTTCAAAGGGGACTTCCGACGAAGCTCGGCAATCCAACTCTGCAGTGTCGCGTCGTTGGTGCCTTCGGGAGCCTCGGGGTCTGAAGCCTCTGGCCGGATGAACGGGGGAAGGTCGCGGTAAGCGGTATGGAACTCTGTGGCGCCTGTGATATACGCAATCTTGGCGCTGGCAATAATGGCCTCCACAATGTGTTTTCGGTCAAAGGCAGAGACCGTGTAATCAATCCGGCAGCGTCCATCAACGGGGTCCGGGTAAACACGACCAGAATCGCGGTCTTTGGTTAAAGTGATGAAGCTCGTGCTGCGACGCATCTTGGCCGCCCACAGCTTGTACTCCAATGAGTCTCGCCAGGGGAATATGGGGATGAACACGGAAGGCATCATTGAGAGAGACTCAATCTTCACGCCATGTCCATGTCCATCAAGATTCTCAAACTCGTTAACGACCGTTGTCAGTGCAGAGCCTTCCCAGGGGCGGGTCTCCTCATTAAAGACAGCACCCGCTACCATAACTGTATAACAAAGAGTAAGTGCCTGTGCGGTGCGCTGTGGAGGGAAGTGAAGAGTGCTTACCTGGGTGAAGATAAAGGTTTCGGCCAATCTGGGGGTTCTTCAAACCACTACGCAGTAGCAGAAGAGGACTTTGCAATGCGCCAGCTGATACCACTACTCTCTTGGCCTTGATAATCACCTTACGCTCCACGGCCGCAATACCACCGAGGCCCAAGTGTGAATCCCGCGACTTCCATGTTCCTTGCACGCCAGAAGCAATCTTTCTGCCCTTGACCTTGGTGAATAGCACTTTTTCGGCACAAAATCCTTCCATGAATCTCGCACCGGCCTGAGCAGCATCCGCAAGGAACGACTCCGTTGGACCTTTCTTTCCACCTGAGTGGCACCCCAACGTGCAATACCCACAGTAGTGCTTGCCGTGACCTGTGTTTTGGGGCACTGTTTTGGCAGCATAGCCCAGTTTTCTTGCGCCTTCAAGAATCACCTTATTCTGGTAGTTATGCTCAATGTGCTCCTCGTTAACACCCATGCGACCACAGACGCGGTCCAAACTTTTCTGGAAGTCGAGGGAGGTGAAGAAAGGCAGACCAGTATCCGCCCATTGCTGTCGGACATACCTCTGGGTCTGTAGAGATGCCGACCAGTTAACAGTACCGCCACCGCCCCACGTTGAGCCCGCTAGGATTGCCATCGAGCCATCATCACTGGAGATGGCACCCCCGTTCTCAAACATGTTGAGAAATCCCTCATTCGGGCCCATGGGGAATGTGTCCGATGGATAGGAATAGGACTTTTCCACAACCAGCACTCGATGGCCCGCTTCGGCTAGGTTCTTTGCAGTCACACTACCGCCACAGCCACTTCCCACGATAACGACGTCGGTTTCAATCGTTTCTGTCTGGTCCCCAGGAGTGAATTGCAAAAACTCATACTGGAAACCGTCGGAGGGGTTGCCATGAACAGGGATGCGTGGGAACCCCAGAACTGGGCCGATGGTTGGGCTGCTCATAACCCAAGCTTTCTTCACGATGCCAGTGATTCCTCGGTAGATGGCGCGGAGAGGGGCCAATCGAGAGGTGTCCCATCCACGTAAAACCTTTTCCCGGAATTCCACCGGTTGGTCCTGGATCGGAGTTGTCGAACCCGTCATAATCAGCGAACCCGTACGGGTGTTGAGCGCTGTCATGATCAACCCAAACCCTTTCCTTCCTTCGTCATGCACCTGGTCACCCAGGAGTCGCTCCACTATGGCTCGGAATTGCGGGTTCGAAGAAACATTTTCTTGCAAATACTGGGTAGCAATATTTACGGCATCGGGTCCAGAAATAACCGTTGACAAGCTCGACACGGCAGAATTCCACTCTGCATGTGAAATCACTCGGTCGTTCGATGACTTGACAGTTGCCGCAGTGTGGATGGAGGGCACAATTGCGTCGGCCAGCGCATACAGGGTCTTCCACTGCAACTCCGAGAAGTAAGTGGCCGAAGGCGCTGGTGGAAGAGGGACATCGCTCGGGGTGTATGTGGACACAGCATGGGTTGGCATATTTGCAAGAACCAGAGCAAACAAAGCTCTCGTAGATCAAGCTCCAATGGTATAGGAGGAATGGGAATGAGAATAAGAAATGAGATTGTGGAGTAAAGAGAGAAGAAGTCCACCTGGGCACGGGTCACGGATGTTTATAATATACTAGCTCGACAAGGTCCCACTATGACAACAGGTACATATTCAGAGTTTGTAAGTTCATCTTTAGCGTGAACGATCGTGAAAAAGAGTATGATCCTCCTCTTTCATCCGACTGTCATGCGCTGTCAGCCACTTTCAGCCCTCGCAACCCAAAAACACGAACCCAAAATCCGGGGGAGAGAGCCTCGGTTGAGTGGAGAAGTAGTGAGCATGGCTTTCGATTCTTGTACCGGTGGGGTATTTGAACCTCTGGTCGACCAGTTAAGATCGTGTAAATCTCCATCGCCTGACAATTTCAAGGCCTAGGTTCCCCAGAGACGTAGATCCCCCTCTTCCTTCGGAATAAGCGGGCTCACGCGCTCATTTGCGGGAAATTGCCGAGTTCCAGCGCCATGTGAGAATCAAGGGCTTGGGATGAAACTAGAGTTAGCCTTGATTATAGGGAAATTCAAGTCAAATTCAAGTGAAGTTCAAGACAATTTTCGAAGTGGTAGTGTTGTAGTGTGTGTATTGTGTAGTGTAGTTGTGTAGTGTGAGTGTAGTGTCGTGAACAGGCAAAATGGAATTTCTCCGCCTCCGACCTCGACCTTTCTCATCACACAATGGAGACGCGCACACTCATTCGCCCTAGCAAATGTACTCTGCCTAAAGAGAAAGTCTTCTCTATCCAAATTGGTTCCGAGATCTTTCGTCTCTCGGGTGCTTCAATTGCCTCTGATGGTAAACGCGCTTATTCTCTCCCGTCTGACTTGAGCTGACCCCTTCCAACAGCTCCATCCTACTTTTCACGCTTTTTCGAGGATCAATTGCTTCAGAATGAAGATGTTGCCAATATCAGGACCCTCTATATCGATCGCGATCCCACAACATTCCGCGAGATCGCTAGACATCTGCAGGGTATGAGAGCCCATGGACAAACATAACGTGACAGAGGCTGATGGGTGCATTCAGGCTACCATCTCCGGCCCCAGGATGGCGCGCAATTCGTGAAGCTATTCGCAGATGCGCAGTTCTATACATGTGAGCATCCTCTGTCCAGGTACCCTGGAAGTAATTGCTGACCCAACAGTGCCCCGATTGATGTCCCAGCTGTTCGAGTCCGAATGCTTTATTCAAATCGGCGACCGACACTTTCAGATCCCTCGCGATATCTTCTCAGGTCCCGGTGATTCCCCAAATTTCTTCACCCTCGGATTCGCCGCCTTCTTTGCTTCCCCGACTGAAGTGTTCCCGGGCCTGGACCGCCAGGGTCTCTTGCGACCGCCGGCCATCATCCCCCCAAGCGTTCCGAACCGATCTGCAGATGTCTTTGATGAGCTCCTGCATCTGCTGCGCGGGTATCCCCTGCATATTAGAAACGAGGATCACCGGGCTTCGCTCCTGCGCGACTGTCGTTATTTCCACCTGCGCGGCTTGGAACAAAAGTTGATACCGCATCAGATAACGACGAATCCCTTCAGCCATCGTTCGGAAATCGTCATCCGGCTCGAGGATGTGCGACCGTCTGGGGTTCAGTTTGCCTTTGATACACTTTCTGGGTCGCCTGCAGTGGGTGGAATGGTCACATACACACGCCCCTTTGTTGACGAGAACGCCGCTGATCTGGTGGTTGAGATCGGCGACGAGTCTAGTCTGATCCATCGGGGGAGCATGCGTGCTGACTTCCTGGGCCTTGCAAAACAAAGAATTGCCAGTCTGTTACAGACGGTAGGCAAAAAGATGAACCTGCCTGATTCACATCCACCAATGGGCCATGTTCCAATCAAGGTCCGTGTCGACCGTGAAACTGACCTCACGGTGGATGGAGAACAGGACCCTCAGCATTTGATGATATCAAGAGCCAAGGCCGAATCTGGCGCTGGTGGTGTCCCTCCAGCTAAACGGCCACGAGTCGATAATACGGACGATGGACCCTGGGTTGTTCGGACAGGACAATGGCGATTGCAAGTGCAGACAGGGCCTACCGGGGCATACGAGGTTGTCTTGGTTGCTGTCAAATTGGACATATATACCAGTTCGCAAGTACGAAACCGGTCAAGGAAATTCCTTTAGTCGCCTATACGTATGTTCAAGTCTTAAACTGCATAATACGCCAGAAGACTTGAATGTATGATATCAAACAGATGCCCTCGGAAATTGTTGCAGGCTGGGCAAACTCGCATTAATATAATTTTGTCTAATCGGAGAATCCTCCCCATTCTTCCCCGTCTTCATCTTTTTCATCTTCGTCGCTCTCATCGCTTTCGCCATGCTCATGCTCATCATCTCCACTTTCCTTCGCCGGAACGGCCATAACAGCATGGCCAGGGTCACGAACGAATCCAGCGACGAAAAATCCTCCAAGACCTTCTGCATCACCTTGCCAGGATCGGATGCACGCTTCTAGTGCCTCGTCAGAGAGATCTACCGTGCCTGATGGCCCTGCTTCTCCCTCGGCTGGCCGCTCCTCTCGCACACCTCGTTTCTTCCATCGACGCAAGCCATCGGGCTGCTCATCGCGCCGCAGGAGGCGCCAACCGCGCTCTTTGGCAACCTGGGAATTCAGAATGCGAGCCACAACGCCCTCATTCTCGATCAGGTGAATAGAACAAGTACTGTACGTCACATGGGTAGCATTCGAGAAACGCAGAGCGTGTTCAACGATCCGCGCCTGGATGCTTGATAGTTTGGTCAGTCGCTCTGGGTCGATTGTCCCATCCGGGATATCATTCTCATCTGTGGGCTCTGCCTGTGGAGTTCCCATGGTGGCTTTCGACTGCTCGCCATTCGCTTCGTCGTCGTTGTCTGGACGCTTCCTTTTCTTTCCATGTGACTTGGGCGCCTTGTATGCTGCCGCGGCAGGGAGTGTGAACTGGGGGACATCGTCACGGCCGATGATTCCGCTACCAGAACAACTAGGATCCAACAACAATCCAGTAACATTCTCAAACTGTTCATCTTCTGGGTCAAGAGCGAGGAAATCCTGACCTTGGAGCACAGTGACAGAGTCAGCCCCAGCCAGACCAACCATTTTCTGCAGCGTTCTAGAACGCAAGGTAGATGCATCCATAGAAAAGATTCTCTGGTTGCTGTTTTTGTTTCCCTTTTGTTGTTTGGCCAGAAGCGAAGCCAAGTGCGTAGTCTTGTTCCCCGGGGCAGCACATCCATCAACCAAGTCGCCCTCCCATGGGTCGCTAGGCCCACGGTCACCCAATAGGAGATACGCTGGGAAGCAGGACGCTTTGTCCTGGAGAATTATTTCTCCGTTTTTGTAGGCAGATGAGGCAGTGAAGTCTGCACCGAAAGGCACCGCCACCAAATCTGGAATGTTCGGATCGATGAACAATCGAGGCTCTGGCTTTCGGCTTTCCAGCTCATCTTCTGGTGCCAATTCTGCAAGTGTGTCTACCCGACGGTAAGACTTGAATGTAGTGCTCAGCTGCTCTTCGAGGGTAGTACGGATATTATTTATGCGCACCCAGCGCGGGTAGACGAAATGGCTGGTTCCATCGGCCAGTCGTTTCTCACGTATGACAACAGCCTTGAATTGCTCGACGGAGGCGCACCCACGACGGACACGGGCCTTGGTGAACTCAGCCTTTAGCCTGGCCTTGTGACGCTCCACGGTCTGTCGGAGTGTGTGGGTTGCCGGCGCGGCAATGCCCTTTTTCGCGAGTAGATGATCATGAACGAGGAGAAGAGCGAGGAGTGGAGAGAGCTAGATGGAAATCACTTCGTCAGTCAGCAGGTATCTCCGGTGGGTTCTCTGGATTCATCTCACCTTGCGCTCCAGGGCGAGAATGCCTGATTTGTCAATGACATCTGCCAGCACGGTGTCCCATTTAGCAGCCTCGGTGGTCAGCGCATAGATCTGAGCTGGAGATGCGCGCAGGTTCCGAGCGCTGTAAACCCGGGACTTGAACGAGCCCCCTGAGGAGGGCGCAGTCAAGATAGCGACCGCATCAAAGTAGAGGGACATTGGGAGTATGGAATGTTGATCGGAGAAATTGAGGATTTTCGCGATCGAATTGATATTTTGACATTGTTTGTTCTGTTTGCATTGGATTGTATACTGCCCAGGTAGGTTGAATCATGAGATTATACGGCGATCAGGGCTTATGATATTGACTGTCAGACGTGATAGCCTCGCTACGATAAGAATATAGTTTCTTCTTCTTCTTCTTCTTCTTCTTCTTCTTCTTCAATTATATCTAGATCAAAGATGTGTAGCATTTAATGTTTTGTGTGGCTGATCTCAACGGGATCTATATATATCTCGATCGGCCCTTTACTATAATCTTTAACTCCTTCCACTTCCCAAATATTCACCATTATTACCATTGAAGACCTTCAACGTTCAATATCCCATTACCGAACAGAATGGCACCAAAACCAACTCTCAGCACTTCAATACAGCCGCCTCCAGGACCCAGCGCAAAGCTAGTACTCCCAACCCAAGACACCAGCACCAACACCAACCCCACTATCTTCAACGATGCAATGATAATCCGAAAGTCCGTCTTCATCGACGAGCAGCACTGCACTGCAGACTCCGAGATCGACAGCGACGATGCCCGCAGCTGGCACTGGGTACTATACGATAACTCCACCGATAACTCCACCGCGACCTCTACGCCGGTGGGGGTGATCCGCCTGGTACCCCCGCCACAGGTGCCTCACGCCTATCTCACGGAACCGCCAGCGGCAATCGCACAGGGAGCGCCCGAATACGACTGGACGCATGAACCATGTATCAAGCTGACCCGGGTGGCGATCATGCCGTCGTTCCGCGGTCTCGGACTTGGGCGACGATTAGTGGAGACGGCGCTGGGGTGGGCGGCTGTGCATGCGGTAGAGATAGACGAGGCCGCGGCGCAGATCGCTGTGAGGGGGGAGTCACCTGTTATTCCGATTCCGTGGCGGGGGTTGGTCCTTGTGCATGCTCAGGTGGATGTGGAGAGGATGTATGCTGGGCTTGGATTTGAGACGGATCAGTCGCTGGGTCGGTGGGATGAGGAAGGGATTGAGCATGTGGGCATGTTCCGGCGGGTGGTTCTGGATAAATAAGGATCTACAGGGAGAGAAAATACAATACGGGGCGAGCATAGTCTACGAATAGAAGAAAAGCTCAAGGTTCAATATCAACGGATTCAACTAGATCGAACTAAATCGAACTAGATATCAACTGGGGGAATTGGAAAACTGCCACATTCCCTCAAGCATGGATCAGGGACCAGTAAAGAGGAAACATCAAATGAGATCGCCGCGCAACAAAAACCGACGGGGTATCCTGATCAACGCGAAGCAAAAAAAAAAACCAAAAAACAGAAATAGAAACAGAAATCAACCGGGTCGCTAAGCACCGATGAGTATCTGATCAACGCAAAAGCAGAAAAAAACAAAAACAGAAAGCAACCAGGTCGCTAAGGACCGATGAGAACCCTCTAGGCACGATGCAAAGTCATAACATGACTGCAGAAAACAAAGAAACAAAGCCCAGGGCCTGTCAGAAACGCCGAAGCCATGGTCGCCAATAGAGAGAAAAACAGGTCACGCATGAGCATGACTAAAGTGAAAAGATTATGAAAAGTAAGATCAAGTGAAACGCCGACCTGCAGCAGTCCTGCTGGCCACAGTAACCAAAGGAAACAGGGCAATGCGTTTAGAAAGTGCTCCAGTTCCAGTCACGAGGAACGGAGGCAGCGACCTCGCCGGTCTGGCCCACGGTGGACTCGGGATTTTCAGTATTCATGCCCTCGGAGTCGGGAACAGAGATGCCAATCTGCTGAGCATCGATCGTGTTCTGAATCTTGTTGAGACGGTCAGAGCGGTTCTCTTCCCAGCGTTGGTGGGCGCTCCAGCACAGATCGCAGGCACGGGATGGGACACCATCAGGATGGAAGCGGGCATCCTGGTCAAGGGGAACGAGATGAGGTGTGTGGGAGGCGCAGAAGACATGGCCGCAGTGACGACAGTGGTGGCGACGCAGAAAGATGCCGAATGAGGAGCGGCAAGTCGGCGAATCACAGTTGGAAGAGGCAGAGTCAGCCTAGGGGATAAGGTTAGCAAGTGTTGTCCTGTAAGAAAGTGACCAATGCGATCAAAGGACATGTGGCTGAGATGCGACAGGGCTGAGGCGGTGGATTGCAGCACGCCATTTCCGAGAAATGACGAGCTCACACGACATTTGCTTCAAAAACTGCGCAATCCAAACCGAACCCAATCCCTATAAAAGCGCCGAAGGAAGGAAAAGGAGGAAGCATTTTTCTCGAGATACTCACTTTCCAGTGTGAACGGGTCGGAAGACCGGTTACCGCACCCAGGTGCTCATTCTTCATCCACTCATGCTGGGCACTCTGGCTGATTTCGCTGGACTGGCTCTCCATGGTGGAGCGGCGGCTGATAGGTTCTGACGAGTCCTCGTTCAGGCTGTCAAGAGAGCCATGCACGCTGCGGGGTGGGGTAATGGGAGACGATTTCTGGGGTCGCTCAGTGGGTCGGAGAGCTGCAGGGACATAGAGGGGACCCTTGAGAGGACGCAGCTGGCGCGATTGCAGAGGCAGTTGGTGCAGGGAAGCGGTTGTCATGCGAGGGGAGGTGGGGGAATTGTTGGAGGGAGTGTTGGTGGCAGAGTTGGTTGGGGAGGGCTGACCATAAACCGAAATCTGGTTGATAGCCGGGTTGGTGGTCAAAACATGAGTCGCCATGATGATAATAAAAAAAAGGAGATGTGAGGTTGAGTGAAAGATTGAGGATGTTGGGATGTTAGGATGTTAGGTATGACGGATTGAAAAGGTGGGAGGCGGAATGTTAAGAGTAGAGTTTAAAGGGTAATCCCAAGCTCAGCGGCAAAAAAGTGTCCAGATACCGAGGGGCAAAAAGGAGTTCGAATCGAAGTACAAACAGAGAGCCGTTCAACCGGGGAAGAGGCAAGAGAAAAAGGTCGACTGTAAGTGGCCGAGGCCAGTGGAGACAGGAACGTTGGAGCTAAGATTTGTAGAACATAAGTGGATTAAGTGGATAAGTTGGAGATGTTGGAGATGAGAACGGGTGAACAGTGTTGAGAAGAGGAAAAGAGCAAGAAGAGACCTTGGAATAAATAAAGTAAAAGGAGGTGAAGGAGATTGGAGAAGAGAAAAGGCTACCTACTGTAGGAGTACATGGTGATACTGTTACCTTTGGATATAACTACATCGTATGTATGTAACTTGAGTACTGTATCTTGTATTGGAGTACAACTTGTCTGCCTTCTACTTTTGGGTACTTGGTGGCGGGTATTACATATGCGCATGGGCCAAGTAGTGCCAAGTAGTCTTAAAGTAGCCCGTGTGTCTTTTCCGTGTCATCGAGACATCGTACTCTTGTATAACGTACTTTTTTTACCCTTTTTTTTTCCCTCCCGGTGATTCTAGTCTATTTGCCCGATATGAAATCATAATCTGGACTAAAGATCTGGATTGCCTCGACTTTCTTTTGACCGCCATTTGTGATTACCCAGGATTCAGACCGGTTTATGAAGCCGCCCCAGTGACAGGTTTCCTTTTGCGGTCTCTCCACTTAACTCCGCAATGGGGGTCATACAGTTTTGATATACAACATACAACATACTTCCAACCTTGGTGGGTTTGAACATAATTATATTGTGTTTAAGACTATATATACAATGAAGTCTTATTCCGTACTCCGTACTTTTTACAGACATAGAATAATGCACTCCGTAATAATCAAACAATGAAACGGAGAAACGGAGAAACATGCCGCAGTTCATTTATCCAAGACGGGCTGGAAAATAGGAAAAAAAGGGAAAATGTCGCTAGGGAATCCTTAGGTTCACTAGCGTCAAACTACCTTGCTAGTGACCAATCAGGCTGTTCGTGGCGTCTCTTCTTATCATCGAGTGATGATTGGTCCATTCCGAACTCGATCATTCTATTGGTCTGGCCCTCCGGTGGCTGTCGGAGCCCCGCGGAAGTCTGAGACCGAAGTATCCAATCAAATCGTAGGGAATGAAAATAAATTAAATATAAGATTATCTGCATGTCTGAAAAAAGTAATCATCCAGAAGACCTCGGAACGTTGTGGGCATTTGGTTTTGGGGCTTGCCGAGGCCAACCTTGGAATGTTATAACCTCAATTTCATGAGAATAAGAGGTAAAAGCGAAGAGAAAGTTGCCATTGGAACTGGTTTCAGTAGAGCATTACTATTCTGCCTACTCCTGAAATGATGGTTGATGCATACTAGGAACAAACAACTACCTAAATAGGTAGGAGGTAGTATTCATATAGGTCAAATCCCGTTTCTAACATATCTGGAGGGTTGGAAGATAGACTGTGTACTACGTACATAGATCTGCATTGGGATGCGGGAGGTTGCAGTCGGAAATCTGGGGTACCTGGGTACTCCGTATAACCAAAAAATGGCCGCTTGCAGGTGTCATACGATAACACCCATGTCATCATGACTTTGCAATTATAGTTCAATATGCAACCCCCCCACCCCAACAGCTCACAACACATACCCCATCATGAAGCTGGCGGTCTTTAGCGCCAAATCCTACGACCGTACCTATCTGGACCAGGTGCGTGAGCAGCACTTTCCCGAGCTGTGCACCATCGAATACCATGCCTTCGCGCTCTCTGAGGAGACCGTGCCACTGGCCCAAGGTTGCGACGCAGTGTGCGTCTTTGTCAACGACACCCTGGACGAGCGCGTGCTGAGAGCCCTTTACGCCTACGGGATCCGTGCCATCCTGCTCCGCTGCGCAGGATTTAATCATGTCCATCTCGCAACTGCCGAAGAGCTAGGCCTCTTCGTGGCGAATGTCCCGGCATACTCCCCCGAAGCCGTGGCGGAGTTCGCAGTGGCCCTGATCCAAACCTTGAATCGCAAGACCCACCGCGCATACAATCGTGTGCGCGAGGGCAACTTCAACATCGAAGGTCTCCTCGGGAATACCCTGCATGGCAAGACCGTGGGGATCGTCGGCGTGGGGCGCATCGGGCTTGCAGCCGCGCGCATCTTCCACGGCTTTGGGTGCCGACTACTTGCACACGACCCATTTGCCGGCGAAGAGTTCCTCCAGTACGGGACGCTAGTTGACCTCGACACCCTGCTAAAGGAGAGCCATATCGTTAGTCTGCATTGCCCCCTCACGGAGAGCACGAAGCATCTCATCAATGAAGAGACGTTGGCGCGTATTAGACCGGGTTCCTTACTGGTCAATACCTCGCGGGGTGGACTCATCCATACCACGGCGGTCATTCAGGCGCTGAAGACGAAGCAGCTGGGCGGGTTGGCATTGGATGTCTACGAAGCAGAAGGCGAGCTTTTCTACAACGACCACTCCGGGGAGATCATCGACGACGACGTGCTGATGCGCCTGATGACTTTCCATAATGTCTTGATCTGTGGTCACCAGGGGTTCTTCACGCGCGAGGCCCTCGAGGAGATCGCTGAGGTCACACTCGGCAATCTGTCTGACTTTGTCTCGGCCCGCTCTTGCAAGAACTCCTTGGTTACGGAGGGACATGTATTAGTTCCCCTTCACACAGAGCCGGTCAGGCTCTGAAGGAAGTCCGAGAAATATATCTGGGTATGAAGCATCCATGCATTGATATTTGAGCAATCTACCGAATCGAACACTTTCAACCTACATATCATTCATCATCAATATTAAGTATGTAGGTAGGCATTCGACCATAGTTTGGTATCAAGATACATTTCAACTGCGCATTGGACGAGTCCCCTGGAATTGGCCCTGAACAGCTTGGCCGGCTGGGGGAAGAAAACAATTTCCATGAACGATCAGTGGGACCACAGAGATCAGCCACATGAAATAAACAATCCCCACAGCAAGCATTATACGGAGCTGCTCGAAGACCCGTCCAATCAACCCAGGTCGGATAACCCGCCGAGAACCCTGAGATTCCTGGTCGGTAAATGACAATGCCTCGGCCATTTGCCACGCTGCCCGACAGTTGATCTTCTCCCAGGTGGTATCATCCGCGTACTGACGTGCTGCCACCGCCATTTTGACTCGGCGTATTGGGTCGAGAGAAATATCCTTGACCCAATGAACAAAACACTCTAAATCGCGCGGCGGAACTAGACAACCAGTCTGTCCATGAAGGATAATATCAGAGGGCCCGCCCTGATCCCGCGCGATGACGGGGACACCACTGGCCATGGCCTCGAGGACCACCAGCCCAAAGGTTTCCGTGATAGAGCAATGAAGGAACAGATCAGCAGACGCATACGCGCGAGACAAGGCAGACCCGGTGAGAACTCCAGTGAAGATGACGTGGTCTCGAACGCCGTCAAACAAGCGCTGAACTTTATCCTCAACAGCCAGGTTGCGATTCCCGCCGACAACCAACAGCTTGAAGGGCAGCTTGTCTGCGGCTAGCCGTTGCGCGACCTGGGCGAGAAACTCGAATCCTTTCTCTGGGGCGATGCGGCAAACGCATATCAAGATGATTTCGCCATGAGGTGCAATATGACGGCGATATGACTCGTCGCGCTGTGTCGGTGAGAAGAAAAGCGTGTCAACACCGCGACCCAGCTGAACGAGTCGATCGACCGGCACATGCGCACTCTCCAAATATTTGCGAATCGCAGAGCACGGATAAAAGATGGTGTGTACAGCGCGGGTGCGGAACAGAAACCCCTGAACTCTCGCCAGGAGCCATACGCCGAATTTGTCCAACGGTGCAGGCAACATGATTTCTGCATAGGCGGACAGGTCTGTCTGAAAGTTGAGTAAAACCGGCGGTGGAGAGCGCAGTTGGCGGATTTGCAGCAGCATTTGGAAACCAAGCGAGGCCGGGCTGGCGAGGTAGATGAGGTCTGGCTGGAAGCACTGGTTGAAGAGATCGCCCAAATGGAACGGGTAGACGACTGTGAGATCTGGATTATAAGGCAGCGCACATCCAGGCAGACGGCGCTCCCAGGTCTCCTGGTTGGACGATTGACCTTTGAAGTTGGGCGCGACGAGAATGAGTTCCACGCTGTTGTCGCGCAGATACTCGACCAGACTGCGCGTCGTGCGACTAACTCCGTTCACAGGGCCCCATGACTCTGTAGTAAGAAGGATCTTCTTGCCACGCAGGGTACTAGGGAAGTCGAGATGGAAACCCTCGCCCTTTGTGCCCTCCGAAGAGAGGAGAGGCGTGGATTCGGCCATTGTGAGACATGAATCCAATATTCGAATACTCAGGGAATGGAAAGGTGGTTTGAAGCTAATAGTCTAAATGCACGAAGGTGAACAGCCCCTTTACACATTCAAATACATACACCGCGGGGTCTGATCTATACGCTGATCTATGCACGTGCCCTAACCGCCCGCTGAGGATCGTTGCTTGGTGGCCAGTCGCAGTTCGCGATGCGCCGCGTGCACTAGCTCGACCTTCTGGTGCGAACGAGGAATTTGAATTTGGGGAATGCGAGAGAAAAGTGATTATGGCGGGTTATGAGGCATCGAAATGAAGACAAAGCTTCATCTGAAAACCCTCTGCTCCTACTTTCAAGTATGTTAACTCCTGTGATGAACCCCGCCCTTAACTATGACTTCTGTCGCAACCCTGCAAGAGGGGCCTTGTCAAAGCTTTATTGTAAGTTCCAATAATTATATATTCATACCTTAGACTCTTTCGAGGCCTGTGATTCAAGCTTGATATTTATTTCAGACCACCGTGGATAATTTCTGAGGACTATGTATTCTCATCGCTTTGTGCTTCTCCAGGAAGGAGTTTACGCCCTCCCTATAGTCACTACTGCGTGTTAATACCATAGTAATTGCTGTCGATGGAGAATAACCCACTTTTGACCTGTCATATAATGGAATGAATATACGCGACTGTAGGAGATGCGCAGCCTCGGGCGATCCAGCTCCTTCCCTTATCGTAGCTCCTTTATCAGCAGATGTGAATAGAATACAAATGTAGTTTATATATAGCCGGTGAAGCCTCGGCAGTGCGGGGATGATCAGCACGGACATATGCATAAGCCCCCAGGTAGCATAAGATGGAGATTGTGTGAGGAGTAGATCTATGGAGGGGATGGAATTCTGACCAGTCCCAATTTGGCAATTTGGGTCCGTTGTAGGACACGTACGGAATGCCTCTCATTAACGAACTACTCCGGTTATCTTAGTTCTATGAGATGCTGAGGTGTACGTATTACCTGTGATCTTAGGGAGTCGTGATCCTAGGGTTATGGTTCTTGTCTTCAAGTTGACCGAGGTAGATGGATGGTAGTCGCCACACCAAATACGTATTTGTTCACGATGTCCCACGATATAATCATTATAGAATGATCTGAATACGATTGATATACGCCTAGAAACCTGTATATAATCAGATTTGTCCCGAACTCAAGATCTGCAGCTCTCGGCCCTTTGTCCCTTCTGGGAGATAGACTTGGAAGCCTCGGGCCATCTTGACATCATCCACGTGCGGGTACTTATAAGTCCTGTTTCCCTCTTCTTGGTTGACTTGCATTTTTCTATTTCATATATATAACATTCTAACATCATAATACATTATGGACAACAATAATCAAGGTTGCAAGATTACTCTCTATTGGTACGCTCCCCCCTCACAGTCTCTTCAGAATCATACTAACTCACATTTCAGGCTCGAGCAATCTCGAAGTCACCGAATCCTTTGGCTTTTGGAAGAACTGAAATTGGAATATGAGCTCAAGATCTTCAAGCGTCGCGCTGACAAGCTCGCCCCTGCTGAGCTGAAAGAGGTCCACCCGCTGGGCAAGTCGCCTGTGATCACCATCCAGGCACCGGGCGCCGAAAAACCGCTAGTATTGGCGGAGTCTGGTGCGATCGTGGAATATCTCTGTGACCACTTTAGTAGCGCGCGACCGACGCTAGTACCACAACGGTACACGCCCGGCAGCGAGGGTAAAGTGGGTGGAGAGACCGAGGAGTGGATGCGCTATCGCTACTTCATGCACTATGTGGAGGGCAGCCTGATGCCTTTCTTGGTGATGACCCTGGTCAACGACTGTAAGTCACCTTTTATTTAGAGCGTCAACCCGTAAATTCTCGCGTGGCGTTGATGACCCAACCTTGGAAACACCGTTGACATTCTCAACAGCTATTCGGAACTCCCCTCCATTCTTTGTTCGGCCTATCACCAGCATTGTTGCCTCGCAAGTTGAGAATCAATTCCTCACCCGCAACGTTGAGGGTAACCTCGCCTTCCTTGAGGAACAGCTCCGAACATCTCCCGAGGGTGGCGAGTACATTTGCGGCAAGGAGCTGACAGCTGCCGATATCCTGCTGAGTTTCCCAGTCATTGCTGTTACCATGCGAGCACTGAAGGAGCAGAAGAACAAGGATAAATACCCTCTTCTTGTCGAGTATGCCAAACGCCTCGAGAGAAATGAGGGGTACCAGCGTGCCGTGAAGAAGATTGAGGATATTGAGGGAAAGTTCTCAGCTTCTATGTAATTGAGAGGTCATGGTGGGAAAGGGCGCAATGGAATTTGTAAATTATTAATGCCCTCAAGTCTCATTTATACCCCGTTGAATCAGCGCTGAGATATGGAGGACATTTGGTTGGCGGATGATCTCGGATATCCTTGTACACATCTACAACCACAGACATCGATAATGAGAATATTTTCTGTAACGATCAAAGGAATGAATAGAGATAGAAACACAATAATATGGATCATTTCATCTTAAATAATACAATGTTGTAGCTCATCCTGGTAGTTATGAAATGGATGGTTTGGGAGAACGAAAGCTGATTACATCATTCGGCTGATTCATCATCATGTGACCTTCAACTTCAATCCCGGCGACGCTTGCAAGCGTTATCGATTCTGTGTGCACGCTTCAACACTTTCCGCAACAATGGCTGGTCCTAGCAAGTGTGAGTCTTGAGGGTCCCATGTGTGAAGTGGCCTGAATTGCTAACCCATTGCCCCAGCTCTTATCCTTGACCCGGCCCTCCAGAAATACTATGGTACATGCCCCCCAACCCCATCTCCCAAGATCCAGGATTCCGGATGAGTCTAGCGTATTACGCTGGCCCAAAAATACATACGGGCTACTTGAAGCTGCTCTCTCGAACCAAGCACCCCGCGACACGATATATCCTCTACGATTGAAGATTGACTAACGGACCCACAGAACTCAATGCCAACCGCTACAAGTACTGGCGCTGGACTCCGCGCCATGCCATGCTCTCGTTCGTCTACATGGGCCTGATTCCTGGCGTCCTGGGCTACGTTGCCTACAAGTACGAGGTATGGAATGACCCATTGTGATTGGATTGCGATTGTAGTCCAATCCTGCGGAGAAACACGCGCTAACAATATGCAGGGTCAATTCGAGTTCCGTGGCAAGCGCAGGGGAGATCCGATCTCCGAGTGGTAAACATTTAGTGATGAACTCCATAATTCAATTTCCGTTTTGTTATCAAACCCGTACCGAGCAGCGACTGTGACATGACGTGACATGGAGAACTACACACTGAGATGTTGGAGATACTCGTGTGTCAAGGGCATTTTGCCTGACTCTTTTTTTTTTTTTGTGCCAGTGCCCGTTGCGTAGGCCGTGTACTTTATTACAAGCATATACCGCATGAATTTGTTTATTTTGTTCACTTAGTGCACGTGCGTGAAACCTGGGGTTTACTTCCAAGGCCAAACATACAGCCCGGAGTATCTCAGTCAAGAGATAGGTATCATCCATTTTAGTGACTGTTGTCAGTATAGGGGACGATGCGTTTACTCGCCAGGGTACCATGTCATGGTAATAGCTGGTAAGCATTTAGTAGTAATTACTACACCCTCAATCTTTCTAACTTGATATACTCCTGACTAGTAGAATATCAGGATATGGTATAGAGTTACTGAGAGAATGAATAGGTAGTATTTATACGACTATAGGTTGAAGGCCCGTCACCCTTAGCTACTCACGGCGATTGAAGAGGCCAAATTCTTCAACAGCTTAATAGAGTACATTTTCCTAGAACAAATATTGTTAAATGCTGTAAGATGATGCCATATTCGCCTCTTTGGCCGTGGTAGAGTGCGGCACTCGTAATGCAGAGGTAGGAGGCACGCCGTTCTTATATTTTGATGGTACTGCATGTAGCTGATACTGATTTCATTGGCCCTAAACTGGATAATCATACAATGTCTCAACATGGGTATTTATCGCCCTTTTGACAAACTTGCTTTTGAACTGGATTTCTCTTCGCCCTTCTCAATATGGTGCCCATCCACGACGACCTCCGCGTCCACCTTCAGGCAATCGCTCGCCACGGTGCCAATCACCTCGGGGCATATGGGGAGGTCCACCACCACTACCACTACCACTACCACTACCACCACCACCACCACCACGAGGACCACCACGACCAGGCCCACGAGTATAGCCATTATCCCGGAACGCGCGCATGCCACCTCCACCTCCACCTCGGGGTCCTGTGATCGGGCCTGATGCGCCATTGAGTGCCGGCGCAACGGATCCATCCTCGAGCGGTGCGAGAATTGCGCATTCAATGTAGTCTCCAACGATGAAGCGGGCATCCTGCAGGGGCCTGTCGGCTTCGGAGCCCTGGAAACGAAGTGGGCCGGGGCGAGGTCGGGCTTCCTGCTTATCTTCGTCGTCGTCTGCGCGCAATGGACTATTTCTCGGACCAACAATAGCACTGCCTAAATCCCTGCTCAAGTATCGGCCACGCGCATCGGGGCCGCCCATTGCCGCGCCGCGCGCGTCGGGGTAAATCAGTCGGAAGCAGAGACGGGTGCCAACGGGCGGATCAGGGAGTAATGATGGAAGAGCAGAAGTGAGAAGCTGTGAGAGCTCCCGAAGTGTGCATGATTGCCATGTGTAGATCTCCAGATGTGGTGGGAGTGGCGCTGCCGATGCGACAGGCGATGTTGGAGAAATGGCATTTGGTCCGCTGACCGGTCCTCCACGGCGAGGTGGTACGGGGATGCTATAGTCGGATAGAGGATTGTAGTTGTTAACTCGATAGAACAGCTTCAAATGAAAAGGTGCAGTGGTTTGGCGGTTGATCAAGGGTTTGGGGCCCTCTCGCGACGGAGCGGCCATGATGGATGGTAGGTTGAAAATCAGAGGTTGCAGTTCCGAGGACGGGGGAGAAAACAGAAGAGAATGGAAGATGCGATGACTTGAATGTAAATCAAAGCTTGGACAGAGGTCCTTGAAGGTGAATGTTTGGGGTATTTCTGAGTTGAGGGAGTTGACTGGAAGAGACAAATGCGGCGTCGAAAAGCTGCGGGTTCTCTGACGTACAAAGCCGAACATTCTTTTCCTTCTGCCTCCACACCCCATCTTCGTCCTTTGAACTCTACCTTATTTATTGTCTACATTTCTTTCAATTTGAGCTACAGTCGCACTGTTCAAGCAGATCGCTGTATCACCCCGCCACCATGGATTTCGCCGCATTGATGTCGAAGGAGATCTCCAAGGCCAAGGGTAGCGATTCCTCGAAGCCATCCGCCAAAGAGACGGGAAAAAGCTCCCCCGCAGTACCGGGAAAGAAATACCTGCGACGAGGCGATGTCGAAGCTGCCCGTATTGAAGCTTACAACCAAGAGCAAGAGCGACTTGCACGCGAACGTGAAGAGCGCATGGCGAATAAGCGCAAGCTCGAAGACGAAGAAGCGGATCGAAACCGAGAACGCGAGGAAAAGAAGCGAAGACTAGCCGAGGAGTCCAAGACGAGGAGAGAGGAAGAAGAAACAGCCAAAGAACGTGAACGGCGGCGGAGGCTCGGTTTGCCTGAGCTGCCTGAGAATACCTCAGCCGACGGTGACGAAGAGGAAGATATCGAGGAGGAGGAGCTTATTGCAAAATTACGAGAGATGAATGCGCCAATAAAATTGTTCGGAGAGGACTATCGAGCCCGTCTTCGACGCTACCGTCGTCTGGTTCAACGTGCCGCTATTCCCAAGAAGAAGGTGACCGATGGACCTATCCCCACCACCTTGGAGCCCGTGTCTGGTGGACAGATGATCATCCCGGCCAAGATTCCGAAAGACCAAGAGAACCGTCTGTTCCTTTTCCGGCAGTTGGGATCTTACTTCAACATGGTTTTGTCAGAATGGGAACTGGCACTAGCAAAGCGTGACGTCTCTGTGCGGGAAAGTTTCCAGGGAAAACAAGCATTCAATGCCATGACCCAATCGCGAGAAAACATGACGCCATTGTTCCGTCTCTTCGAGAAGTCCGACCTGGAGGACGGGTTGTTGGAACCGATCGTTGAGATCGTGCACAAGGCGCAGCAGCGGCGATACGTCGATGCAAATGATGCTTATCTACGAGTGAGCATCGGTAAAGCGTATGTTGATACCACCACTCTCCTCTCGTAAATTTAGAAATGATGCTAACATGTCTATAGAGCGTGGCCCATCGGTGTGACCATGGTTGGTATTCACGAGCGATCTGCACGAGAAAAGCTGCATCAGAGTGACCAGCAGGCACATATTCTGAGTGACGAGATTACCCGCAAGTACCTACAGAGTATCAAGCGCTGCTTGAGCTTTGCGCAAGTCCGCTGGCCCCCGGAGGATCAATTGCAGATGATGGGTTAGCCTGTTGAGAATCGTGTCCGAATATACCCATAGCGTTCCAAGAAGAAAGACATGTACATTCAGAGCCCGTAATATTCATTTTGCCATCAATTTGAACACCAATTTGAACATCAATTTGAACCGGTATCTTTCAATAACCCGGAGACCGTGACAACGCGGTACCCTCTGCGATTCAGCTCTGGCAACACCTTCCGTAACATAGGCACCGTCCACTCTCTCCGATCGTGGCAGACAATAATACTCCCTGGCTTGACCATACTCAAAATATGATTTGCGTTCAGTTTCCAAAATGGCACCTGCGGGTCATGTGGATACACATCGCCGAGCACCAGCCGATAGCCCAGCTCCTTTACAAGAGTTCTCATCCGGGAGCTGAAAAATCCCGAGCCAGGGCGAAAGAGCCAATTCTCAGGTGATGTATCTCCAGCTGCGACATATGCTTCCTGGATTCTGGCATGGACTACTCGGATCTGATCTGCCAAGACGTCGTCGCTGAGTGCACGCGATGGCTCATCATACATGGCATGGTTGGCGAGTTCGTTGCCAGCTCGGACGAGATCTGCCAGGACAGATTCGTGTCCTGAAATCTGGGATCCTATCAAGAAAAAAGTTGCAGCTGCATTGTGCGATTGCAGTAGACGAAGAATTGCAGGTGTGTGTATGGAGGGCGCGTCGTCAATCGTCAACGCAACCACTTTCTTGTTTGTGTCCACGCGGAAGAGTACATCGGGCCAGCGACGTTGACAGTAACGAATGAGCAGAACCGGGGGTTTGTATATGCAATAAAATGGTACTAGAAGAAAGAAGGTGGTGAGGATGGCTTGAAGCATGTTTGGCTTCTGTGGAGGATCCATGAAGGAGTTTTGTTCGAGTTCGCGGGAGACGTCTAGTTGGGACTTCACGCATCTCTACACCAACTGGACAGTTTTGCTACATGGGATTTTAAAACAAAAATGAAATGCTCATGTTATTGTGCTTTTCAATTTCTCTTAGTTGTCGATGTTTATTGTGAGTGGCTAGGAGCCCCAGGAGCTTCATGCCAGGCACTACCTAGGTAATCACACACCACAACCAGTCCTCGGGAATCCTCGAGATGCCATCATTCATAAGGGGCCATCAGAGTATTTCCTAGCACCTTGCTGGGGAACTCTTTCTCGCCAAGTGTCGTTGTATGTGCCCAAGGCTTCAGCCGATTCTCTTCATGAATGGTTCTAGCGAAGCACCCACTCCATTTCAGACGAGGGAAATGGATGGAAACATCTTGAATAGTCGAGGGATGAATGAGATTCGCATATGAACCAGTATTGTCTATTTTCCAACGAGTTAGTTGAGCTATCACTTGTTGAGGCCAGTGAATAGTAGCATGGCATTTGGTCGCGGTTCAAGGAATCTTAAGTCAGAACAATCGACTCTGATAGAGGGTTAACATACCGAAGATTGTTGCCAGCTGAAGCAGTTGACCGAGAGCTGTGATTTTACCTTTCTCACACAAGTCTTGATGTCGGATAACTGCTTCTGCCACACTCTCTGCCTGATCCTTCGGAGCGACTGCGACCGAACCTCCCACAAAGGAAGGTTGTAGGTTCTGCAGAACTTCCAGTGCTTTCAAGCCTCCGAAGAACTCGAAGCTCATTTTAGTGTCCTCCAAGTTACTTTGGGTTGTTCCGATATCATGAAGCAGGCAGGCAAGGAAGTAAGTTTCATCGGTAAATGCCCATTCGGGGAACCTGTACCGCTTGATCGCAAGCCCAAAATAATAAACGCGAAGGGAATGATTGTATGTGGGCTCAGGAAGATGAGACTTTGCATACTCGTTGATCCGCTGGGCGAGGGGCGTTGCTGGAGTCAAAACTTCGGTCACTGCAATGAATGGGGCAGGTGTTGCTGGAGGATCTGTTGCGAGAAGAGCAGCAGCTGACGATACAACAGGTGTGAAGCCATAGGCTGAGATCGGGTCATCGGATGGCCACATATTTTGATGTTGGTTGAAGAGAGAGAGAGAGAGAAAGTCGAGTTAGGAAGGATAGCTCTGGTCAATAACCACCTGGGGATATTTGGGATTTTTATACTCTGTGTCTCTTCTCTTTCTACTTTCTGTTTAATATTAGGCAAAAAAATGAAAATCTAGATTATCCATCCATAGAATTGTAATGATAAATTGGTAAGCACATCACCCCAGACTATGTAGCCTAGGGCTGAAGATGTAACCATGACTCACTTGCCACCGAATTGCTGACCGGAAGGGGAAACCATTTTGTGATGATGTTGGGGTATGTTGGGGTATAATTTGTGAAATTTAAGTTCAACATTCGTCAACTATTCAATCATTTTTAGATAGTGTAAGGTATATGCTTTTCATGTAGGGTGTAGGAAATATCTGTAAATTGTTACGGGATAGTTCCTTGCTATTCGCCTATACTTCAAGTATATTAACGATTATATTTGGAATTCACATTGCGGATTTATTTGATTATTCAAAATAGCATTGCTACACATTATAAACCCCCAAAACTCAAACAACCTCCCCAGCAGCTCGCCGAATCGCCGCAGTGACTTCATCAGGCTTACTGAGGAACGGGCTATGCGATGCGTCCACCGATTCTGTCCTCATCCCAGTTCCATTCGCTGTTCCTTCAACCATTCCCTTTTGCACCACCAGGGGAATAGCGGCATCTTGGGTACAGTACAGGTAGGTACTTGGTACGTCTTTCCATGCGGCATAGGTGCAAGGACTGTGGAAGGTCTGATAACTGTGAGGCTTCAGGGCTGCAAGGGAAGTCTCAATTTGGAAGGCATCGCAGTCGTGGTAGAATGTTTTCTCCGGATTGGCAGGATTGATTTCCAACTTATCGTCGCTGACGATAAACCATGGCAGGTCATTTCCACCAAAAGCGCCAATCAGCGAGTCTCCTTCCTTGATGATGAAGGAGGTGCAGAAGAATAGATGCTTAACACCCCCAATCAGACCATTCTGCTGGCGTGTTTTGATGTCTAGACCTTTGATTGCCTCGTTTGCGGGCAAGCCACCGTAAGAGTGAACAACCACGACGACTTCTTGCCCGGCATCCGCTGCTCGTTCGATTTGAGTGCGGATTTGTGCAACATCTGCATCAAAACTCAAGTGATGCTCGGCTGGACCAACTGAGGGCAAATGGACTTTGTCGGTTTTGTAGTTTGCTGCTTCAAGACGTTGCACCACTGGATCAAAGCAATCAGGGCTATGCCATGCGCCTGGAACGAAGAGAATAGTGATGGATTCAGTCATCTTCAAGAAGAGAACGAAGTGAGGGGTTGCCGTTAGAAATGAGATATAGTAGACAATAGGAATTGGTCAAGGATGCGTAGAAAGACGAGAGATGCTATATATGTATATGGGAAATCCTCGGGGGTAAACGTCTTCTACCCGATATCGGGAATGATTATGTTTTTCGGAAGACTCTCGGAATAGAGATCTACACAGGGAGATGAGCTAAATTCCCAGAAAAGAGCGCGAAGGCACTTTTATCGGCAACTGTAGGGGGAACGCCGTTATGACCAACCGGTTCTCGTTAGTATGTAAGGGGCGATCTATATTAAGCGAGTAAGCTAAGAAATAGTGGAGAAAAGGGGGGAGGGTAGAGAAAATCGTTTTCTTCTATATTTGGGTAGAATAAGTAAACATAGTAAATATAGTAAATCATGGAATAGGTAGATCATGGACAATTTAAAGTGTATGGAGTATAGAGTAGATCATAGTGCAGACAGCCCTGGAGGGATATGGAGGCTGACGAGCTGCTGACCGCATTGGGTAAGGGGCGTAGTTCTCGTATTCGAGCCTTTGCATTTCTCTCAAGGCTTAACCCGCGACTGTATTGTTATTGGAGGAGAATAATAAGATAATCTCTTACAACCTGGAATTTCTGCAAAACGAGGTACTTACCCAAAATTGACTCTTTTCTTTTATCTCTCAACTCATCAACGTATCGATTTCTTCTTTCAGCACCCACACAGCCAAGATTGTGACATCGCCACTAGATGGTTTATTGTGGAAAGCCAAGTCCTGCCTGTGGGCGCTGTCGCACCCGTCGCTTGAAAGTATGAATGTTGCCAGAAAAGACGAGAGTCGTTTACTAAATTGCCCCTTACTAAATTGCCCCCACCAGTGCGATCAGGGATCACCATCGTGTACCCAATGCATGCGGGCTCAAGTGGATTGTCCGGGATATCGAGACCCATTGGACTGGAATTTTCGAGATCAAAGCGAGGAAGTAATCCGCAAGTCTCAGCAGTCCGCACGCAGAAAGCGCACAGCCGCCACCAGCAGTTCTGGCACCACTTGCAGCTCTAGCACATCTAGCATCCCCACTAGCAGCGTGCAGAATGCGACTCCGCCAAGAAACAGTCTTGTTTACCCAATTCAGGAATTAGCAAAGGGCCACCTATTCGTGAACTACATGTCCGGTGGTCCCTGCGGGGGCCACATGTCCTATCTGCTGCCTTTGATGAAGGACACTCGGAATTCGCTGGTCTTGACCACCGCGCTGGCCGCAGTGGGATTAGCGGCCTTGTCGAACATTCGTCTTTCTCCACGAATGATGCTCCAAGCTAGGAAAGAGTATACGACCGCACTATCTCAGACCAATTATGCGCTCAGAGACCCGGTTCTATCCAAAAGAGATGATACACTAGCAGCTGTGGTATTACTGGGTATGTTTGAGGTAAGTGTTGAGTTGCTGATTTTGCTTTTATCCCGCTTTACTAATAGGGGGTTCTCTAAAGGTAATGACATGCAGTGATGATTCTTTTATAGACCGATGGATCAAGCACATGGACGGAGCTAAAAAGATAATTGAACATCGAGGCTCAGCACAATTGACTCGACCAGAAGGTTTGGGTTTATTCACGAACCTACGGGCACAAATTGTATGTTTTCCCACCATTTGGACTGGCTAATTAGCAATATTCTGATATCACTACCCAGAGCATCAGCCAAATATACCAAGAGAAATACAGCTCTCCAACAATGACCCAGCTCACAGAAGACGCAAAGCAATACCGAGATCCGGATGACCGAATAATCGATGATGTCAGCCGGGTGGTCATGCAATTGACCAACTTTTGCGCGGCCCTCAAAGATGGCAGTATCACACAGCCCAGCGAGATTATCCGCCGGACTCTAAATCTTGACGCGGACCTCACGTCAATACTCCTTACTGCACCTCCCTCGTGGGGGTATAAAACAGTCAAGGTTCCGCTGGTAGACGGGGAGCCCATCACCAACACCGTTTGGGGTGATAGTTATCATGTGTATCGCGATCTTTCCGTGAGCGGCCTTTGGAACAATGCTCGCTCTGCGCGACTCCTAATGCATGAAATGCTTCTCGAGGCTGTGAAATCACTTGAAAATTCATCACCGGGAAGCAGCGGCCTCCACCAACAACAAATTATTGCGAGCCAAAGCCGACAAATTGCGCACCAACTCGTGGATGATATCTGCGCTAGTGTGCCTTTCCATCTGGGCATGGGCGTGGAGGACACCTATGAATGGCGATCTTCTGACCAAAACGTCGGCAGTGAACCATATCCTATCGCGCCAGGATTGGAAAATTTGGATGGCTCATTTCCCACCGCAACTTTACCATGGGCGTCAAAGCCCGCATTTCCATCTACTGAGAGGGCCTCATCTTTGGAAACAGACGCAGCAAACCTGGGATCCTTCCTGCCCAACATGAACATGGATTCGGAGACCCACTATGCCGCGCCTCTGCCTCCTAGTTTCGAGGTATCAGGGGCAGGGGGCGTCACTCTGGTGTGGCCTCTGTTGATTGCTGCAAACTCTGGTTTTGCATCCCCCGAGCTACGAAAATGGATTACTGGCTGTCTTGAGAAGATTGGACATTCCATGGGAATCAATCAAGCGTTAGCCATGGCACAGATATTGCGGGATGGGATGGATTCTCGGGCCTGGATATCGCCAGACGGCTCTCCAATCCATGACACTCAGTGAGATATGTATTACTTATGCTATTGAGGATATTGCTTGTGTTCGTATATTTTCGATATCTGTTTTTCTTTCAGCCTTGGATCTAGATCGTAGTAATCAACTTTATCAAAGATTATGCATGGAAACGTCCATTTCACAAATTAAGCCTTTTCCCGTCTTTTCCCGCCGTTTACCTACCAAACTGAGTCTTACGTCCATGTTCGCTACAAAAGAGCTCCAACGCCTAGGGTATCCAGGGGTATCGAGACACATAATGGAGTGCGAAATGAGATTGGATACTGGAGGAGGCTAGAATTCGAGGAACCGGCGAAATCTATGTTTCAACATTATTATTATTCTATACAGAAGACAAAATAAATAACTTCACGAAGCGCAATGCTCCAAATTGACAGTATGACAAGAGATATCGATAGCCCACCGCATCGAATTGACAAAATCTCTCCTTCCAACTCAATCACATCATCAAACAACCGTCTACCTTCAGGAACTACCGCCGTATATGTTGTTGATTATAGGCCTCCTGAGCCGCCGCCTGGGCATACATAACTTCGTCATATGGAGGGCGATCAGCATGTCTATGACGACGGCCATTTTCAGACTCTTCTGTCATATGGCATGTCTCTTGTTGACGGGAATTGGTGCCAGAATTTGAGACCGACTTGGGCGTGATCAAACCCAAGATTGTGTACATCAAGACAACGACAAATTCTTCAAGTGTGGCCATTGCCAGCTGAATCCTGACGTCACCGTCGACCACCGAAAATTGATGATTGCTTCCAAAGTCACTGATCAGACTGTAGAGAATCCGAACTGCTATGAAAGGCAGTGCGAGGAGCACACAGAAGAAGATTCGGTTCTGACTCGATACCATGAGGCCAATATCCCGCACTGTGATGGTCCATAGTGTGCAGGCTGCAACATAGATGGCTAGGAAGAGGATGATTGCGACACGGGTCTTGGTTTTGCCACTAGCATGGTCGGAGATGTTTGACGAGGCCTGGTCGGTTCCACCACTGATGGCAAGGATCAGCGCAATAAGAGCAGGGAGATGCAAGAGTTGAACAATCTTGCTGCGTCTTGACGTAGCTGTGGCTCTCTTCGAATATATTTTCGTCCTGGAGGAGACAAGAATGGTCAGTGTGAGCTCGGGGTTCCACTCATTTAACAACATGATTACTTACAGTCTGCCAGCAACACCAAAAGATGAGAATACTTGTAAAAAGGTATTACGCTTGGAGTCTGGGCTTGATGGCACATGCTGCGAAGTCTCGTCAAACCTATCAGCTGGTCAGTTCGATAAGCTCGCTTGATGGGCAAATAGCTGGGATTGAAACTCACACTCGTTTCAACAGACCCAATGTTGACAGAAGAAGTGGAGACAGTCCAACAGACTGCAAAATCACGGCCCATTCTTTGTCATTTGCATTGCTTGGGTTCTTCGTGCTCAATATCTCCATAACAGCTCCGCCAACTCGGATTCCCGAGAAGATGCTCAAATAAATCCAGCCTAACTGCTTGTGAAATCCATGACGGAGAACCACCCAGATTGTGAGCAAAGCCGTTGGGATATATATGATCAACTCTGCGATGGCAACGTGCTCTGCGGTGACAACAGTCATGATTTGGTCGGTATTTGGGGGACTCGTGAAAGGATCAAAGGTTTAATATATTGGTGAAGCAAGATGATTCTGATTGTCAATTCACGTACGAGACGAGGCCTTATATACTAGATTGCGATCCTCCAAACGCTTGGGTGCATTTATTCTTTAAAAAATGGGAATTCCACCAACCTGAGAACTCAGCCCTGTTGAACTCCATTCCTAAATTGGAACCAAGGCGCAATCTAAGTAACAATGACCAACACACCAAATATGCAAATAAGCAAATCTAAGCTTCGGAGGTCCATGCGGAACATCACCCGCTTTTCCCGCTTGGGACTAGTGCCATATGTGGGCCGTCGAAAGCCCTACCCTTTTCGGAAAGCCATATGAGTTGCCCAGGGCTGACGGCTGGTAACGCCACCATGAGCCAAGAGTCAAGAAATCCACTCCCTTGATATCATTGCCTTAATCCGGAAGGCTTTGAGTCTTATGAATCTAAATCGCCAAAAAGAGAAATTTGTTTAGACTTCCTGACGCTTCGAGGATGTCCACAGCTCGCGAGGGGCTGATTGCGGTGAACTAGTACAGTGGAACTAGAGGTTTAACAAAGTGAGCTGCCTAGTCCGAGAAAATTATTTATAAGTGCACAGAGAGCCAGTAGTTGTAATATATTGGATGCCTAGCAGAAACCTTATCTTCTCTCTTGGAGGGTTTGAGAATGTTATCTTTGATTTTCATCCCAATTTGCTTGGCCTTGGGAGCCTCAGCTACCATTGACCCCGGTTATAATTGTCGCCCAGGTCAGAAGTGCTGGCCATCATCGAAAGAATGGCAAAAATTCAATGCGACCATCGATGGCCATTTGTACGAAACTGTTCCAATCGCGGCCCCTTGTTATAAAAACTCTGTCCATTATGATGAAGCCGCCTGCCAGGCCGTGAAGAATTACTATGGTGATAGTATTCCGAGGGGCACACACTACGGACAGACATACTGGTTGAATTGGGAAACCTGTGGCGATGCGGGATGTGCTTTACTGGAAACCGAACCATCAGAGCTCCTCTACAGCACATGCATGCTTGGGAGACTGTCATCATATTATGTGGATGTTCGAGATGCCTCTCACATCTCTGCAACTCTAAGATTTGCACATACCCACAACATTCGCATCAGCGTGAAGAACACTGGCCACGACTTCTTCGGACGATCATCAGTTCCCAACACGCTCGCCATTTGGACTCACAATCTTGATTCTATTGCGTTCAGCCCCAATTTCACTGCACACAACTGCCCCTTGGCCGACAGTCAGAATGTCGGGGAGCTGGGAGCTGGAGTCATCGCAACCGACGCATATCATTTCTTCAGTTCGAAGGGAATGGATATCACAGGAGGGTACGAACAATCGGTCGGACTGGCCGGTGGGTTCGCCCAAGGTGGTGGTGTTGGGTCATTCACAACCACCTATGGTTTGATGGCGGACAATGCCGTTGAATTCGAGGTGGTGACTGCAGATGGAGAAGTTCGCACCATCAATCAATGCAATGAACCCGAGCTCTTCTGGGCCATGCGTGGCGGAGGAGGCGGCACTTTTGCTGTACTCACCAAGTACCGTGTTCAAGTGTACCCTTCTCTGCCCATCCACACATACACCTTCACAGCCAATTTTACCGGTGATACGAGTGATGCAACTCAGAACGTTGCTCTGCGCGAGATCCTGACGGCCCATGCGGAACATCAGGCTGACTGGTCAGCTCAGCTTGTTACCGGCCAACTTGAGTACTTCCCAGAAAAAATAGCGATCTCAATGGTATTGCCTTATGGCGATAATGGCTCAAAGTTGAGATCAGCCAGTGCCTTATTTGCCAAATTCCTGAGCAACAGAACCGATCTTTCTGTCTCTGTCAATGACTATACCTCTTACCCTGACTACGCCAGCTATCTCACCGTCACTGGCGCCGATGCCAAGGTAACGGAACCTTCGGGGATCTTCTCTATATTGGCATCGCGCTTGATTCCCCGCTCAGTCTTTGATGCTCCTGAAACTATCCATGAGCTCGTGGAGGGTGTCATACAAGGAATCGCAACAGCTAGAAGTCACCTGAATCTCACTGGAACGCAAATCGTCTTGGAAACACCAGTCTCAAATCTCGATAAGAATCAGATGTCATCTGCGCATCCGGCTTGGCGTAATGCGCTCTGGCATGTCATTCACGTTGGAGAATGGGCAGAGCCTTTGCAGGCTGATAACCAGGCAAGCGTTGCAGAGGGCTTTTTGCAGGTCATCGAGCCTTTGAAGAAATTGAGTCCTGGTGGCGGTGCATATTTTAATGAAGCACATTACCTCGAGCCAGATTGGGAGCAAACGTATTTTGGATCAAACTATCCAAGGCTTTTGGAGGTTAAGAACAAATATGACCCGACTCATATGTTTGACTGCTGGAAGTGTGTTGGGTGGAGAGGTGAACACGAGTAAGTTCTCTGATCGATTGGCGCGAGAGAAACAAATGCAAAAGAGACTAACGCAAACGGCTGGGAAGCCCATTCTACTCCTGCTATTAGCGGTTTCAGTGCATCTTTCATTTTGGATCGAAGAAAAAGTCGGAGGTTTGATTGTGAACTGGAATCGAAAAATTTGGGGGAGCAAGCAGGGAGCAAAATCCTCGAAAATGAGATAGATGAAACAATATATGTGTCTTTTCATGGCATTTCTAGAATTTTACACTTGAGATCGTGATATACATGCAACATATTGTCGTCGAAACCCTCATCGTGTAAGATCATTCCACATGCGAGAGAATGTCTTCCACCAACCACGTACAGCAGGCTGGTCTGTGACTGTTGACATTTTGCTGAAGGTATCTTCACGAGTCAGGTCCGATGCATCGCCATTTTGGTAGACATGGTGGCCATCCATGCCGTTCATCACGGAAAGCGAAGAGCCATGTAGTTTAGCAGATGACACAAAACTACTACAGACACTGCGATTGTCCCGCTCGCCGTCTATGAGATGCCCGGCAGCGTAGACGCACCCGCCGTATGAGAACCTGACCAGAGAATCTCCAGTCAGGCTGCCAATGATGTAAACTCCTGGTGCGACCTCGAGGTCCTCGATTGCTTTCGCACGGAGGGTCTGACCGGTGACTACCGGATTCTCTTGATTGCCCTGCCCCAACACTTCACAGCGGAGCTCCGGGTCAAGGTAATCTACCGTGCCTCGCCGGCCGGCAGCATAGACGAGGCCGCGCACGGGTCGAGAAAAAACAGTCCCATCTTGGCGGCGGAATGTGACCGTCGCCAGATCGCCATGAACTTCCACAGCTGTCACTTCAACATTAGGAAGACCTTCATATATGTCTTCCCAATTCCGGCTTTCAAGGAATGGCGTTGAAGTCGCGCGTCGGTACTTTGGCCGCTGGTCTTTACAAGCAGCTTCGGCTGCGAGGGCTGCTCTTTTCATAATACGGTAGACACCGGCATATTCTGGATATGCTTGTTGATGGCAGGCCCGGAGAGGCGATGGGCGGTCATTCGGAGACCATTTGTATATGTGCAAAATCTTTTGGTTAGGGGAGGCGGAGATGATGGAATCCGCAGCGGAGAAGCCAGATCCAACGACGAGTAGCGGGACATTAAGCGAGGACTTGGTCTCAAGTAATGGACGTAACACCGGCTCCGGTGAGAGGATTTCGGAGAAGATTCCACTTGCCAGGACTAGGCGCTTGCAGTGGAGGTTATGAGAACGAACATAAAACCCAGTAGCGGTGCGGGAAATGCCATTCAATTCTTCCCCACACCGAAACGCATCGTCGATATGCGCAGCCTCCGGATAAGCAGCAAAATAATCGGCAATCTCGCGCCGCGTGGGCCTTGTATATGATGGTAGGTCCTTGCCAGTGGTCTTTTTGTGATGGTCGGCAAAGGAGTACCCAGGCAAGGACAGCATTGCCGCATAACTCAATGTCTGGATATCCCAACTCGCGCCCCATGGATCTTCAGTCCATTGCCCTCCAGGCTTCAAGGACTTTCCAAAAACAAGATGTGAGACAGCCTTCTCAGGCTGTGAGCGCCAATCAATATTTGAGATGCAGCCGGGTTCATCCACATCAACACTTGGCCGTACAAGTGTGTCCAGTAAGACATTCACGGGAAGGGCCTGAGTCGAGTATGACAGGCGTGAGGCATCAAAGTGCGCTGTAAGAGTATTCACATCGGCATTCAAAATCTCTGGCGCAGCTTTCAACTTGGCGTCCAATAGATGATCGGGATGTGGAGGGTCGGATGAATAGAAAGGGATATGTCCATGGAGGATGTATGAAAGGATCATGGCCGACGGCCCATTGCCTGGTAAAATCGGTTCAATCAGTCGCCATTTCACAAGGACTTCTAACGGTGCGGGGTGGGTTCAAGGAGAACAAACGTCCCGAATGGCCTCAACATGGCGCATCAACCATGATAGACGTACCGATGATGATGGTGTCAATCTCCATTGACGGCGATGTATATCAAATAAGTGATAGAGGGTGTGGCATACTGGTATAGACATGCGACAGGGTAAAAAAAAAGGGTCGATCATCCAATCAAAGCAGGATGAAATCCTTGTCACACTGCCTTCTCATGAGAGGTCGACAGCAAGGCCATAGGGGAGTGTAACATTTGTAGCCCAGCGAATTCAAGAGGAAAGGTGAACGCCCCGGACAAAATGGGGGGGCTCGTATCGGGGCAGGTCCGTCGATCAATAATCAGAAGCTGACAAACCCTGGGAGAGCGAGGTGTCCACCTGCAAGTGGGGAGAAGAGGAGACTCGGGAAAGTCAACGTTTTTCCATTTGCCGCTTGGAAGAATCAGCTTGGAAACTGAACCCGAGGGAATATTTGCCGGGGAAGCGTGGGCGTCCATCATTATAGCGTCACCATATTTCTGAAGCTTTGAGATTGAAGATATTTGGAAAGTTGAATGTGTTGAATGCACTATATTGAACTGTATGGATGTGCATTGAAATGTCCGATGTAGTTCAGATTGGAACATCCCCAGATCACACCCAGCCCTAAACCCTAACTTCCAAAAACGGATGAGGCTGCAACGCGGCCCCGGGGAACATGAGGCTTCAACACCAGAGAACTGACTGCGATGTCATGATTTCTGCTTCCGATCCCGTTTTTCTATAATTGCAATTGCGCTTGGCCTTGAGCTCCCCATAGGGAACGCGATCATGTATCACCTGGCCAAGTCGCTGTACTTAGCCGCCACGAGCAAAGAAGGTAGCTGCTTTCTCCCATCGCATGACCTTCCACGCTGATTATCCCGAACTACAGAGTATTCTGTTATCCTGCTTGGGTTAGACAACGCTGGCAAAACAACACTCCTCTCACAGATCAAGGCGCTGTACCAACCCCGTTCCGATGGCGCCCCGCCACCCAACCCCGGAAAAACAGTCCCCACTGTCGGGCAGAATGTCGCAACGATAGCGTTACCCGACATGAACTTGAAGATTTGGGATGTCGGTGGTCAGATCTCAATGCGCGGCCTTTGGCAGAGCTACTACACTAGCTGCCACGCGATCATCTTCGTGGTCGATAGTGCCGACGTTGGTCAAGATCCCGATATCGCACGACTTGCTCGGCGCGCAAGCTCTGTGGCAGGTCCAGCACGCAACGGCACACGAGGGAGCACAAGTGCCGAGGCCTTCTCAGAGCAAAACGTCGGAATCAACGCGGCCAGCAGTGAGTTCGGGCGATTAGATGAGTGTCGGCAAGTTCTCGAGTCGGTCTTACAAAGTGCCGATGTGGCTGGTGTTCCTATCCTAGTGTTAGCAAATAAGCAGGATCGTGAGGACTGCGTGGAAGTGGTTCGCATCAAGGAAGGGCTTGTCCGGAAGGTGTTTGAAGGAGAAACAGGAAGCGGCGTCCGTGACAGTCGTGTGCTGCCGGTCAGCGCGCTGCTTGGGTCTGGTGTCCAGGCGGCTGTGGAGTGGGTACAAAGTCGTGTCAAGTGGAACAAAGAGGGCAGACCTCCAGTGATGCGTTGATTCAATGTTGGGGCTGCCGACTATTCTCGTACATGATGTCGAGCGCAGCATATCAAGGTGCATAATGGCGTTTGTTCATGATAATTACATTTTCTGTTAATATACCAATGGAGTCTATTCGATGTCAAGTTTAGTCAACTACCAACCGCCAGCCATATGATCGAGGCGGGTGAAACTACTACAGGAACGATTTCAGGCATTTTATTCCGCGAAGTAGACATTATGTATGTGGTATTATGAATGAGGATATGTAAAAATGGGTCGTGCAGCACGAGAGGACGTGAAGAAAAGGGGGGGGGGGGTTATTAGACGAGGCTATAAGCTGTCCGAGACAAGCAACAATAGGCGCAGAACCGAGAGTCCATCAGAAAGATATTGGTAGGCAGGTGGTCTCTGCGACGAGCATTGTTTTGTTTTTCTCAGCGAACACTTCTGGAGGTCTCAGTTTTACTCGCCGGTTGCTTTTTTGGCCAGCTTCGAGCGATATCAATGTTGGCTCGGGGAAACCACATCTCGAGGAAGACGTAGATCAAGAAGTCAATCACGACACACAGGCAGAACAGCTTGCCTGCCCAGACACCACAGCCGTAGTAGCGTTTCAACCGGTCAATTAGCGCAAAGCTGCGGACGCGATCTCCACTCGCTTCCCAGCCCTGGCCTGGATAGTAACCGTAGAATTCCTCTGGGCTAATGTCGCCAATAATACCTTCGTATACGCGCTCAGTGCGCGCTGCCACGTCCCGCCATGAATACATCATCTTCACTTGATCATGAAATCGGTCCGTTCGCACTTTGTTCGAGCGCAAAGCCGCGATGGCCTTGCTGGTTGCAAGCACAATATCGTCCTCTTCCGGTTTGGCGAACGTTGTCATATGCTGGGGTAAAACTTCTGGAATGCCACCAACACGGGTACAGACAACGTAAAGACCACAACTAGCAGCTTCAACAATGACTGTTCCGAATGCTTCCGTCAGACTAGGATGGAGGTAAATGTCACCTCGCACCATCACATCTCGGACCTCCTCGTGTCGGACTGAACCTAGAAGTTCGACTTTATCCTGAAGCACATTGCGTTCCAACATCTGCTCCAGGTCGATTGCTTTGGGCCCTGATCCTGCAATAATGAAGCGAGTGTTGGGATTGGAGGCAAGAATCCGCGGAATAGATGCGATGAGAAGATCGGTGCCCTTATTGTAAAAAAGTCGGGAGATGACTACGATTGTAATCGGATCGTCGGGCCCGATTTGCCTGGGGGACATTGGAGCATCGGCGGGCGAGCTCAGGCCCTGATCAGGCGCACGGGTAGTATGAGACAGAGGGCAGAAATTCTCCGCTACCACGGCGTTTGGAATGACCGACACCATTAATGGATCCAACGAAGCCCGGAGCACTGTGTTTTCCTTGCTGAAACTTGTTAATCGAGCCATGCAGTACGTCCGTGGGGAGACCTACCAAGTGTGGCTAACGCAAATCGCATGATCAACATCACTCAAAGTAAACTTGAGCAGTTTGTTGGTGAGAATTGATGCTGCATCAGCGAATCCGAAGAGGGAGTGGTCTGTGAAGACAGTCCGCAGTCCCATAGTACGCGCATGGAGAATAGCCTCTCCACAGAAGCTACTCAAACTGGCATGGCCATGAACTATGTCAATCTCCTCTCGGATGACGATATTGCGGAATATGGGGAAGAACGAGAAGACGGTAGGGAATGTCGTTTCGCGGTAGATGACGAAGAATGGGACGTGGTAGATCTTCAGTCCATTGGTGAGGTAACGGACTCCGGTGCGTCCTTTGTATGCATGGGTAATAACAATGACTTTGTGTCCCCGATCGATGAGTTTCTGAGAAGCAATTAGGAAGAGCGCAGGTGGAGCGACAAGGTAGCGTGCTTACGGACGACAATTGGTATATGTGACTCTCAATTCCACCTAGAAAGGTCAGCAATTGTATAAAATAGGGAAAAGAATGAGGCATACCTGACTGGGGAAAAAAGAAGTCACTGACCATTCTATAACCAGAGCAATGTTAGCAAGTAATGGCGATCAGTAGATAGACCAAATACTGACGCGATGTTATACGGCATCGTGGCTGTGGTTCTCGGGGCGAGAACTCCGAAGTATCGAATTTGCTCTTCGTGTCAAATTCCTTTCCATGGCTAACAGATCTGCTGCTTAAAACACCAGTCCATCCAAGCCAATAAATACAGGAGAGCTGGAGACATCTGGAAGCTGTCCCGATAAGCAAGGCGGTAGTGCGGGCGGTGATACTATTATGTCTTCTGCCGGCATAAAAGATTCAGAGAAAAGGAATTTGATCCCCACGAGGTATCCAACGCCAACTCTGACATTGGCGAAATTACATGAGAATGGTCGGCAAAAATTCGGGCGTCGAGTCCTCTAAGAAGGTTGATGTGACTCCCAAATCTACTCAGTCTCACAAGCGCAAGAGAGATCCCCATGCCTCTCAGGCTGCAACGACTCCCACGCCAACGAAGAAGCACAAGAAACGCGAAAGCTTGCCGATCGCAGACATCACAGATGATGCTAGCATCAAGAGGCGCAAGCATCTCAAGGATGCGCCTCAAGGATCGAATTCCCCGGAAACGTCCCGGAAAGAAAGTACTCTCTCGTCAGACCGCAGAAAAGCGACTGTTGCAGACTCACGCAACGGCATCAGCGAAACGGCAGGGAAATCGAAAAAGAGCAAGCGAAAGAGCTCTGGAACGGACGACACACTGGATGATGCGGCTGCGTCTGTGATTACAGGGAATGATGATGAAGAAGTTGAAGCGTCGGAAGTCGAACAACGCGAATCGAAGAACAAGCATTCTGGGATTATGTCAAAGTTCGAGCGCACCAAATCCGTCTCCAGCGCTAAAGCCAAAAAAATTGAACCCGAAGCCGTTGAAGATGACACACCTGCTGTCGAAGCTGTCTATGCACAGGGTCTTGAACGACTGCCTCAGCCTGAAAACCCGCCCGAGCCAGAGCAACTCCCAACATATTCATCTCTACCCCCGTGGCTGGCCAATCCGTTGCGCAAATCAGCGCAGGACACAAAGAAGTTTTCCGAGCTCGGAATCAAGCCAGACCTTCTCAAAATCCTCGAACAACAAAACTACAAAGAAGCCTTTGCTGTGCAGTCTACTGTCATTCCCCTCCTTCTGCAAGGAGAGCAAAACCACCCGGGAGATCTCTGTATCTCTGCGGCGACTGGATCCGGAAAAACACTTTCCTATGTTCTCCCCCTTGTTACCGCTCTGCCGCCGAGACCTGCCTCCAGACTCAGAGGATTGATTGTAGTTCCTACAAGAGAGTTGGTGAAACAAGCTCGCGAATCCTGTGAACTATGTGCCTCTGGATCCAGACTTCATATCGGAAGCGCAGTCGGTAATGTGGCTATCAAAGACGAGCAGAAACTCTTGATGCGCGTGGACCAGGTTTACAACCCGGCTATTCAACAGCAACAGCGTGATGGATTGAAAGGAAACGACTGGATGAACTTGAGCCTGGAAGACTGTGTCAGTGAGGCGATTGACTCTTCCGGGTCTCTTCCGGGTCACATCCAGCGATCCGAGCCGAATGTCGACATCCTTATCTGTACCCCAGGGCGTCTGGTTGACCACATTCGCTACACCAAGGGATTCACCCTCAAGCATCTCGAATGGTTGGTGATTGATGAAGCAGATCGTCTCTTGAACGAGAGTTTCCAAGAATGGGTTGATGTCGTCATGAACTCGCTGAACAGTCGAGAGGCCCCCGAGACCTTTGGGCCCGGTGGGAAGCTTTTGTCTGAACTTGGACTTTCCATTGACGCCAAGCCTCCTCGAAAGGTTGTTCTGAGTGCAACAATGACCCGCGACATTTCCAAACTCAACTCGCTACGCCTCGCTAACCCCAAGATGGTTATCATCGGGTCTGAGGATGTTGCCGACGAACAAGACCCATCTGCTATTCATCCAGATGCTCACTTCGCCCTACCCCCAACCCTGTCTGAGCATATTGTTCAAGTTGGCGACGGATCTCTTAAGCCGCTTTATCTGCTGCGTCTTCTTCTTTCTCATATTGAGATTACTGGGGACCGAGCTCCCAGCGTGTCTGATTCATCCGACTCTGACAGCTCTAGTTCAGATGATGACACTAGCAGCGACGATGATACTAGCTCCGATGAATCATCTGATGATGACACTTCATCTTCTGGGTCAGATTCGGAGTCAGATTCTGACTCGGACTCGGACTCTGACTCTGACTCGGATTCTTCGGACTCATCTGACTCGGATTCCGATGCCATGGAAGTCGTTCCGTCGCCCTCGCATAAGACTGTTCTGATTTTCACCAAATCATCCGAGTCTGCCTCCAGACTTGCACGTCTCATTTCGCTTCTGCATCCCGCGTTGGCCAAACGTGTGGGAACAATCATTAAATCCAACAAATCCTCTGCATCTCGTAAGACATTGACGGCTTACCGACAAGGCCGCATTTCAGTGATTGTGGCTACTGATCGTGCCTCTCGTGGTCTTGACCTGGAATCTTTGACTCATGTCATCAACTACGATATCCCGACCAGCATCACTACCTACGTCCACCGAGTTGGACGTACCGCTCGCGCTGGCCGCGCTGGCTCTGCATGGACCCTGGTTGCTCACCGCGAGGGCCGCTGGTTTGCCAACGAGATCGCAGCCAGTGTGGACGGCCGGATCACACGTACCTCGAACATCGATCGTGTCCAGATCAAGGCCGACGCACTGGACTCACTCAAGCCCAAATACGCCAAGGCTTTGGACAAGCTTGAACAAGAGGTCAAGCGTGGCTAGTCTCTGATATGTGTTTGCGATTTATTGTATTTTATGAGTAGTTACGTGTTGGTCTGCATTCATAGCGGTCGTATTCTTGTATCATAATCCGTTCACAAGTCTTGCAGTCTCATGGTTTACGCACTTCCTCGTGGTACTACATGATGTAAATTAACGTACTAGTTATTGGATGTGCCATCACCTTTTTAAACTATGACATGGTGGTTAAGAGTCTAGTCAATATCCTGTACATCATTCAAACTATTGAATTCTGGGTATTTATCTTTTATTCAACCAGACCCTACTAGTTCCTATCCACCTCGAAAGGAATTTGGAAGGGCATTGTGTACTTGGACATCTCTAATTAACCACAAGGCAGTTCGTCTCCCACAAGCATCGTCACATCGGCAGATCCATTTTGCTCTTTACCCGGTCCTGCGGGGTTTGGACCTCTTATGAGAACAATATGCCAGAGACGCATTCAGCATATTAATATGATGGGTCATTTCAGCCTAAACTCACCGATGCGCAAATTCTCGGGTCATTTCTTCAACGGATGGCTTATGGCTTGAATAGCTTGTTCTGGAGGTTAATTGTGACTTCAGCTCTTGGATCTCTTTAGGTAGCACTACTTTCTGTGAACTAAGAGAGCATCAATCCAGATCAACTGGTGTTTGTTGAACATATTGTGAGACTAAAATGAAGATTAGGAAAGTAAAGCCGGCTGATCTCTACCCTGGTATAGAGGTTACCCATGCACCTCCCCCCCCCCTTTGACCCCCTTGCACCCCTTCACAGCCAACGAAGAACCTGATCGACAGCCATCGGCAAACAAGAAATAATTTCAGCCTAAATTGTTTACTCTTTAAACGTCCAATCTCGGGGGAAACCCGAACCCGCGTGGGATCCCCTAGGATCGACTGTGAAACTTCCAAATGGGTCCAAATGTGTGGGGGGATTTCTTCATACCCCAGACTATAAGTTGATTCCCGTATCATGGGCAAGAATGTCGGAGTATTCGTTCTCAAAGACAGCCTTCTGCAATGACTGTAATTTCACTACTCGCCTTGCTGGCGGCCTTCGCGCCAACCGTGTTGTCCCAGGCCAACACCAGTTATGTGGACTACAATACCCAGTCACAACCGAATCTTTACCCCGAAACGATGGCCAAAGTCGATTTCTCTTTCCCAGATTGCTCCAATGGCCCACTTAGCAAGACGATTGTCTGTGACACCACCGCGAAGCCCCACGACAGAGCCGCTGCCCTCATTGCCATGTTCACATTTGAAGAGCTGGTGAACAGTACTGGAAACGTTATTCCCGCAATTCCCCGGCTGGGCCTTCCAGCTTACCAGGTTTGGAGCGAAGCTCTTCATGGCTTGGATCGAGCAAATCTCACCAAATCCGGGGACTACAGCTGGGCTACCTCGTTCCCATCCCCTATCCTTACCATGGCAGCCCTGAACCGCACCTTGATCAACCAGATCGGTGGAATTATATCAACTCAAGGCAGAGCATTTAACAATGGGGGTCGATATGGGCTCGATGTTTATGCACCTAATATCAATTCCTTCCGCCACCCAGTGTGGGGCCGTGGACAGGAAACTCCAGGCGAGGATATCCGACTCTGCTCAGTTTACGGACTGGAGTACATAACAGGTATTCAGGGTGGCTTGGACCCTAAGGATCTGAAATTGGCTGCGACAGCGAAGCATTTCGCTGGCTATGACCTCGAGAATTGGGGCAACCATTCAAGACTTGGGAATGATATGAGCATCAGCTCATTCGACCTCGCTAGCTATTATACTCCTCAGTTTGTCACAGCAGTGAGAGATGCAAGAGTTCATAGCGTAATGTCATCATATAACGCAGTCAATGGCGTTCCCTCATCGGCGAATTCTTTCTTGCTCCAGACTCTACTACGTGACACCTGGAACTTTGTCGAGGATGGCTATGTTTCTTCTGACTGCGACTCCGTCTACAATGTCTTCAACCCCCACGGATATGCATCCAGTGCCTCACTCGCTGCGGCAAAAAGTATACAGGCAGGAACAGATATTGACTGTGGCGCGACTTATCAACTCTATCTGAATGAGTCGCTCTCCCAAGGCGAAATCTCCCGCAGTGAAATTGAACGTGCTGTCACTCGTTTCTACTCCAATCTCGCCAGTTTGGGCTACTTTGATGGCAATAACAGCAAATACCGAGATCTTGATTGGTCCGACGTTGTTGCCACTGATGCATGGAACATTTCATACGAGGCTGCCGTGGAAGGAATTGTTCTTCTCAAGAACGATGGCACCTTACCGTTGTCCAAGAACACCCGCAGTGTTGCATTGATTGGACCATGGGCAAATGTAACAACTACACTGCAGGGAAATTACTATGGCGCAGCGCCCTATCTCACCGGCCCGCTCGCTGCCCTACAAGCCTCGAACCTTGATATCAACTATGCTTTTGGCACTAATATCTCCTCAGAATCCACCACTGGGTTTGAAGCTGCTCTATCGGCTGCAAAGAAGTCTGATGTGATTATCTTCGCCGGTGGAATTGACAACACGGTCGAGGCAGAGGGAGTGGATCGCGAAAACATCACCTGGCCTGGTAACCAGCTCCTGCTGATCGAGCAGCTGAGTAAGCTGGGCAAGCCGTTGGTTGTGCTACAGATGGGCGGTGGCCAAGTGGACTCTTCGTCGCTCAAGGCCAACAAAAACGTCAACTCTCTGGTTTGGGGTGGCTACCCGGGACAATCCGGGGGTCCTGCAATTCTGGACATTCTCACTGGAAAGCGTGCACCCGCTGGTCGTCTGACAGTCACTCAATACCCTGCTGAGTATGCTCTTCAATTCCCTGCTACCGATATGAGCTTGCGCCCCAAGGGCAGCAACCCTGGGCAGACGTATATGTGGTATACAGGCAAGCCAGTGTACGAATTTGGCCATGGGCTGTTCTACACAACATTCAAGGCATCACTATCCCACTCTCACGGAGCCCACAATGGGGCTTCTTTCGACATTGTGAAGCTTCTCTCACGCTCAAATTCCGGATACAACGTGGTCGAACAAGTCCCATTCATGAACTACACCGTTGAAGTTAAGAACTCCGGTACTGTCACGTCTGACTATACTGCTATGGCCTTTGTCAACACAAAAGCCGGACCGAGCCCGCATCCCAACAAGTGGCTGGTTGGCTTTGATCGCCTCGGTGGAATTGAGCCCCATGCCACTCAGACGATGACAATTCCGATCTCACTGGACAACGTGGCTCGCACGGACGAGAATGGTAATCGCATTGTGTATCCCGGCAAGTATGAACTTGCGCTGAACAATGAGCGCTCGGCCGTGCTGTCATTCACTTTAACCGGTGATGCGACCACTATTGCTACTTGGCCAAAGGAGGAGCAACTTGTTCTTCCTTCGTGAAAGGCATCTTTCGTGAGTGTATATTGTAGTTAAATATGATATATGGATAATTACATTTTTAATGTTTTGGTGAATAATAGTAATGACAAAAAGCTGAGTCAAGAAAGCATCATATATACAGCCCCCGCAACAAGAGAAACAAAAGCAAAGGTGAGGATAGCCGCGCCAGCCCTGTCGCCATTGTCGATATGCATGGTTGGCAGTTCGGTGCTAGTCTCGTCTTTACGAGTTCCTGCAGCGCTATTCCCTTCACTACTTCTGCCAACCCGGCAGCAAGCAGACCTTGAAGCACTTCAAGGACGCCCATTTACTCTCCAACTCCGGTCCTGCCATCATATTCCCCAGAGCTCCACCGGAACCCGCAAAACGTACCAGTATCGCCACCTTGACACTGTGCTACCACAGCTTGGAGCCGTCGGACGAAGCTTGGTTGTCTTTTTTTTGATAGGTGTAGGGGGCGTATTGGGTCATCTCGGCCAACCATCTACTTAAGTACCCTTTGAAGCTCAACTGATCGATGTTGCAGTCGTTTCTCGGATCGCAGTTTGGCTCGTACATGACATTCGCCTTGCTGAAGAAGTGGTCCGTAGCCGAGAGAAGGCCATCTGTGCGAGCTTGCCAGACCGACGATATATTTGAAGAGGCATTTGAAATTGAAGATGTCCAGTTATACATAACAGAGGCACCGCGGAGCCAGACCCCTGCATTGTATGACCTGCGAATAGCTTCGGTTTTGACCTGCTTGGCAAAGGTTGGGGGAGTAGTTGGGAGCATACTCGGTATAGAGTACTTCGTACTTGAGGTTAGAGATAAATGAACTCCGAAATCCGTGGATGACGATCTTCCAAGGTTCTTTATGAAACAGACTCAAAACAAAAAAAACTAAACCAATCAAACCAATATCTAGGCAAATGGTGGCCTTGGCGCCTAGACCACCTTAGCAGGCTGAACAATTATCGAAATATCCGGATATTGTTTGCATCTTCTCAGTCCTCAAACTTGGACGAAACTGACTCGAGGTCATACTTGTGATCATCGGAACAATATGTTAGGGGAGCAGGTAGCGGACGTTGCAGATCCCCATATAGGTGGAATGTTAGGGTTTCTGAAGAGACAAGGACGTTTCTTTTCTTTTCCCCAAACAGACGGCGGAACTGGCTCTATACTTATTTACTAGGAAAGGAAGGCTGGAACAAATGTCTGATTACAAGGCAAAAAGAGCAGTCAAAGCAACCATTGACTTTGATTCTTGTTTGCTTCCTTTCTTGATCAATTAGCAATTTCTTTCAAATTAACACTTTCTCCGTGGCTGTGTTTTAGCTTGACTCAAGTAGGTTTTCTCAAGAGCAAGCATTATCCCAAGCACTCGTTCACGACTTGCTAGACCACTGGAAGTAAACCTAGTCCGATCCGCAACAAGACACATCAAATTCAGCCGCAATTGCCAACCCACTAGAGATCTCGCCTTCTTGAGTCTATCTAATTCGATAAATAAGCGTTCGTCCAATCGTCCTTGCCAAAACCAATCGGGTAACTTCCACCCAAACACCAAAAGTATATTCCCCATGTCCTTTATATCACCTAGGGTATATTTGACAGGACAGACCCACTCGGCGATCAGAATGGCAACTTCTAATGGGATGTTGCTGAAATGAGAGGATAGATGATGACCTTTTGATTCCCGTAGACTTTCGACATTTGCACAATTCATGGCTTTTTGGACTTCGGGCACGACTAGTGGATTCTGATAGATATCCCAGCCATACTCAAACTGCGATAGAACCTGGTGCGGCTTAACAAGTCGCACATTGTAGTCATCCAATTGCCACAATCTATTGTTGCGCCAATAATTCCGACAGACTTGGATGAGCTTGGCGAGTTTAGCCTCATTCAGTTTTAGACCTTCGACTCGGCCAAAGACCACCCAGCAATGGGCATGGATGATATATCCAAGCAATTTCCCTTTGTATTGACTGGGCTGCCTTCCAATGCTTGCAGCATAGAATTGAGTGAAATCATGATTGTCGGATGGGTAATTCTCCTCCCACCGACTGTTCGGCTATCTGGACCTTTCCTTCCACCGATTCTTGCCTTTTCTGGATCACTTGGGGTATAGTAGGGGTAAGATGCATGATGTCTGACTATATTAATGCCGGTCAGAAGGTACTTCGTATCGGACTCCTTGATTACTGTGCTAGTTAGAGAATCTGGGAAGATTTGATCCGAAGTCCCTTGTTGAGAACTTGCCGAGGAAAATCGCTAAAGTATGCCTCCTCTATCTCGTGGGATGGTACCATCACATGGTTTAGTTTGGATCTCCAAATCCTTTTCCATTGACTTTGTTTGAGTACCTGATTATGTTCGGATATACCCGAAATTCCAGAATCAGACGTGAATGGAATTTGCATTCCACATAACAGACATGTTGGCGGTGGATTGACACCCGTAGTAGTAACATTGGGGCGCGGACGTACCATGTTGACACTCTAGTGAAGTAAAGGGCGTGAAATAGAGAACGAGTCTAATGGTGAATTCATAACGGAGGTCTTGATCTGCTCATAAAATGATGTCATAGTGAATGCTTGATTCACACTTGTAGAAGGTAAGTTGTCTTGATTCGTTGTCTCATTCTGATCATGAAAGTATAGAAGCATAGATAAAATAAGCATAAGGGCTGAACGGGACACAATTTACTAGCATGTCGCCTTACCTATACGAAATGCCACAATTTTGTTTAACAAAACCATGATTGTGATCTTCTTGTCGCCTCGACTTATACCATATGGCAATCCGATTATAGCTTAGCGCCCTATTTCCTGCTCCATTTATAGTAGACAAAATATGAGCGCAGGTTTGATACTGGGGGGTTAAAGACCGTTTATTATATCAGAGACAACTTAAGGTCTCCAACAAGTGAGTCGCATCGGGTTGTCTGAGGAGGCCGCAGAATGTAAGGGTCGGTTGGCGCTCGACTTCACATTTTTATATTCATCTACTATACACTTTGCTTTGCCATCATCTCAGAAGAGGACAATCGCAACTAGATGGAAATTACCGAGTAAAAAAAAAGAGTAAAATAACAGCAAGTATCATGAATTCTGCTGTATCTTGAACCAAGCCATAATGTATTTCACACAAAATCAAGTTCAAAATTCAAACCCTTAAGTGCTGCTCCTGTCTTTTGAGAAGCACGACAACATCCTGATGACCTCCCATCATGGCTGCTCGCAGTGGCGTTTTGTAAACGCCAGCACGAATGGTGCTGTCGGCACCTCTGTCGAGTAGCATCTGCGTTATTTGAACAAATCCGAACGCGGCAGCTGCATGCAAAGCAGTGCCATGTAGTCTGCCACGACCATTAAGATCGGCGCCGTTGTCGAGTAACATCTTTGCAATGTGATATTGCCCTTTTGCAACAGCAGCAATCAGGGCTGTGCCAAGCTCGTGTTCCGCATTTATGTTGGCACCACTATCGAGGAGCATTTGCACTATTTGCTGATTCCCGTTCATCGAAGCCGCTCTCAGTGCGCTGTTGCATGTTCCGTTTTCCAAATTTGGATTGGCACCATTATCCAGCAGTATTCTTGCTGTTTGCTCATGTCCATTGATACAGGCCGCTATGAGGGGGGTTTCATATGTCCCACCTTGTCGGTTGATATCCGCCTGGTAGTTGAGCAAAATTCGCACGGCATCTTCATTGCCGCTCGCCGAGGCTGCTTGCAACGCAGTTTCGATCTCGTCTCCTTGGGAATTAGGATTGGCACCCTTCTCAAGCAAGAAAGTTACCAGTTTCCAGTGACCCCCTACAGCAGCGGCCTCCAAAGGGCTGCCGAGGAGCTCACTCTCAGCATTGATATTTGCGCCGCTGTTGAGGAGGATCTCCGCAGTGCTTAGTCGGCCTCTGTCGCACGCTGCAATCAAGGCGCTTCTATTCCATCCACACGGGGTATCAACATCAACTCCCCGCTTAAGAAGAAGCCTGACAATATCGTCATATCCGCGAGTTGCAGCAGATGAAAGTGGGCTGCTGTCATGGCTATTTCCGGTTGGATCAGCTCCATGAGAAAGAAGTAACTGAATGACATTCAGATGACCTCGTGAAATGGCCCATTTTAATGCTGTCCAGCCACCATTATAACACATGTCCACGGGGTATTGATGCTGAAGAAAGTAGAATACAGCTTCCTCAATTCCATGGTGTGCAGCGAGATGTAGCCCCGTCGTGTTCCTTGGAAACTTCTGGCTCCAATCTTTTGGGATGGAGTGCCTCCTAACATAAAATGTTTGTTCTGAAGCATCAACTTTTGGCTGTTCTTTCAAGAAACCTATCACACCAGGATGCATATTCTTGGTTGCTCTCACATGGTCGCCCCAATGGTGTACCGCATAAGGATAGAATGGGTATGATTCTAAACGCTCCTCGAACGTTTCATCGCTTTCACAAATTCCAGATCCAAATGTATCAAATGAAATGTAAGTGACACATGACATGCTGATTTCATTTTCGGCACTGGGAAAGAGTATATCTTTCTTCCGCTCAAGGTATTCTTGCGTTGTATAATGAACCAGTCGAATTATTCCGCTTGCATTTTCGACGGTAACAAGACCAGCACACACGGTAAGGATGTCTTCGATCTCTGGCATGTTCTCCTCATCAATGCTAGATTCTCCTTCCTCTATTGCAAGGGCATGCTGGAGCTCCAATGAAGTGAGCGGTCTTCTTGCGCATGCGAGCCAGGACAGAGTTTGCATCGCCAAGTCCGTCTGCTCTCCTAGCTGCCCTCGAATGCGGCTCATTGCGTTGTCATAAGCTTTGTCGTATGCATAGTCATTAAACCCCTTCGAGAGCTCTTTCAGAGCGGTTCGAGTAGATTTAGCTGACCTTCTGCCGATCAATGACTCGAAATAAAGCTGCGCAAGGAGGAACCTGAGGGTAAATGAGCAATCTAAGTCTTCAATGAAGAATCTTTTTCATAATAGAGACCCACATTCCCTGTACATGGCATGAGATTACAGTCATAATCTCCTCTTGCAATGCAGCATTTCGGCTCACAAATCCCGGGAGCCGGAACATGTTACCATCAAGAAATCGTCTGACGTCGTCTTCGTGAGCCTGGATCTCCAAAACGGCACCCCTTTTGAACAAATTATTTATCTCCATAGGTCTCGATGTGGCGAAGACATTTACTCCACCACTGGCATGGATTTTCATGATCTCGCCCAAAACCCTGCTAAGGCAAGTAGATTCGCATTCATCGAGGGCATCAACGACAATGAACACATCGGAATACGTGGAAACGACGGATCGAAGAGCTTTCGATATCTCATCGAATCGCGGACGCGTCGATGCAGTTTTGTAGCGCTTGTAGAGGTCATTGACTGCATCTGGAACAGATGCTCTCTTTTGACTTAATTGCTTCAATAGACTTGAAAGCAGGTCTTGAGCTTTCTGTTCATCTTGTCGATTAAAGTTGCAATAAATGTAGGCTATGCCGACATCTGGCTTATCCTCAAAGCGTGTAATCAAATCATCGACAAGGATAGCAGAACAGATGGTCTTTCCCGCACCCGGAATTCCAGGGCAAAACAAGGTGGCTTGTGGTGTGCGAAGCCAGTGTTTATATTCTTCCGAAGCGAGCAGCCATTCTCCAGTTCCTTCTTGTCGTCGACCGAGGAGGTCGCTCTGCTGCAAAGTATAATCAACGGCAGACAGCCAGTCGAGAATGCAAGATTGTTCACTGTTTTCTTGTCGCTGGTTGAGGTGTTCTAGTGTTTGTTTTGTCGCAGCAATCGTTTGACTATGGATGTTAGATGTATGACCAGATGTTGGTCATACTCAGGTGTACCAGGTGTGCCCAAGTGCCAGGTGGGGTAGAAGGAGGAAGTATATGGTACCTTGATATAGCACTCAAAAATGACTGGAGCAATGTCACATTAGATAATAACCGATCACGAAGCTCGCCTATGTCTTTAGGCTCCCATGCGATCCTCTTCCAAATACTTCTAGCTTTCTTGTGAATCGATGTACCGCAATATTCCACGACTTTATATTTCGCAATGGCATCTTGAAGCTCGTTCAACAGGGTCCCACAGCTGTGACTGATTTCTCCCAGTTGTTTGCGTTGGCGATCATCGATATCGTAACCCGGTAGTTGAACATCGATGTCTTGGAGGATAATTGTCAGCCCTCTGACCCTATATGGACGAGAAATATCAGACCCTGGCCAACGACCGTGTACAATATGCACGCACTCTCTAGAAATACTGTTGAATTGGCTTGGAGCACCAACAAAGTCTCTTCGGAGCTTATTAGCCAAAGTAATAACGGAAACAAAGTCCCCAAGGCTAAATCCGAAACTCATCGTGGATATTATTCGAGTTCCGATATGATATTGCCCGGGGAGAGTATGTGAGAAATGTTGGATTTCAAATATGTCAGACTTGCTATTATTCTACAGCGAACCCCAAATTCTGGACTACTTAGCGCCTTTCAGGTATGTACATCTGTCTGGCGTTCAGGCTTGGATTGATTGGCTATTAGACGTTCTCTTCAAGGTGCTTCTTCTTTAGCGTGTGAGTTGTCTATGTACTTTTGTTTGCGTGGTGGACGGGTCCTCTTAGTGTAGAAAATGCTATCCAACAGGGATCCTGTATACCTATCTGCCAATAGCAGCGAGTTGGTGCTCCGTAGTGGGTGGTTGATTGCAATGATGCAGCGGCGCTTAAGCACAATTCTTGTTTCGAGTATTTTTAGTTCCCCGCTGAAATTTAATTTTTGAGGGAAAACTGGACAACTCGTAGGGTAATAAACGATCGTTTGCTTCTTGATCTGATCTGGGACTTTTTGACTTGTGTACAAAATCTAAAGCATCGAGCTGCTTAACCCAGAGAAGCGTATTTAGGTTAAAAAGATCCTACCCCCCAGCCCATGTGATAGTGGTCAGAAACTTGATAGCTCTGATAATATACAACAAAGACAGGATAAATGTGCTGATATATTTGGAACAACCTTGGAACCTTGGGAAGTCCTGGTGACAGCAAGAAGAAAGTGAAAGAGCAAATAACGTATTTCACTACCGAGCCGGCCACACCACCGAGCCGGCCACCCCACCCAAAACGCGTCCATGAATTAGCACTTAGTCAATTCAACCACCCACCATGCCACCAATTCGCTCCCGAAGCTCTAGAAATTTAATAGAGCAAGAGGGTAGGATTTTATTAGCTATCCAGGCTTTTAAAAATCAAGAAATATCTTCAATTCGTGAAGTGGCGCGCCGTTTTAACATACCACGTTCAACCTTCTAAGACCGACTACGCGGCCACTAACACCGCGCGATTTCGCGCGCTAATTGTCATAAATTGACAGAAACTGAAGAGGAATCGCTTTAAAAATGGATTCTCTCTATATATTCTCGTGGAGCAGCCCCCCGGCCTTCTATGGTTCGAGAAATGGCGGATCTTCTTCTTTAACAACGTGGAACCACCCCAGTTATTTCGGTCGGCGAAAATTAGGTTACAAAATTCGTTTAACGGCACCCTCTCCTCTCCTCCCGATTCTCGAAACGGTATAACTACGAGCGCGCGAAATGTGAAGACCCGAAAATCATTAGGGAGTGGTTTGATTTAGTTCAAAAAACGATCCTTTAATTTGGAATCCATCCTAATGACGTTTATAACTTTAACGAGACTAGTTTTGCTCTAGGAGTAACGGTAACTACGAGGGTTATTACGAAGAGTGAATACCACGGCCGAAGAACACTTTTATAACCTAGAACTCGAGAGTGGGTGATAGTGATTGAATGTACGAATGCTTCTGGCTAGGTGCTTCCTCCTTATATGATTTTTAAAGGAAAGGTCTTCCTTGAATCCTAGTTTAAAGGCCTTCCGGGCGATTGGCGCTTTGAAGTGAGCCCTAATGGTTGGACCTCTGATGAAATTGGACTTCGCTGGCTTGAAAAGCTCTTTATTCCTACTACTTCTTCACGTACGAAGGGGGCGTATCGGCTTTTAATACTTGACGGACATAGAAGTCATTTAACGCCGAAATTTGATCAAATTTGCGAGCAAAATAAGGTGATACCAATTTATATACCTACTCATTCATCCTATCTTTTATAACCTCTCGATGTCGGCTATTTTGCGGTCTTAAAACGGTCTTATAGTGAGGCGGTTGAAACGAAGATGCGGAACGGGATCAACTATATTGAGAAACTTGACTTTCTTAAAGCATACCCAGAGGCACGAATTGAAGCTTTTAAACCGGAGACAATTAAAAGTAGCTTCCGATCTACCGGTTTAGTTCCTTTTTCACCAGATCAAGTGCTTTCAAAGCTTGATATCCGGCTTCGAACACCTACCCCCCTCTAAGCCGGGGGAGCGAATCAAGCCGGAATTTTACACTAAAAACACCAGCTACAGAGAAAGAACTACGTCGGCAGGCTTCATCAATTAAAGCTTTACTTCGTACAAGATCTCGAAGTCCACCTAGCCCGTCAGATCGTGCATTAAACCAGCTTGTGAAAGGCTTCCGTCTTACAATACAAGGTGCTATCTTACTTGCTAAAGAGAATAAGGAATTACGCGCCGCCAACGAGAAGCAGAAGCAAAAGCGCACTCGATCCCGAAGGCAGATACCAGCTAAAGCAGGGCTCACAGTTCAAGAAGCTTCTCAATTGATTACTGAGCCGGTGGCAGCAGTTGAAGCACCCCCTCGCCCCCGGCGAAGAAGGCCTTCGCCACCTTTACAACCACGAACGAGAGCATTACCAACGTGCGGGCTATGTAAAAACCAGGGTCATAGAAGAGATGCATGTCCAGATAGATGATGATTTTAGTGTATTTAATTTAATGGAGTTTTGGTTGAGATATATGTATTTGAAATTGGTAGGTTGGTTTGGGTGGCCGGCTCGGTAGTGAAATACGTTAGTTAAGATGCCCGCATGTTCAGGCATGAATATTGCATAATTCAGGCATTAATGCTGACCCCGGGATGGAGTGATATCATTGGCCGTCCCCTTCGATCTCCGATAACGTCAGGGACGGACCCCCGCAGTCGCCAAAGCGCCTTTTTTTTTCTGCGCGTATCGGTTCCATGCTAACAGCAATTTAATATATTTTCATGTCTTGGGACTATGAACCAGAGCCCGCCAAATGCTCAACCCGTACTGGGTCCTCCCATCCCTGGCGGCTCATTTGCTCCGTTATCAGTGAGGGGACCTTTGGCTGGAGGTCGCCAGATCACCCGAAACCGCGCGAGCTACAGCTGTCACACGTGTCGGCGTCGAAAGGTCAAATGCGACAAGGTAGATTGATCTGATTGCCACCAAAGCCGAAGTGCTTGTTCCAAACTAACATATATCTCCTTCCAGACACATCCGATATGTGGAAACTGCGTGAAGAACAACACCGAGTGTATATATGATGTGTCATCCCAAAAAGATGATGATGGACGCGATGGCTCTTCCCAAAATACGCATGGCGTTAAACGAAGGAGAGGGATGCCCCGAACATTGGAGGAAGATGTCGACGAGCTCCAGTCGCTTTACGGACAGTTGAAGCGGGCAGAGTCGACAGGCGAAATGCCCGACCCAAGCGCCATTGAATCGCGACTCGACAAGCTTATGTCAATGATTGAGCGCCTCGGGGGGAGCGACGAAGCCCTCGAAGACGTGGGGATTCAGGCAACGGCCCCGGATGCGAAAGTGGAACCCATACAGTCGGCTGACCCAGGGTGGACCGATGGTCTGAACGGAAACAAAGCACCGTCAAGATCTACCAGCCCGCGTCCCATTGCAGCAGAGTCGAGTAATGACGAATTTCCGATCCCATCCGGTCAGGCTACCGATCTAGTAGACCCGGTTGGCAGTCTCAACTTGGGCCATTTGAGCCTAGAGGACGGTGGAAGGTCAAGGTTGGTCAAAATTGCTTCGTTCGAAATATTAAAATTTCTAAACTTAACTAGATATGTTGGAACCACGTATTGGGCTTATATTTCTGGCGAAGTATGTTGTCCACTAGATTTTCCTACTGGTGGACATTTTGACTAACACGAATCTAGATCAATGAGCTCAATCAATTGCTAAGAGACCAAAATAGCTCACATAATCAGTCTGCTCCTGAAAAGAATAATGAAGACATAACAGATCTGCATGCCAATGATCGACAGCCATGGAGAGAATCAATAGGCAGCTCGACACCTTCAGTCGCGCCTAGGCCTTCTTCCTTCCAACAATCTAGAATCTTCCCTTCAGGTGACTCTCCCTCGGTCAATGAAAATGTGGTGGAGCCAGAAATGCTTGATCACATTCCAACGAGACGGCAAAGCCATATTCTTTACAAAGGATTCATTTCCGGTGTACACGCCATCAGTCCTATCATTCACCCTCCAACTATCCTCAAGCTCTACAATTCCTTCTGGGATTGGTATGACTACAGCAGCTATTCGGGAGAGTCATGCCCAAATCCATCATTCATTCCATTATTGTACGCCATATGGTATGGCGGCTCAGTGACGATTTCAATCCGAGCGATCAAAGCTGAATTCAATGTGTCCTCGCGGTCGATCCTTTCGACAATATATACCGAAGAAGTTACCAGATGGCTTACAAATATCAAATTTCCGCGCAGCCCTTCACTTCAAGGCCTCGCTGCTTACCTTATCGTACAGACAATTGTCACGAAAGAGGAAGAGCCTTTGACGAGTAGTCTCTTTGTTAGTCTCGCAATGAGGGTTGCGCAAACCATGGGCTTGCATCGGGACCCAGCTAAGTTTGGCATAGAGCCATGTGAAGCTGAGTACCGGCGCCGTTTATGGTGGCACATTATGCACATGGACGGTGTCGTTGCGATGTCAAGCGGTCTGCCTCCACTTGTCAACGACGAGAATTATTGGGATGTGTGCGAGACGAGTGAAATGAAAGATACGATGCTAGGTAGCCCCGCTGCAGAGTCCTACATGAAACGGGTTGCTTCGGGGGAGCGGCTTCCTGATAATCCAGATGATCCAACTATTTGCGGCGGACCATCAATGGTCAACGTCTACTACCTGACCGCAAGGGGGAAATATACCATGGCTCGTGGGTACCCCTTTTCATTTCAAATCCACCCGCTAATTTTTACCAGGCGCTGTCCGCCGAATATTAAAAATCCAGCTTGGAATAAAGCCCCTCACCAGGCAGGACATGGAGGAGCTTCGGTCAATACTTCTTGACTTGCAGCTGAAACTGAATTCCATCATCAACAGGATTCCAGAGGGGAAGGATGTTGATAACCTGTCAACGCCAGGCCGAGCTTTTTCTATGTCCAAGTCCCCCGATGGCCGCTCTTCCGACACAGAGCTTCCAGGCGAAGGTCCCACCGGATGCCCAGAACAGTATCACTCACCAGTTCTTGTTTGCTTCCATAAATGGGCGAAGATCATTCTTTCTTTGTATATTGACAAGGTGCGCTTTCTCGATCTTTGCTGGTTTCGTACCCAACTAACCTTCCTCTAGGCCTTCTGCGTGGCCTACCAGCCTTTTCTGAAAAACGCTCGCAGCCGAATTTGGCCAGCAGCACGCCAGAGGTTTGCACACACCATCGGGAAATTAGTATATGTGCTAATATTGATAGTGCACTTCGCCATTGCCATGGTTTCATGGAAAAGTTCATCCAACTGGCAACGGATCCTGATTTCCAACCTTTTCATTGGAGCTGGCCTGGGTAAGCTTTTCCACTAGTATGGTGACCAGGAATCATGGGCAACTGATATTTGTTTTTAGTAATCATCAACCAATGCATGCTACTATGTATGACTACATTATTAAGTCTTGGTAACCACGCTAATGAGATACAGGATCATGCTTATTGACCTATATGAGCGACCTTACAGCCCTGAAGCATCCAGGTCCCGCGCGTTCATCGACAGCATACTCGCACTTTCCGGCCCAGACGGAGGCGTCGTAGGTGGTGAAGATGGTGTCTCAACACAACGGCCATTGAAGGACGGTGGCCGTGAAGCCTGGGATATGATCCGCCGCCTTCGCCAGAAGGCTTGGCAAAAGGCTGGCCTCAATCCGCGAATGCTCTGGACCGAACAAGACCAGATCCAGGCTGGTGTCACTTCGCCAGTTGACACTCGCGGGGATGGTGACTCTCCTTGCTCAGATCCCTCTCAGGCCGGGTCTCCAGGTTCAGCATCGGCCGGCCATCCCTCAACAGACGACCCTCAACCCAGCGATTTTGTCAAAACATTCTACAACCTCACCCGCTCCCACACGTTCTCAAATCCTGTTACCCCGGATGCTACTAAAAGTCCCCTACGATACGAATACCAACCCCGGGATAAATCCTTACCTCCAGTCTCGCATTCCCAATTTCATCCTAACCCCGCCGATAATCCCACATCTCTCCGCATTGGCGCGTCTTCACCCAATAATACGGATTCCTTGTTTGCTGCACCTCCACCGACACAATCCCCTGCATCCACCGCCCCCGCCCCACATGTTCAGCATTCAGATCCCGATATTGCTGCTTCTGGTGGCGTGTCCTTCATGGACCCTGCGTCTTCTAATGTTTTACCTATGGGAGTTCCCACACCGCCATCGATGGTTGACCCCAACCTCAACTTCGACTGGGACCAGTGGGATGCTGTGTTCGGGCAACATCTTCCTGTCGCAGATGATCTGATGGAATTGGATCCCGTTTCGGGTCTTGATTTCACCCATGTTGGAACTGCCTCAACGTTTAATGGCACTAGTCCCGTCGACATGCCTATTTCATATACCAATGGTCTTCCACTTCCAGACTCCTCTCCAGGAGGGAATTTCACTTCATGGAATGGAAACAATGGAGCTGATTGGTCGGGATATTCTTAATACACTCAGTGTACCTAGGTAGATATAAGATTATGGGCGATATATCGGCCAAATCCGCAAATCCATACCTCCACATATTGATTGGTGTCGCTTTACTCAGTTTGTGACAAAGAAATTCTTTTGGGGGTCTCGCAATACTCATTCTTTTTTATAGCGTTATTGTCGAGGGTGGGAATTGGATCAATGACAGCGAAGACAGACTACATAGTACAAGCTAAAAAAAATAAGATATGACAGATGATTTCATGAAGCGTAACTCTTGGGGATCCAATAGATCACTAACTTGGGATACAAAAAATGCGAGAGGGTTATTAGAACAGACAGGCCCAGGGAAGGGGAATAAGTAGCCGCTGCGTCTGCTCTGTAACTCGCAATTCTTCCAGCAAGACGTATTTGTTCGTGTAGGGTGCGTATGTTTTGACTATCGCCTTCTTTGGAATCACAAGAGTTGCTTAGACCTTGATCTCCTTGAGACCGTCAGCCCAGACGGTAGCGTACGGGGTAACACCATCCTCGCGGAAGTCAATCAGGACGTGCCTAGGAACAGTCAGTTTAAGGTTTCAAGGGAAAAGTCATAATATGGGGACATACATAGCATCACCGTCCATGGACTGGCCCATGAGAACATCGTAGTTGTCCCAGTTGGCAAGGATCTTCTTCATAGCGCCGGCGGCCTTGGTCTTCCATGCCTCCTCAGCTGCCTTGGGGTTCTCAGCCTCAGCGAACTTGGGCGCGGCATTCTTGTGGAGCTTCTTGAGGTAAGCTGTATTAAAGAACAAAAGTCAGTGATTTGCGCGGACCAAGGACAGATCAAAGGGCGAGCATACACTTGATGTGGCCCTTGTAGCTTTCCTTGGAGGGCTTGGCGCCATCCTCAACCTTGAGCCAGACCAGACGGAACTGGTCCTCGATATCGTGGACCATAGTGGCCTCACCCTCGCCACCCTCATCCTCAACGTCCTCGGCGGAGGGGTTGGCACCCTCAAGCTGGAAGTCCTCGTTGGCACGCTTCAGGTACTTGCGGCAGTCACACTCCCAAAGGATATCGAAGTCCTTGTTGGGGACAAGGTTAAAAGTATCGGCGACGATCTCGTCACCGGAAACGATGTCCTAGCGGGCTTTGTCAGTTGAGATTCACCAAACGAGGAGGGGCAAATCCCAGGATCTGGTATTGACAAACATACAGTGTAGATAAGCATTTTGGCGGAATTATATGTTAAGAAGACGAAGGGTGTAAGAAAGTAAAGGTGGCACGGGAAGGAAGAAAAACACTTTCAAGGTGGGGGGATGAGGTTTTTCTTAAAAAAAAAAAAAAAAATAGAGCGGGGGACAGTGTTTGTTCGGTTTGTACCAAACGGGTATCGGGGAGTCTGGGCCACCGCCACTGGCTCTGTGTTAGCGCAGTATTTGGTACTTCAAGGTACTTCATTGGTACAATGTCATTTTGGGGGTAAAAGTAGTATATATAAATAGCAAAAAGATCGGGATATGTTCAATTGTAAATATTAAAACCGACTAAAATGATCAACCAAGATCAATTGATGTTCGTTGTCGCTGTTGCAGCCAATTTGCTTCAGTTCATGGCTGTTTAGGTCGAAGTATATAACTGAGTCAGCATCAGTCTATGTGATACTGTACCATACTGTATTTGGTCGGTCTTATCAGCCATTATGCCCAAATATACCGTCAATACATGTATTATACTGGTTTGTCTTGGCTCGGGCTCGCGCCACCCGAATCCGGGCGTCTCCTGATCTGAACGTTTATCTTTTATCTTCGAGCATTCCTACGTTCCTATTCTTCCCTTCATTATCATTATCTGATTCTCTTTGTTTTTTTAACCATACTACCTTTTGTATGTACCGGCCAGCGCCGAGAGGTCTCTGACTGATCGGAATCATCCTCTGTCGCGCCTACCCGTCAGCATCCGGACTTCGGCGTGGTGGGCAGTTGCGGACGTCCACTCTCTTTTTCTTTACCTGGTTTCCGACCTTGGGGCCATTTCAATATCCAAGATACTGATTCGAGATCCCTTTGATCATCATTCTTGGATTCTTTGTGCTTTTAAAAACTCAACGCATCGCCATTCCTTCATCATGGCTGTAAACGCATCTGTCGCGTTCGACCTTCCTCCCCTACCAACCTACACCCTGACTGCGCGAGAGCATCTGCTTGCTCCTCTTCCCGATAACCTCCTTACGCTCATATTGCCCGTCGTCGCTTACTGGGTCATGTCCATGATCTATCATTACCTCGATGTCAATGATTACTTCGTCGAATACCGACTCCACACCCCCGCCGAAGTCTTGAAACGAAACAAAGTGACTCGCTGGGAAGTTGTACGGGATGTTGTCTTACAACAAGTGATTCAAACCGTGGCCGGTTTTGCGTTCGTATACTTTGATGCCGAGGAAACTGTTGGGAGAGAGGAATATGATGTGGCTGTGTGGGCGCAGCGATTGCGGATCGCCCAAAAGGCTGTCCCATCATTATTAGCTCTTGTTGGAGTTGACGCTATTAGTCTTGGAAAATCCGTGTCCCACAGCGGTTATACCATGTTGGCCGGAGCTCTGGCTGGTGGATCATACCCCGGTGTGACCCAGTCCATAATCCTCGACAACGGAGCCGAGGCTGTAGCGCCCGCGTTCACAAGCTGGGAACTTGCAGTTGCCGGTTTCATATATTGGTACTTCGTACCGACCCTCCAGTTCATGCTGGCGATCTCCATTGTGGATACTTGGCAGTACTTCCTCCACCGCGCTATGCATATGAACCGCTGGCTCTATGGTATGTCTGACGTTTCGAAGTTGATTGATTTGTTCCATACTAAAGCTGTTAGTGACTTTCCACTCCCGCCACCACCGTCTTTACGTTCCTTATGCTTTCGGCGCCCTCTACAACCACCCAGTTGAGGGATTCCTCCTGGATACGGCTGGCACTGGTGTAGGATTCTTGGTCTCCGGCATGACTACCCGCCAGGCCATGTGGTTCTTTACAATGTCGACTATCAAAACTGTCGACGATCACTGTGGTTATGCCTTCCCCTGGGATCCACTCCAGCATTTTACCTCCAACAATGCCGCCTACCACGACATTCATCACCAAAGCTGGGGTATCAAGACCAACTTCTCCCAGCCTTTCTTCATCTTCTGGGACCGCCTTCTTGGCACTCAGTGGACTGGTGAGGTCAAGCTGCGCTACGAGCGAGCTCGAGATAATGCCCAGAAGCAGGTAGATCTGGATGCTGCCCAGGCACCTAATACCACTCCGACTGTGACTGTGACCGAGGAACGTGAATATGAGCGGGTCGTAGTATCACCTGAAGGGCCTGCCACCCGCACTCGGCTGCGCCGAAAGACTGTTGATAGTCTCAAGGGCCCGAGTCATGGGGTTCCTGGAAGTGTTCTCCACAACTAAAGCCCTGATGAAATGAAACCCGAGCATGTGTTGATTTTTTGTATGCATCCCCCAACCCTGTCCCTGGAGCTGCTGGCCGTCTCCGCCAGACCGTGGGGCCTTTCGTCATTTTTTGTATATGGGATCAATGGCCCAATGTATTAATACTTCAGAATGCGCCAGTCAATGCTTTGTACATGGTTCTCTCTATGACCTACTGTCAATAATGTTTATTATTTGCCATTTACATTTTCCTCTGGGTATTCGGTGCTAGCTCGATACATTTGCAAATATCATGAACTACTTGGCATACAATAACAAAGAAGAAACAAAAATGACATCAGAAAGTGTCAATCGCAAAGGACATATCACAAAGGACATCTAGACACACCAAAAAGGAAACAAAGCGCCCAGGCAAGAATGCGAAGACAAAGAAATGAAAGTGACTAGGAGAAGAGATCAAATCATATTCGACTGTTCACACACCAGATTCCAAGTAGTCCTCGCTGCTGGGCCACTTTCTAGCTTTCTCCAGTCTTCATATTCATCACTCCACTCACTATCAGTGGAACAGATCGATGGGGAGCGACACTCTGATGGGATGCCACTACTCCCATGTATTTGACAGTATTGCGTGCTTCGCGAGTAGGGGCTTGTTCCCATACCCGTGTACATCTCAAGCAATTCGTTGATTTCCTCCAGAGCTCCCGAGAAAGTGCTTGCAGTGCTAGGTGAAGGGGGGTTTCCAGGAGGTCCATAGACAGTGCTCACACTCCGCCTTTCCGTGCTTATTCCTAGGCCTTAGTAGTTGTCATCGGCGAAATCCATGAATCTAGTGACGCGATCCGGGTTCGGGTCTGAGCGTCGATCTCGCTTCATGTGGTACGATGATGTCGAGGCCTTCTTGGAAGGACTCGACGTCGGGCGATATATTCTGCGCCCTTCGGTGTCAGTGTCAGTAAATTGAGATGACGAGGAAGATTCGGGGCCATACCTTTCTGTGGGGTGGGATAATGCGATTGGTGGTGGTGGCTGGGGATACTTCTTCCTCGGGTTATACTCACTAGCCGGTTTATGGCTACGTGCACTCTTTCCACTCTTTCCGCTTTTTTCACTATTGTCCATCTTGTCGATCTGATCATGATCGGTGTGCCTTCGCTGTGGGGGCCTCGAGTCCACATGTGCTGGGTCTTTAGACCAGGCCTTACTGCAGGCCTTGCGGGTATCCTTCAGGATGTATGCAAACTGGCTAGATGTGCCATACAGCTCATCCACATCATCGGGGAATAGGTCAATACAGGTGTCGACGAATTTCATAAGTCTTCGTGGGGCATGATTCAAACGGGTCTGCGTGCGAGAGAGCAGGGCTATTCGAAGATTGCGCAATGCATTCTTGTCACCCGCAATCCGAGCCACCATACAACCCTGACAGCGGCTGATCTCATAATGCCATGCTTCTGAGACAGCCTGGTCTTTCGGGTCATGTTTCTCCCACATGCCCTTTATAGCCTGTAGTTTCTGCAGAATCAATATATCGAGAGGCTTCAGCAAGTCCGGGTATGCGTCAAACTTGCGAAGATGGTGACCGACCTCCCTCTGGACAAGATTGAACACATCAGCCATAAGATCTGCATTCAGACCCTGATGGGCATCGCACAAATCCTTGTTCGTTCTTGACCAGCGATCACGGCGCATATTCTTTGGCAACTCGTGGATCATACGCTTGACGACCTCATCAGAGTGTCTCGCTCTTGTGTTGTCTAGGTGCAGGATCTCTGTTAGCTTTTTAAGTTCGTCCCTTCTCAGGTCAGTGACCAACCGGGTGTCTCTTTGTCCTGAGAAAAGGGATCTACGTCTACCGATTGTGTCCTGTCTGTTTTCGAACCACCTTCCATCCTTTCCCATTGCTTTTGGTTATCACGGGTTATCACACGTTAAAGGAGGATTAGGTTGTGGTAGCCCTATGGTGGACTTCAGATGGTATATGCTTGTCCTAAAAGAAAGCAATATGCGACTTGGAGGTCAGTTTCAAGTTATACTTGTTTAGAATGGGATGTAGTCACTAGATTGTCTTCATTTATTCATGTCACAAATTGTGTACATAGGCGCATTGCTGGGCTGAATAAGGAAGGGGTTTGGGGTTGGTCTTGATATTCTGTTGAAGAGAAGAATTCCGTCTTAACAAGGATATTAATATACTCCCAATGAAGTGGACTGTTCTCGGTGTGCTTTCATCTTAATGTAAACTCCACTAAACAATGTCTTTTCATTCCTCAAACAGAACAAAGGTCTTGTTGTACTGTCCCTATTGTTGTTTACTTCCTTGATCATCAAAGGGAATGATCCTATTGATCGGTCTACCGCTCAATCACAATGAATGGTGCTATTAAAAAACCTTTTTATTATCAATGGTCTTTGTTTTTTTTATCTCATTCAATATATTAGACTTGTCTATCTCATCGTCCCATCTTTTTTGTCTCATTTCTTTCTTCATTTTCTGTCTTACTGATCTCTGTCTCTCTGATCTCTCTATCTCAGACATTTCTACCATGGGAAACCAAGTCTCAGCCATGGACTCCTCTCGAGTCACAAAGAAAGCAAAGAAGCGCGCCAATCTTCGAGGAATGTTCAATTATCCAAACGGACGAATCATTCGCGAGGTACACAATCTGTCTGGAGCAAACCAATGGGTGACCGTCTTCTTCAACTGGGCTGACCACAAGTACAATGACGAAGAGTTGATGGATCTTGTAGTGGCTCGTATCAACGCCCGAGACGGTATCATTTCGTCCGAACCCGTCCATCACGATGTCAAATGGTGTCTATCTCTACGTGTCCCAGGATACTGGAATCCTACTGACGTTTCGATTGCCGCCGCCGCCAGAGTCATTGCACAATGGCATAAAAGTGAAATGCGCCATGCCGGTATGAAGATCAACCGAAGATATCTTTTCCGCGGCAACAATCGTCGAAAAAAGCCTCACTTTGTTCGTTAATATTCTTCTTTCTCATTCTACCATTGTCTCGGTCGATATCTAATTGTGCTTTGACTATTAGCAGAACATCCATCACGGTACTTGCAAACTCGCCCATGTTCGCTTTGCGAGATGACGGAGATGTAAATTTCATTTCACAATGAAGGAAAGAATGAAAGAATCCATGAACGTCAACAATAAATCTTAGTTTAATTATGGAATATGAAAGAAAGCAAAAAGCCATATCTAAAAAGAGTCCATCTTGTAAGTCAATCAGCAGATGATATAGTCACAAGCTAGTGTAATCTCGCCAAGTATATACCTAGCATGCAGGCGCCTTCGGTATCACATGACAAGACAGGGTTGACCCTTTTGTTTTCATTTCCATTTTCAATCTCAACGTTACACTTCTGCCAGTGTTCCACAATGACTTGTCCAGGTAAGGAGGGTACTCCGTTGCCCTACACTGCCTCACCCATCAAGTTACTCTGGAGCGACTTGTCCCTGTTTGTATCGAAGATATGGGCGCTTCCAGGTATCCTACTACCCCTGCATTTAGGTCGCACCCATGAGTTGGACGAGCTCTATCCGTCGTTACGCAATGGAGCTACCGTGCTGGTCCATATCTTTCTCGTGGTTTATCAACTTGTTTTCCTGCTCTCCCTGCCGATCATGGTTATCTGTATGATTCCAGGCCTATGGATCTTTGCTTATTCTGCTATTGCATTTATTATCAACTATGCGATCGTCATGTTGATGTTGAATGGCTTCCAGCAGGTTCTGGTATCCCAAGTGCCCGTGGTCGAGCGACCAGGTCATGAGCGGGAGCGTTGGCTGTTTATAAATGGAATTGCAGCTGGGTAGGAGAGACATCCCCCTGGTATCCTGTTTTCAGTTGCTGACTCGAACTATGTAGGCATCGCTGGGTACAGATGAACATCGATCAACTGTCATATATCTTTGGCCGGAAAGTGACGGGTGTGCATAATCGCACGTAAGTGCCGTCTTGGATGTCGGATTTGCAAACGCTAATGAGAATTAGCGCGGGCATTGTTTTTGATCTCATTGAATGTCTGATTCAACGGGATTTTGCATACGCTACTGGCGATATACGACGATCGTATGCCTTGGTCAAGGAAGCTCTCTTGGACCCAGAATGTGACAAGGTGGTTCTGCTTCTTCACAGCCAAGGCGGCATTGAAGGGGGACTTATTCTGGACTGGCTTCTGGATGAGCTACCACACGATCTCCTCCATAACTTAGAGGTATATACCTTTGGAAATGCAGCGAATCATTTCAACAACCCGCGATGGACAAAGCTAGCAAGGCCACAAAGGATCACAACACCTGATCTAGTACATCAATTTGGTCAATCCATCGGCCATATCGAGCATTACGCTAATGCAGGCGATATTGTGGCTCTGGGAGGAGTGCTCCACTTCGTGGACATCCCAAATCGATACATGGGCCGGCTGTTCGTGCGCCCGAATTCAGGCCACCTGTTCAACATGCATTACCTAGACAGCATGTTTACTCTAGGTCCTGATATGAACGTCCTTGACTCCAATCCATTTATGGACATGGAAGTCGAGCCATGGGCAACTGCTGGTATAAATGGATATGATGGCCCTCCGCATCGAGTCAGGTACCAACCCACTATAGCCCGAGACGAGGCGTTTCTCCCCGCCGCACTGAGCCTGCAACGGCCACAAACGAATGGTGCGAATCAAGTACTGCGTGTCAAGGACTTCAGTCGGCTCTGGCGGTATAGAAATGGAGGACACCCGAAAGACACAGAGGCACGCCATGACAATGGCACCCACGAACACGTCTATTAAATTTGCCCCTCGCATGGGAATAATACATCTTCCTTTGTTCCCTCCCGAATAAAAACCCGGTAGACCCAACCTCACGAACTAATATTAGCACTACCAAATCAAGTACATATGGAGTCCCTTTGACAGACTGTAGGTTGGGTCCCCATCGGATGTCTGGTAATTATAAACCAACCGTGGCTCTCCCGAGAGGTCCCAGTATTTAATCCATATAAATTTATTTGACTAGTAATGAGTAGATTGGGAGGTCAACTAGATCAGAAAAAGAAAATTATATGATTCTCATCCTTACTAGTCACTATTAGTCCTATAGTCATTACTACATATGTAGGGAGTATGACCTGGTGACCTGGTCACTTATAAGACAATCAATCTAAAATAACTCACCGGTCACCAGGTTCATAATAGCTCCTATGAACTACCAGTAACTACTAGTAAATGTTTGCCAGCTATTACCCCGACCTGGCGGCCTGGCGATCTCCCTATTCGGGTAATTCCCATGTTGATATGCTCCGCGTACCTCCTCAGATTTTCCGGTATCCCTTACTTCGTGAGGAGTACTCTTTGCTGATGTGCATAAGTTGCAAAAGTATATAAAGCATGGGCCACTCCCCCTTGATTAACCCGGTGTTCGGAAGCCTGGAGGGCTCCGAAATCCGAGATGTCAAATCGGGTTCTGCTTCTTAAAAATTTGGCCTTTTGCCATATTGGCTTCGACGACCGGAGGCCTGATGCCCCGAAAAAAAAAAAAGAAAGTGAAAGTCCAGCACGTAGTTCGGAGTAACAAACATGTACCTCCATTTTCGGAGTTGAGGTGAGTTATTTTGCTCCAATTTGATTGCTTCGAGACTTCTTGCCCTGTGTAACCCATGTTAGTATGTATTATTTTGATAAAAACCCGATTTGTGACGGAGTGTAAATGTTTCTACTGTACATTTAGTCTCATCCATATAAGCTCCCGCCGTTTTAAACAGATTCAATGAAGCTTTGACCTGTTCAATATTTTACTTCGTCCTATATCAAGGTGCAGAGCTTGTATTTTGGGATTTATCATGAAAGACAACGCGAAGCTGTACAAATACGGCGTATCCATTTTGCTACTTGAAAGTCAACCCCAATAATGGAGTAGAAACATCTCAGCGCTAATTTCCTACTGGTCGTCGGTTACCCGCTGTGGAATGTCATTTGCAATCTGCTTTTCCATCCACTGAGAGACTATCCCAGACCAAAGCTCTTTGCGGCATCAACATTCACGATTTACTACTATCGTGTCCGTGCTCTGGGAGCCAAGATACTTCCGGCACTTCATGAAACGTGCGGTCCTATCATTCGAATCTCACCCAACGAACTGAGTTAGGAAAGACATCTTTGGCCCCAAAGATCCTGCGCAATTGGGCCCTAATCCTCCTGGCTCAGAGGGAACTATGTGTTCAGACAATGCTAGTCACGGTCGTCAGAGACGCATATTCTCTCACGCATTCTCGGATAGGGCTTTGAAGGAACAAGAGTCAATGATCTACCAATATGTCGAGAAGTTGGTCAAGAGACTGTGAATGATCGCCGCGGCGCAAAAGAATGATTCATCATTGAAAGAGGCATAGGCTGACATGGTGAAGTTGTACAACTTTACCACCTTTGAACATGCTCAGAGATGGTGAATATGTTCCGTGGGTTGAACCAATTTTTGCAACTGTCAAACTCATTAGTCTAAGCCATGCGAGCAAGCAGAAAAGAAAGGAGTGCGTACAATTTGCCAATGAAAAGGTCGATCGTCGTATGGTTTCCAAAACGGACAGACCCGATATCTGGAGCTTGGTCATCAAAAATGCAGGCAAGGATATTCATTCATGATTGCGGGAACCGAAACCACAGTGACTGTCCTGAGTGGTTTGACTTGGCTACTTTGCAAGAATCGGATCCAGAAGTGTTGCAGAAGCTTAAAGACGAGATTCGTGGCCTTCGGATAATGTATACCAGAAAGGATGAGATCTCGAATATTGAAACTATGGAGTCAGAGAAAATAATATATGATAGGTAGGATATGAGACAGGTGTAATTCAAGGGGCTCTACGAAGTAGAATCATGGCGATTAACGGAAAACGGACATTGCGTTCTATAGTGACCTGCTTATCCAGGCCAGACTACTCCCTAAGGCAGCCCTAATTGATGGGCTAACTATTTACACTGGACCCGACGGCATGAGGCATAATGCATGACTCGGCTCTCTGCTTCTCAACACATAATTATAACCTTGGAAGTATACAGCCAAGCATTTTGCATAGCATACATGCAGGTTTTCGCCGCTTTTGCTTTTTGAAATTGATATTCCATCTAGCATTGACTTGGAATTCTTTCTTGGTAGCTCTCTTACTAGTTTATAGGCACTTACTGGTGTCCGTCAAATGTAAGATTCATACAAGACACGGTCATAGAACTATCAGGTAGATGTTGGACACGATTTGAGGTGGATGTACAATGAGATCAATTCAGATGCAGATCTGTGGTATCAAGAAGTATTCCTCTCTCGAGTGCATCAAAAATTAGGGAGAAAAAAGCAACGCCCATCGCCATACAATGCAAGTGGAACACGGAATAAAGGACATGCTAAATCATGCCCTGATCACCTTCTTCTTTTCCTTCTTTTTCTTTTCCGGACCTGCCCCTGAGGGCTCGCCGCCCATTCCACCCATTCCACCTAGTCCGCCCAACATATTGCTCAGTCCGCCCATTCCACCCATTTGACTCATCATTTCCGACATGTTAGGCATTCCCTCCATACCCTGCATACCCTGCATCTCGGCCATTGCGTCCTTGAGGGGGTTGTCACTGACACCACCACCGCTGTAGGCAGGCGAATGGATAGGTAGGATCTTCCCGATCTTCCAACCCCGCGGCGCAGCAGGAGCTGCTGGAAGCTTCTCAGGCATGGGCAGGCCACGGATTCGTAGCCGGTAGGGTGATTTTTCGGTGGTAGGATTAGCCTTCAAGTACTGTGCGACGAGAATATAGAGGTGGTGCTCTAAGCAGCAATGTCAGTTCAAATCCAGCAGACAAATCCATTCACTCCATCAAAGGTATCAACCACGTACTGTTCTTGATCTTCGGGTTGGCTAATTGACCATCCTCGTTCTTAACCTGCACACGCACACGACCGGGATTCGCCCAATCCTTGGGATGCAGCTTCTCAGGCTCCAAGCCCGCATTCAAGCCAAGCATCTGGACGGCATCGACGATATCTCGCGCAAGAGGGTTTTCCACTGCGAGCTCCGCACTGACTTTGCGGCCCTCGGCGCGCGATCGAGTCTTGTCGAAGTACACGGGGTACAAGCATGAGAAGTGTCGGGGAATCTCGCGCTGAGGCTCAGGCGCTGGCATCGATGGCATGGGCATCTGTTGTTGTTGGGGTTGAGGTGCAGCCTTGGTCGGGATATTTACGGGTGAGATGATGGCATTGCTGGGGAGGTCCTCGTCAGAGTCGTAAGAGGGGGCGATCTCTTCTGGGTCGGAGTCGGAGACTTCCTCGATTTGGGCGTGATGCGACATTGTGGAGGGTTGATGTGGAATTGGGGAGATGTCTGGGGAAGGCCGCGGGAATTGTGGCCAAGTCAGAGGGGCAGAATGCAATGTGCGGGCGGTGGGACGTGGGGATGTGCAATGTTCAACTGAGTGCACGTAAATATTAAATAGGATAGTACGTTATGCCTATAATTTGAGATATTAATCTTAAATCTACTAGAAAACCCCATTGCATCAATCTTTTGCTATGAAAAATAGGAACCCTATGCTCTATGCGATGTCTTATTTAGGACTTCAAACTAAACTGTATCCAAGCGTATTCTTGCACATATATAGTTACATATTTCCCGAATATATTCCCAAGCCATGAGTCATTGCCAAACGCCAATCTAAAGCTTTCTACTCGAACACGATAGACTAAGTAGACCAGATAGGAAATTGAATCGGCCAAAAGTCCGCCCCCGTCCCCGGACCAATTGAGGGCTCGGCTTTTTCCACTCGGCATGCCGAACCCACTTAGCCCCGCAGAACAGGGCCATTGCCTCGGGTGAACATCGAAGAGTTCCACGGCTATATATAATGCTTTTCGTCTCTTCGCCCTTTCTCTCGATTACATTCCTCTGAACTTCAACCATGACCAACGGTATGTCAAATGCCTGCAATACCTTGGCGTATTCCTTATTCTGATATACCTCCCAGGAACCAAGACCAGCGCTATTCTCCACCGGGACACACGCTTTGTCCCAAAGAAAGCCATTGGCGGCAAGGGGTGCTACATCTTTCTGGAAGATGGGACCAAATTCCTCGATGCCACGGGTGGCGCAGCTGTATCCTGTCTAGGACACGGTAACGAGCAGGTTACCCAGATCATCAAGGATCAGATGGACCAGATATCCTACTGTCACTCTGCCTTCTTCGGCACCCAGGTAGCCGAGGATCTTGCCAAACTCTTAGTGGACTCTACTGGGGGAAAACTATCCAAGGTCTTTATAACCAGCTCGGGTGAGTCAAGGCAGCCTTCCAAGAACCAAAAGTTAAGTTCGCACATACAGTGCTGACTATATTCAGGGTCCGAGGCTGTCGAGGCTGCACTTAAGCTAGCACGTCAATATTTCTTAGAGCTTCCAACTCCCCAAACTGAGCGTACCAGGTTTATTGCGCGTCTTCCATCCTATCACGGCACCACGCTTGGGGCCCTTTCAGTTGGTGGCCATGTCCAACGTCGGGAGCCATTTGAACCACTCCTCTCCAAGAACGTATCCCATGTTTCCCCATGCTATGCATACCGTGGGAAGCGGGAGGGCGAATCTGATGCAGACTATGTGGCACGTCTAGCAGCCGAGCTAGAGGCTGAATTCCAACGTGTCGGACCCGAAACTGTGTGTGCATTCATTGCAGAGCCGGTTGTCGGTGCGGTATGACTTCCAATCTTGGACTTCACACTATTAGAATATCCAACTTATAATCACTAGGCTCTCGGCTGTGTACCCGCAGTACCAGGGTACTTCCTTGCAATGAAAGCCGTTTGCGAGAAACACGGCGCTCTCTTGATCCTTGACGAGATTATGTGCGGCATGGGCCGTTGCGGCACCTTGCATGCCTGGGAGCAAGAGGACATTGTTCCCGATATTCAGACTATTGCAAAGGGTCTGGGTGGTGGCTACGCACCGGTGTCCGCTGTCTTGATTAGTGACTCTATTGTGCAGACGATGGACAAAGGCACCGGGCAGTTCCGCCACGGACAGACATACCAAGGCCATCCGATCTCATGTGCTGCTGCGTTTGCTGTGCAAAAGTCTATTCAGGAACAGTCTCTGGTGGACAATGTCCGGACCATGGGTGCTTACCTTGAGACACAGTTGAAGCAGCGACTCGAGAGTCATCCTCACGTGGGAGATATTCGGGGGAAAGGATTGTTCTGGGGTGTAAGTTGCATGTCCTTGTAGTCGATATTGCACGACCAAGAAAAAAACGTGTGGTTAACTCTTTCCAGCTTGAATTTGTCAAAGACAAGGCCACGAAAGAGCCGTTTGACCCCAAGGATCGTCTCTCCTATCGGATCCAGGAGAAGGGTCTAGAGCCGGAGCACAGTGTCTCGCTATATGGCTGCTCTGGTACCGTAGATGGAATTAAGGGAGATCATCTTGTGCTCGCGCCACCTTATATCGTGTCGAAAAAGGAGATTGATATTATTGTTGACACCCTGGAGAAAGTAATGAAGGAGGTTTTTGCCTCGCTATAGAGCGCACTCTATATCTACTCCAAAAGTCCACTTTCATAACCTTGGAAAAGTATTTAAGCAATTTCATTCTGTGAAAAAAAAAAAAAAAAAATGCGGAAGAAATATTAAATGACGAAGCAGATGTAGAAAAGTCAAGTCAAACCATGTGAATGATGGGATATTTCATTATTATACAAGTACATGAGAGAGATCAAGCATGAGACTCAATGGCAGCCGCTTTCTTCCTATCAGCCAGTTCAATCCCCTTTGACCCGTTGACAGAGCCACTAAGCGCCGCGTCCTGATAAATCGAGCTCTCTGCCCACAGGCCAGCGACAGTCTCAATGGCCCGCTCGACGACTACACGAATGCGGTCTCGCAGGACAGCGTTCGCACACTCGACTTCCAGGTCCTCAAGCCACACACGGGCAATATGCTTGTCCACCCTGATCTCAATACCAGGGACGGGAACACCCATTGTGATAAGACGATCCAGCTCCGCTGCCTCAATGTCGGCAATTCGTTCTTCGTTCATCTCTTCACCATCTTCTTGTGGACCGAGTGCGAGATCAGCCGGGACTCGTGGGCGCTCAATGGGGCCAATGTTATCGCCACCGAATTGGGCCTCGAGCATCATCAGCATACGAGCAAGCCGCTCTTGGGGTCCAGAGTGAGAATGAGGGTTTGGAAGTGAGGGGATTTCCATATCGTCCTCACCATGGTGATGGTGGTGGTGCTTGTTTTTGGCCGATTCTAGAACCGTAGCAGTTAGCATAAGTAAAGGGGTGAAAAAGGACAGGGATTCATACGCTTTACGGAGGCCGGGCTGCTTTCGACCGTGAGCAGAACAGCCATAACTGCATCTGCCACTCCGTCATTCATCATATTACCTTCCCATTCCAACTCAACTTCGCGGGTGCGTGAGTGATGGCGAAGATACACACATCCCATGACAAGGAATGTCTGCGTCTCGTCCGATGGAATCTCCTCGTCCGCATCCTCTTGCATTAAGGTGTCGTCGGTATCCATGTCGTTCTTGCCGTTAGCCTCAGTCTTCTTGCTGTTTCCAACTTCTTCAATGGCCCCGAAAGTTCCCTCGAGGGCCCATCGGATCAAGTCCATGCTCGCGGAGCTCAGAGTAATATGCTGCTTGCAGGTAATAGTCGTAGTTGTCAAGCCCGCGTACTCCTGTAGGTCATCAGGGGCCATCAACGACAAGTTGAACCCATTCTGAACTAGGACTCCAGCCATGAGCTGAGCATCATCATTCTCCGATGGAGGCGCAAGCTCTGCGAGCTTGCCGACGACCTTGGCAATCTTGTCCTTTTTGAAAGGGATGCGAACTTCGTCGCAGTTTGCTGGAGTGTAGACTTTGACTTTGACGGTTTTATCTGCGTTAAGGCTGAGCAGTTTCGACTTCAGCCTCATCATTTGATGTTTTTCGCCGTGAACGAGGATCTTAGGAGAGTCAGTAAAATTGCAAATAGACTGGTGGATGTCACACTTACCACAACTGGCGCTGCTACCTCCTCAATGAAAGTACGATTTTCAACACCATCAACGTGGGCTGCAAAGCTGACTTCATCAATAGTGCAACGGCGAGGGATCATGACTTTTTGATCCTCATCATTCACTCCGGGAACACGACCACGACCATGCCCAGTGGAAACCTTGGACATGACAGCCGGGATCTGATCAGGTTCATTGAGCAATCCCTTAGCCATGGTTCCTTCGACGCTGTAACCAGTCATGACAACACCGTTACGATCACTTGGTGCCCATCTTTCCAGCAGCTCACGACTTGTTCCCGTCTGCAACATACCGGGGGAGGCAAGCATAACACATCCTCCAACATCGTCGAAACGCTCCAAGCTGCGAAGACTTCGAACGAATCGGAAATCCCATGGTCCGACACTCACGCTCTTATTGCCGCTGGCCTCGGCCTCGGCCATACGCTGCCGGAAGAGTCGCTTTATATTATCGTTCATGGCGCCAATATATGTTTGGTACACGACCATGCATCGCCGTGCCATGTTTCCGATGTAGTAGATAGGAAATTTCTGGAGCTCTGGGTGGGTTTCCCAATATTCATCAAGGATAAGAAGCAGCTCTTGGGCACGTCCGAGAGCGAAAACCGGCATCAGAACTCGACCTCCGCGGTTGAGAACACTCGTGATTGACTTCATCAAGGCGGCCTCGCGTTCCAATCGAGGTGGATTAGATGAAATACCGAATGTAGATTCTGTGATGAGAACATCGATCTTCGTGCCACTGGGCACCGCCGCGGGAATCAAGTGTCTGTCTTCCTCGCGAGAGTAATCTAGCCGGTTGGTTAGCAATTGGTTTGATAATTATGTAGATGACAAGGGGTGTAACAAGGCAAACTCACCTCCTGTAAACAAAGTCACAAGTCCTGCAATATCAATTTTAAACATGGCAGCTCCGAGAACATGCCCGGCAGGGTACGGGGTAATACGGATGCCATTGATCGTATGTGTTGTGTAAAAATCGATGGTTTCAATCATGGGAAGTGTTGACAAGTGATCACGCTCAGTGTATAGCGTAGTGCGTTGGTCGGAGGAAGAGGATGTGTTGCTGACTCGGACATTGTCTTGGATGAGCCATTTGTAGATTGCTCGGGTTGCCGGAGTCATGAAGACTCTTCCTTTGAAGTTTGTTTTGCTGAGAACATATGGGAGGGCGGAAGAATGGTCGACGTGGAAACTATACAGATCATACTGTTAGTCAACTGCGATAACAACGAACAAACGCGCTGAAGGAGAAAGCACTTGAATTCAAGACTCAAGAGGGTACAGTGATACAAGAAATAAATGCATGACATTGAATTGTATTGGGCTTCTCATATATATGCAGGGGAATGTGTTCTTCCTTTGAGGCAGCTGATGGCAGTAGACTGCCAAATAACCCAGGTGCCTCATATGGGAAAGTGTAGAATGATGTCCAGTCGTGCTTGCCATGATTCCGTATATTATGTAAATAAAACAAGAGATGCACGTACTGGCTGATTAAAAGAACATCCACTGTGCTCAGATCGAACTCATCAAAGAAAGGAAGCGCGGAGAAGCCTTCTTTCGCCGGGTGCATGCCCGCATCAAGCTACAGAAGCCAACGGGGTCAGTATGTGCGACTTCATTTCTTGTTCCAGCTGAGACTTACCATCACTGTCTTGCCCTTATATTCCAGGACGTGGCAACTCCGTCCAACTTCATTGCCGCCGCCGAGACAGTAGAATGCCAGTTCGTCTGATGGGTCAACGGGCTCATCGTCAACAGCCGTTCCCATTGCTGAAGCTTTGCGTTTGGACGCCATGACGTCGAGAATTAATTGGGTAAGGTGTCAGGATATTAACAGATTCCTTAGTATGAGTTTGAGAAGCCTAGTTGAAGGGGACTAGCACCCGCGTCGCACGATAAAGCTCAAGATCTCAATATGAGGTCAGCGCAACACCCATAACTTGCGCAACAAAGACTATAGTGGATGCAGCTGCTCCAGGTATTTAAGCAGACGTCAATTCACCTGTGAAGACTGGATGTATTCAATAGAAGAGTGATCTCTTTCGCAGCAGACGAAACCTCACCTGGACACCCGCAGATTTGGAGAGCTTAGTCAAGCTTAGTCACGTGTGTCGCGATCCGCGATCCGCGGAGCAGAGTTCGACCACCCAGAAAGCTCCTTACCACATCACGCATCACTGTCTCCCCGATTACTGTTACTTTTGCGCTCCAGCCAACTATTATACGATTCACGTGTCGCGTATATGGTTTAAATTCAATGGTCAAAGGTGGTGGAAGCTGGTGGTGCGAGCAATCCGCTCAGTTTAACGGCCACGCGTGGACCTCGATTCATCTGCAAGGCTACGACGACTCGGCGCAATAGCCTTTGTCTCATCTGACATTCAATTTTGATCTCAATCGGTAGTCACAATGGCACAAGCTCGGCATCCACAGCAGCAGGCACCGCCGCCGCCGCCGCCGCCGCAGTTTTCCTCCCAACCTTTCTCCCCACCTGTCTCGTCGCCATCCCCAAATTCGGTAGCATCCCCCGTGAACGGAGGCGTTGCACCCCCTCCATCCAAGCGACCTCGCCTCTCACCTCTGCCGCCTTCTCAAACTCAATCTCCTTACGGCTCTCCGAGCTTCAACGCGGTGCAGCTACCACAAAATCCATCTCCAATGAACGGCACGCCGATGAATATGAGCATGAATATGAACATGACGGCGACACCTGCCCCCGCTCCTCCCGGGACCATGGGTCCTCCTTCTCGCCCAGTGGACAAAACAACAGATGCTGCTGAGCTGACAGATGTCCTAGCGTCATCTGGAATTGATGTGAGGGAAGAGGAAGCATTTCTCACACAGAGCTTTTCAGGGCAGAATGCGCAGGCGCAGCCCCATCGAGGACCACAGTCTCAATACCCGCCACCTATCAACACCTCCTTCACGTCTCAAGGCTCTACTCCGGGAACTCCCTCGGCTTCAGCCAGCTTCGGTGATTTGCCTCAAATCAAACCGGCGATTACGCACGATTCTTTCGCCGGCCCATCCTCCCAGGCACATGTTCCCTTCAAAGATCCTAATGAACCGACTCGCGAAGACACTATCGCAGCAAGGCGAGCACAGTATCACATCCAAGAACCATTCTTGATCACAAAACTCCTCGAACAGAAGCTCCAGAAGCGAGGTTTTGACCTTGGTGTTCGAATCCCCTCGGAGGGCCTTTTCCATCCCGTACCTGGCCGACCACAGCCGATTGAGGTTACTGGTCCGGATGGCTCTTCTGTGGTGCGCACTGGTCAGACAATTCTCAACCAGGAAGGTGCCCCTCTCGTGGACATACTGAATCTCCTATCTATTTCCACCGAAGAAAGATTCAGGGGCGTCATCGACTACGCGTCGACTCTTGCTCGAAGTCGCCGAGCACATTCTCATGGCGTGGTTCCCAATGAGTGGAAAGATGTCGCGAAGCCCCTTGGGCTGGCTACGGGGAGCACTCAAACCCCTGTGAAACGTACGATTTTACTCATAATACCCACTCAACTGACTTGATACTAATTAATTTGGCAGGTCCTCATGCTACAATTGAATCCTCCAGCACAAAGTCGAATGCGGCAAGATACAGAGCATTCATCCACCGGGAGAGTTCGCAAGAGGAAAGACGCGCGGCAAAGCGCGCTAAACGCAACAGCAATGCCATTCTTGATGAGGCTGGTCGAGCCGAGTCTGTCGATCCAACAGGATCTGCACCCTCGACGCCCATCGGCGAAAGAGCGCCTAGTCTTGACAAAAAGTCAATCAGCAAAAAAGAAGCGAAGAAAATGCAGGATTCCAAAGCAACCGAAGCCCAACAGCATGCACAGTCTGTGGAGACGGCCCGTATGGCTTTGTCCGGTGGTGGCCGCAGTATGTTCGGCGCCAAAAAGTCATACTCATGGTTGAAGCCCGGCGGTAAATCTAGTGGATTCTCGTCTCCTTCGCGTCCAACTCCTTCCACACCCACCGCCGGTCCTGAAAAGTCTGGTCCCGGTGAATCCACACCCAGTCAGACTCAGCGTCGCCTAGGAATATGGCGTGAGGATCAAGAGAAGGGAGTGGGTATTCAGGTTAGAGATGTTTTGTTCATGCTGGAGGCGGATGGACGAGCGACCCGACATGTGCAGAGGGGCTACCTGAAGGACCCCAAAGAGGATCGGGATCGAATCTGACCAGGTCATAAATGTTTGTAATCTTATTTTTCTTGTGCCCCTAATTTCTTTGTTGGCCCATGGGAGCCCTGTGGCTCCGGGCATCAGGAGTTCTTGCATTCTCTGCGTGTGTATGGCGTTGGCTGGCTTATGGGGGTTGTCAGGTTGTCAGGCCATGATCTTTAATTCCATTCAACTACAGGTTGAGCATACATCTTTCGTGAGAGGATAGAGGGAGTGGGAACTTTCTTGTACCTCAGTAAATTACTATTCTCTCGCCGCTCTTGGATATTTTCCTTCTAGCCCCTAAGGCAATAAATGAGATTTTCTTAGGATCACATCAATGTCTCTTCTGTGGCTATCCCATGTTCTATGTGTCTGATTATGACTCCCAAGTCCCGAGGCGTGGTCCTGGTGAGGATCGCGCTACTTTCTAGTTCTCACAGCCACACACTAGGCGGCTCCAATTGACTCGGAGAGGAGGATTCAAACACTGCTGGTCATCCAAGGGCTCTTGTGAAGGCCGCCACGTTACAGTCGCAAAATAGTAATGAAGCTGACCAGGCGCCACCTCATCACGCACCCAGCGCCGTCCGCCAAGCATGGAGCTTCCCGTCCATCTGGATTGGATACGGAGGTATCAGCCTTGGTTGCGAGCATGTTGGTGCCATCGGCTCGCTGGAATCGCCATTGGTCGGCCATTTCACCCGCAATGTAGTCCACTTCGTCTTTTCGTCGCTCGATGCTTTCAATGTCGATGCAAACCCTGGTAATGCAATGCTAGAGGATAGCACCAGCCATTTGCCCCGGCCTAGATATATCAAGAGGGTCTAAAGATATCCAATTTAGGCAATACAAATTATTTAGATCCAAGGCAACGGTCAAAGGCATTCGAGTATTCTTTATTATGTCAATCAATTGAATAACTATCACTATTAGTATACACCTGGGCACTAGTATCTACTTGGGTTTACTTTTGAATTGCCTCATTTTCAGATATCTCTTACTCGGGAATTCAATCGTTATTGGTCGCATTGATCCAATGGCTGTAACCTAACAGGCAACGAGACAACCTTTACATAGGGATTGTGATGTTTTGTTCAATTGATATATATTGTCATTTTCCTATAGTCTATACAACCACTTGTCTCCCAGTTTTCGTTTTTTTTTTCTTTCTTTTTTCTCCCGTATTAAACCAATAGCCCATTGAAGACCAATTCATCTGTTTTTAGTTCTATTATACCTCTACGCAATGATTTTGCGTATTTCCCAATCTAGACGCTGACTCAGTTGGAATGTCAGGTGGTATACGTGAGGGGAGAGGCTTGATATCGGCGATTTCCTGGGATTTCCCAGGGGTTGTAATGTTGGAGATACTGCTTGATCTTGGTATTCTTGGTATTCTTGATATTCTTGACCATCGAGGTTCTCCGTTCCTTGTGGATTGGATTCGGCTAAGCCAGGGCTTGGACGCGATGCTCCATTTCCGGTGGCCCCCCCCCCCCCAAAGGCCCCTCAAGGCCCTAGGACTTTAAGTCCTTTTAATTACATTCATGGCTGTATTGGAATGAGGAGATAATATCCCGCCTTTTTCTCCCTAGAGGCGCATGGGCCTCTGTGTTGAGGTTTTTACATTGTATAGAATAGGGAATATGGCGAATAGCGCATAACATAGGTATTGAATGATTTAGAAACTTGAATAAGAACTAAAAAAGAACAATATAAACATTAATAGCATTAATTACTTGTATTCCAGCCAGTGAATTATAAATTATATAGAAGAATAAACAGAATCAATGCAAATCCCAAAATCCCAAGTTGATCGGCAACGGGTCCCAACTCTCCGACTCTTCCATCATCACTCATCTTTGCCTCCATGCCCTTCCCTCCCCACCTCGTTTACTACAGATGTCGCCAAGTTCTCCAATGATCTTTGCTTTACTTCCTTGTCTTCAAATTGTTGAGGAAATGCAACGCATTTGAAACCCATATTTCCCACCCTCTCTCCCCCGACCGCCTCAGCCCGTCATCTGCACGTCTCCCCCAGAGATCTCCTTCCGGACACGCTTGTCAACCTCAATCTCTGTTGGCCTGGTTCTTCTCTGGCTGGCTAGTCCTGCCTTGAGATCCTCGTCTCCACCGAGGAAGCGTGACGCGCGACACCAACTATCGGTCATAAATTAGACCAATCTTCTCTCCACAACCTCCATACCATACCGTTCGTGTGACGGGATACCTTCGTGCACAATGTCCACCCCGTCCACGGCCACTGCAACGCATCCTTCTCATCATCAGGGTTACGGATATCCTCACCACCCTTCGTATCAACCGAATACCTCCTATCCGACTTCGACCACGGCCGCAGGAACTCGCCTCGCGAACCCTTACGCCATTTCCGTCCCCTCTCCGACAACGACCACCCTTCCCTACACCCAACCTCCGAGAATCCCCCCGCGACAACAACTCCGTCGGCTATGACCCACCAGAGTGGCTCTAGCGCGGCTCCCTCCGTTGGCGGTCGGAGAAAGAAACCAGACTGGACCGAGTTCTACAAGAATGGTCTTCCCAAGGAAGTCATTGTGATCGATGACAGTCCTGGTCCAGAGCCATCCAATGGTGCCCCGGCTCCTCCTGTAACTACTTCTGCCAGGCCACCTCCTGCGGCTCCTCAGCCCGCTGGAAAGAGGCGACGGACGGGGATTGAAACCGCCTATGACCTGGGCCACTATGACCGCCCGTCATTTTCAATCAATCCCCAACACTACGGCGAGGAATCCTCCGCCACATCCTTATCGACCGATCGAACCGCATCTTTACATACAACAGCTCCCACTTCACTTGGTTCACAGGGTAGTTCGGGGGCGAGCAATGGTGTATACTATGAGGATGGCTCTGTCGGTCAAAAGCGGAAACGCGCCACTCGGAAATCCACCCGCGACGAACAGAAGCGACGAGAGTTGGAGACCGCAGGTGATGCTTTCCTGAGTTATGTCCCACCCCCCAAGCCGCCGATCAAAGCAAAGGATGTTCCTGTGCCGGTCGTTCGCGATGTGAGTGTTTCATCTTTACCATTTCTTTCGTGCAAATACGCTGACAAAATTTTGATCGATCAGTACACCAGTTCTCAGAACAAGAAGTTTGACGATGACGATGGCCATTACATTGTCACACCCGACACACCATTGACAGATCGATGTGAGTAAAACAGATATCTCTGGTATCTTGTTGACTATGCTAACTCCTCTCGAGACTCTGTGATCAAACTTCTAGGCCAAGGTACATTTGGCAAAGTTGTCGAAGCCTATGACAAGCAGCGCAAGTCTCGCTGTGCAGTCAAAATCATACGCTCAATCCAAAAGTATCGCGACGCATCTCGAATCGAGCTGCGAGTCTTGTCAACTCTGGCTTCGAACGACAAAAGCAACCGCAACAAATGCATCCACCTTCGGGACTGCTTCGACTTCCGGAATCACATTTGCATTGTCACTGATCTACTAGGACAAAGCGTATTTGATTTCCTCAAGGGGAATGGCTTTGTGCCGTTCCCGAGCAGTCAGATCCAGCAGTTTGCCAGGCAGCTGTTCACAAGTGTTGCCTGTAGGTTCTCCAACCCTTCTATATCTATATCTCAGACCACTGACCTATTAGTCCTTCATGACCTAAACCTTATCCATACCGACCTCAAACCCGAAAATATCCTCCTCGTCAGCAACGCCTATCAAACCTTCACTTACAACCGCACTATACCATCCTCTTCCCACGCCACAGCTCGTAACGCGCGGCAGCGCCGCGTTCTCCTCGATGGTGAAATCCGACTCATCGACTTCGGTTCGGCGACCTTCGATGATGAATACCACTCATCTGTCGTCTCTACCCGTCACTACCGGGCCCCCGAAATCATATTGAACCTTGGATGGAGCTTCCCATGTGATATCTGGAGTATTGGGTGCATCCTGGTGGAATTCTTCACCGGAGATGCCCTGTTCCAGACACATGACAACCTTGAACACCTGGCGATGATGGAATCAGTCATTGGCAATCGAATCGACACCGCTTTGGTGAAGAAAGTCATGGCGGGCCGAGGTGGTGGGAGTCTCAACTCTGCTTCTAAGTAAATTTGGCCCCTTCAATCTTTCTGTGATAAGAACTAACTTTACTAGGTACTTCAATCGAAGCAAGATCGACTATCCCAACACTGAAACGACCCGGGCCTCGCGGAAGTATGTGCGCGCGATGAAATCTTTGACAGTAAGTGTCTTGCATCTCTCTGTCTGTCGGGCTTTCTTCTGACTGATTTCGTCTACTATAGGAGTTCATCCCTACCAACACACCATTCAACCGTTCTTTCCTGGATTTGCTACAACAAATCTTTGTCTACGATCCCAAGAACAGGATTACTGCAAAGGAGGCATTGAAGCACCCGTGGTTCAAGGAGACACTCGTTGATGATGGCACGGAGGCTCACCGGATCGGCCAAGGATTGCATCGCCAAGGACGCACCTAGGCCTCAGATCCAGTTTGCACAGCTACAGTGGCCAATATTGGGCTTTTTCAACGGCATCAGAAGGGAATTCACCGGCGTGAACAGGATCCAGCTATGGATAGAAGGCTCATATCTTGAGGGTAATCTTTTTCTCTATCGCGAATGGGACGGAATGGTGTTTGCACTTCGGAAAATCATGATCACGATGTTTCTTTTTTTTTTCTTTTTAATTTCTTTTCGGTCCCTGGGGGGTTTCCCCTCGACTCCTGCAGGTGTCACCTCATTCATGCAGGCTTCGGCTGTCTTTGTGACACCACATGGCAGGGGCATTGGACCCTTGACCCTTGAGCAACCGGAATCGCTGCATGTATCCTTGAGGGACCTATCCCCTGATGCCATCCGGTTTTACTTTATTTGCTTTATCTATCCTTCTATCCCATTCTTAAAGGCGCTGGTTACATGTTATTCTGCTTTTCTCGTCCTGTTTATGGAATCCGGCTTTGGGAGCCCTGGAGGGTTTAGGCTAAGTCTGGATGATTATACCATTTTGATTGTTTGTGGCGTCCATTTGTTAACCGTATGGTGTGTGTGTATATATGTGTTTTTTTCTCTTCAGTTTTCTAACTCTTCTCAGATCTGTATATGACTCTTCCTCCCCTTTCGTCGTGGGTTTCTTTTGTATACATCGGAGCGGAATAACCCGAAGCCGGGTCCACTGAGGGGGTATGTACATGCATCTAACTATATAGAAGTTACAAGCTCACTTGTTCCGTTACAATTGATATTGCCAATTCAGAGCAAAGCATGCATTAGCAAGACTCGACTCCGTCAATCAAATTGCAGATCTATGTATAGCGTGCGTGAATTGCGTCAATCACCAGCTCAACATCCGGGGAACCCCAACACCAATTCCCCCTCTATCCAATCCATGACTCAAAACACCATGGACTCTTTAGCGTGGCAAGCAGAAGAGATGACAATCACCAAGTTCCATGAACTACTCCGTATAGACCCCTCCATCGGCCCGGAGCTGGTAAACAAATACCTCGAAGCCATCAAGCAGCAAGACGGGAGCCTCAAAGCCCTCATCAGCATAAACAGCGCAGCCCTAGAAACCGCCATAGAGAAAGCCACCGAAACAGTCACATTCAACCAAACCAACAAGCCCTTCCCACCATTACACAGCGTGCCCATAATCCTGAAAGATAACTATAGCACGGTAGATCTCCCAACAAGCGCAGGCGTCCAAGCCCTCCAAAACCTACGCACAAAAGACGACAGCGAAGTCGTCTCACAGCTACGCGCCGCAGGAGCAATAATCCTAGCAAAGGCCAACCTCCACGAATTCGCC